TGTAACCACCCAGAGGAAGCATTAAAGGGTTTGGGCTCTGAAGTTCCCATCTTTCGTGCCACTGCCATGTACAGTTCACGTGCGTAGTCCTTAACAGAGCGCGTGTCGACCGCCATGTTCCGTCGCGCCTGACGCACCAAGTACCTCACAAGTAATTTTTCTGTCTTGAGAAGCACCTGGTTGTGAAATACTTGATCATAGAAGCACCTGTAGACTTTGTGATCTTCATGTGCTCCTTTATCTTGGCCGAATCCTTCTTTATAGTCTGGATCGTAGATTCGTTCACGCCATGCTGGCTCGCCAAATCAACCTGCCTTGTTCCTTTCTCCAACTCTTGGATGATGCTACTGTATACTTCACCTCGTAGCTTAAGGAACGTCGTGTCTTCTTTGGTTTAGTGCCGCTGGGTCCAGGTAAGGAAAGGTTTCTCTCTGGGGGTGGTGGTCCGGCGGAAGCCATTTTACGGAACAATGGATGCGCTTTACACGGAATGGCCTTGAGGGATGAAACTGCCGCGGCTAGGTCAAGCGTCGTCTTTCCTCCCTCCCTCCCTCCCCCGGGTGGACACGTCATAATACTTTAAGCCAATTACAGCTAGCAGCAGAGGGGATAGGGATGCATGGCCAATCACAGGTCTGATACGTCATATGACGTCAGTGATAACGCAACAAAGACACACACTGCACAACCTTACCGCGCCGCTTGCCCAAGCGGAGGGAGGAGGAGGGAGAGGCAGGCAGGCAGGCGGGCGGGTGGCGGGTGGGGCGAATCTAAAAATAGCGTCGCGCCGGACACTCTCTGCGTAATGGGGTTCACGTACCGCGTAATGTGAGCACGTGAGGTTCTGGCAAGGCACCGCGTTAACGTGGAAACGCGGAATGCGGGACCGCGTAAAGTGAGGGTTAACTGTAATAATAATAATAAACGGTTTATTGAAAGAGCATAGCAGCCGGAACACTGAAAATATTTAATTATATAATTGGGGAATGGGTCTCTTGATTTACAAATGATAAACAGGTAACATTAGTGATAGTAAGGAGAAAACTTAAGCTGAATGACGGCAAAACTGAAATTATCGGCATCCGAGGAAATAGGTGGGTGACAGCAGAGATGATTTTGGCTCTTTTAAACTTTAGGGGGTGTACAACTCAGTCCTGTTAATTGTTTTTAATCTTTGCATGAGCTTTGACTCAAAACTGAATTTTAAAGAGTGTACAGTATAAATTTAGTGGTTAAAAGTTGCAACTTTCATATTCAAAATTTGGTTTGCTGTGGAACAGTTTTTGGATAGACAGTGTCTTCTGACACTATTACTTTCACTTATTTTGTCTCAGCTTGACTATTGTAACTGTTTACGGGTCTGCCTACCTAATGATGTACTGAAGAAAGTTCAAACAAGTGTTGAACAAGGTTGCCAGGCTTATTTTTGTTCCCCCTCCGAGGACTTCCACTGCCCTGCTTAATCGATTTACATTGGCTTCCAATTAAAGCTAGGATAGAGTTCAAACTCTGTCTAATGACTTTTAATACACTAAAGTTTGGTTAACCTAAGTATTTGGCCAACTAACTAATTCCACTGATCACACATTCTGAAATGGTTTTTCATAATAGTAATGATCCTTCATGCCTTGAGGAGCCTAGAGCAGTAGTGGGAATGTTCTTTTCCTATACAGCAGCCAGATTGTATAATGGGTTGCCTGCAGCTGACTTCTGTGGAGGCCTTTAAGAAACAACTTATGATTTTTTTTTTTACAGCTTCGATCCTAAACAGGGTACTGTACTGTACAGTGATGGAGAATTACAGGATTTAGGAGGCAATAAAACTTAAGGGGACAGTATATGAATAATCGAAGCCAAACTGTCACTTTTTGTGATCTTTGATTGTAGTACAGTACAGCACTGTACAGTACTGTATTGTATTTCTTCTAATTCTCAAGTCTTTGACTTTGTAGTGTTTTAAGCACTAGTGCATTCTTCAGAAGAACTGGCACTTTTGAGAAATAAAAGACTAGCTATTATTATTACTGGAATGGAGAAAGTTTTCCTTGAAATTGCTCAGTAAAATTGGGATAATTTTGAAAGAGTTAAAACATATAGATATACCTGTATGTAGTGAATTCTGAATGCCATTTCCAACTCCCTCCATAAAGAACTTGGATGTAGTGTGACATGCATAACGTACCTCATTATGAAGATTCTTATCCAAGGACAGTCAAGATACAGACACACAACATTTAAGCTTCTTCTGAAGTGTGTAAGCCAGCAATATATATCACAACACTGATACAGTGGTCCCTCGGTTAACGAGCACAATCTGTTCTATAAGGTTGCTCGTTAACCGAAAAACTCATTAACCGAAACCATTGTTTCAATGGGTTTTTGGGTAATTGGTTCCAGCTCACCGAAAATTGCCTAAATTCAACAAAAAAGTAGAAAAGTTCACTTACTTTGAGGTGTGTATGTAGAAAGCTCCTGGATGATGATGATGATGGGAATTAGAATGGGGGTGGAGGAGAAGGGAGAAGAGAAGGCATTGGGGTGGAAGAGAAGTCACCCCATGGCGCCATTTCACCCATAAAATTTTAGTTCTCTTGGTGTAATTCAAGATTATTTTCTTTAAATCAACACTGCACTGCATTATATATTGTCAATATGTAAAATAAATTTCAAAATGACCAATAATTTGCTTGCAAACACAGAAAAAAAGCATTTAGCTGAAGAGAGTCTCAAGCAAGATGTTACCTCCACTGAAAAGACACAAAGACTGACGCCTGTTTGGTGTGTTGAGAGGCTGGATGGCGCGCATAAAACTAGTTTCATTACCTTCAATTATGTTCAATAATTGTTAAAATGACTAAAAAATTTAATATTAAACTTTTAAAATTGAGTAGTATTAACTTCTTGATATTTGCTAAAATGGTAAGGAATTTAAGCCCTAGAACCGATTACTGTATTGGCGGAATAATACTACAGCTGGTGGACCGCCAAATGCAAGCGAAAACATGTTCAGGTCAGCTCATAAGAAACTCGGTAATCGAGGGATTGCTCGTTAACCGAAATCTCGTTAACCGAGGCGCTCGTTAACCGAGGGACCACTGTATCTTAACTTGTTCATGCACGACACCAGACTTTGAAGAAGCCAGTGATAGATAATTCATCTTTAATTTATTTTCTGATTTCAATATTTGTGCTACAGATACAATGTACAGTTGTTTGCACCACTCATGTCTGTAATGTACTGTACTGCACAAACCTAGACTAATTTGTCAATTTTAAACTTAACAAGCAAGAAATAATGGAAATTATGTTTATTGAAAAATAGTCACTCAATTTGATTAAGTACATGTGGTGTGATTCAAAGCTTTCCACCTCTCATCCTCCCCCCCAGTTTACAGTCAATATATTTCCAAGCACCAAGCCGCGGACAAAACTTATGTCAAAAATATTAAATCAGGATAATGAGAAGACTCTTGCATTTCTGGATTGTTCTCATCTAGATGCAGAAGTTTGTCTTGCTTCGGTGTTTTGACATTGACAATGTTCCACCGTAAGATTATCTGTTGTAAGAACTCATTTATTATTAAACATAAGAGCATAATGTACTGCACATCCTGCCTCTCTCAATAACACCTTTCCTCACAGACCTGTTACGATTTATATTTCATGTTAGATTTTACGCTCAAGATCGGGTACGTTAAGCAGGGCCGGATCCCGACCTCAAATCTGACTGATGCAATCTTTCAATTTTTGTAATTGCTGCTAGGCCCAGATTTTAAAAAGTGTATACAATTTATACACCTCATTCTGCAATGTCATACTTTTAATCAATAATTAACTAATATTTACTCCAATAAATGTATGTTTAGCCACATATTTCAACCTTTATTTTTTCATAAAATAAAATGAAGTAAGACTGTTTAAACAGTACCTATAGTTTTACTTACACAATACTCTTTATAAAATATAGCTTTGTACAGTAATTACATGCCACTAAGACAATTTCTTCCCATTTAGACGATTCCCAGATTTTTATAAAATTATGGCTTTGGCTTCAATTGGCTTCATTCCCATGCCTGACTAGCACACTTGCAATCCATATGCCATACCAAAAGCAGACCTGTGGCCAGGTGGACTGAACCCGCTGATCCCAATTTATAATTTAGTCTGAATTAGGGAAATCAGATACCCTCCCATTGGATGGGTGTTAAAAGTTGGCTACAACTGTCCTGGAAGCCTCAATATGGATGAAGCTATACAGGTACTGTGTGCATGGTACACAAGTAGTGACTCATTACCCTCCAAACAAGTGGCAGCCTTAACTTCTAAATTTTCCTTTTTGAAGATAACAGTTTCAGTAGGAAGATTTGAATAATAATGGCAGCTTAAATAATAATCCATTACTTAAGCTCTCATAGTTTAGGTATTCTTTGGGGAATATCCTTTAGTTGTCTAGTCTGAACTCAAGTCTTAAATGGAATTTTTAAAGTCTATCCACTAATAATGCCTGAGGAAGGAATGAAAGACTTGGTTCTTCTCCATCTTCCCAAGAATACAACAACACAGTAACTTGGGTTAAGGAAAAAAATAATGATTGGAGTACTGAGGGCTTAACCTCTGAATTGAGATCTCCAGTTATGGTTGAAATGACTAGCTGGTCATTACCTGTATCCTATTAAGAAGAATTATCATGCTCTCTTAAGTCAAGAATCATCCATTCCATCTCAGTTAAAATATGGTATATGTAGTCTCAATATATCTTTGGGATATACTGCATACACTGTTAGGTGCTTGTGTTACCGAGTCAGACACCTTGCCAAGAACTGGGCGAAAACAGACCCCACTGACTCAAAAGCGTCATTCATTTTGTGTCTAATGGTGTTACAGACCTTACTACTGTAATAAATTCACCATCACCTTTTATTCCTTATCATGTTTACCATATTGCTCCTTCACTACTATTGAGGCATGTACATTATTACTATAGGAGAGTAAAAACAATGTTTGCATGTACAATATATATATTGTACGTACAATGAACACAAACAATCACCAGAACCATACATATAGTAGTATAAACTTAAATTATATTCTAAGCTTATCTTTCATACGCATTAGACAACTTGTTGTCGCGGTCTGTGCTATATCTTAGTACGTACTACACAAGTACTGTATCAAATTTATTACTTTTAATTACAATACAAGACAAGGGTGTGAGGGCATTCTAGTCGAAGTGACGTTAAATGAAGGAAAACTATTACAGCAGGCCCTAAAAATTCGCAGGAGTTAGGTTCTCAAAATGGCCGCAAATCGCCAAATCCGCGAATAACATTTGCTGACCAGGAAGGGGGGGGGGGTACATTTTTACTTGTGTACAAAGAAATGTACATTCCCTTTATGTGTTTGCCCTTAGGACAATTATTTCTTTTACCTGTAGTGTGTGTGTGTGTGCTTTGTTATAACTTTGATAACAAAGCACAGAGTTTCTGATTATTTGTGAGAGGATTTTCCCATTATTATTTATTTGTATGTGTTTTTTGTGTGTGTGTCTACACACACACACACACACACACATATACAATACTGGTAAAAGAAATTACTATCTCTAGAACGAATGGCGCCCTGTCCCGGCCGCAAAAATGCCAGCAACTTTAAAACTACCCTTAGACATTCTTGGGTACATCCAGGGTGTCATCTGCAAATAATCGAGATCCGAGAATTTTAAAGGCATGCTGTATTCTTGAAAAAAAAATTAGATGTGATCAAGTGGTATGAACCCTCATCTCCTCCACCACTTGTCTCAAACACCATCTTTTCTTCTTGTGGTAGAGTATTAAAACATTCTTTTAAGTTTATTTACAATTCTTCTGGATATTATTATTATTATTATTATTATATATATTTTTTTTAGGGTTTTATCATTGAAAGCTGCTAACCAAGTCACACCCCACTATGTATTACTGTATTTCACCATGTTTGTTCTTCACTCTCCTTCACAGCTGTTTTCTATTGCACAGCAACATACTGTAACAAGCATTTTTACCTGTTTTCATGGTATTAATAATTAATATTATTAAACTAAAACACAGTTATTATAAAACAACACAAAAATTAACAATAATTCTATGAAAGTGGAAGTGGGACCCAAGTCAGTCACGTTGATGTACTCGTACCTACTGCCCTCTAACCCATTAATTCCCATTGAATCAATGGTTACTACAATGCATTTTTTCTATAACGTTGTGTTTTCAGGAACACAACTACCACATTATAGGAAAACTGACTTATACTAATCTCCTTTCCCTCGAAGAGAAGGTCCATCTGCAACTGAGCTGGCTTCAGCACCCCCAATGGCACTGATCATGTCATCCAAGTAACAGACACAATCCAAGGATATATCCCCTAACTTGAGCTTCTCCAGTCTTGCTAAGGACACATAGTCATCTGTGTATACAGGACATTTAAAGTCAGTAGCATCTTGCACCATTTCATCTCTTGTGCACAGTAGCCACCTTCCACACTCACTGAAAACTATTGAGTTGCTGCCAACACCTTAAGCCTTTATGTTAAATCCTACCTTCAGTCAAGTTGCAATGCCATTGTTAAATTACACTTTTGATTAATGATAAAACAAAAACAAAACTTAAACATTTGCTTAGGAAAATTTACTCATGCTTTGTAATTGTTGAAAGTTGGTAAATAATCTTTGTCTTGTGGTGTGTACTCCAATATAACAGTCTGTCCATTATAGAGATGCTGCTTCTCAAGGAGTGATTTCAGTGTTTGGTCCATGGAGCCAAGACGATTTCCATCACTTGCATGAAAGAACATCAGTTTGTCTGCACCCAAAATATTGTTACGGTTTGTGATCTGAAAGAATAAATATTGTACTCGGTATGTATCTATCTGGGTGAAAGTTGTAATCAGGAGCAACTTACTAGCTATGGATGGACAGGTTTGTTCATACACACAGTACTGTACAGTACTGTATCTCTCAAAGTTTGTAAGTACTAAAGCAACAGCGAAGAATGACAAAAATGATTCAGGGACTTAGAAACCTTCCATATCAGGATAGGTTAAAGAAACTTAACTTGCATTCCCTAGAAAGACGAAGAGTGCGGGGAGATATGATAGAAGTATTTAAGTGGGTGAAAGGAATCAATAAAGTTCTTATAATATCCGAGCAGGATAGGACTCGGAGCAACGGATTCAAGTTGGATAAGTTTAGGTTTAGGAGGGAGATAGGAAGAAACTGGTTCACAAATAGGGTGGTGGACGAGTGGAACAAGCTTAGCAACTTTGTAGTAAGTGCGGGAACTCTGGAAAGTTTCAAAAGGAGGCTGGATAGATTCATGGATGATAGAGAGTGGTAGTAACTCTCGACAGGAGCTGCCATGCACAGACCAACCGGCCTATTGCAGACTCCTTATTTTCTTATGTTCTTCTTCTTCTTCTATTTCTTAACAGCTGTATAATATAAGTAAAGCAGCAGCTGTATAATATAAGTAAAGCAGCAGCTGTATAATATAAGTAAAGCAGCAGCTGTATAATATAAGTAAAGCAGCAGCTGTATAATATAAGTAAAGCAGCAGCTGTATAATATAAGTAAAGCAGCAGCTGTAATATAAGTAAAGCAGCAGCTGTATAATATAAGTAAAGCAGCAGCTGTATAATATAAGTAAAGCAGCAGCTGTATAATATAAGTAGCAGCAGCTGTATAATATAAGTAAAGCAGCAGCTGTATAATATAAGTAAAGCAGCAGCTGTATAATATAAGTAAAGCAGCAGCTGTATAATATAAGTAAAGCAGCAGCTGTATAATATAAGTAAAGCAGCAGCTGTATAATATAAGTAAAGCAGCAGCTGTATAATATAAGTAAAGCAGCAGCTGTATAATATAAGTAAAGCAGCAGCTGTATAATATAAGTAAAGCAGCAGCTGTATAATATAAGTAAAGCAACAGCTGTATAGCACTGAGTCTGATATTAATGTAAAATAGTGACATGTAAACTTGGTGTGTTGAAATAAACTCAGGTGGTTGGCTTATGTGTCATAAATATTAGCACAGCAAGGAAATCAACCATTGGCAGAGCCTCATCATAATAAATATACGTACAGTGAAAAAACACCGAGCATTGGATCACTTGAGTAACGAAACGTTTAAATAACTCCATGAAATTTAAAACAAATTATCTAAAAACTTGAAGAAAAAAAATCTAATATTTTACAGAAGAAAAGAGGAATTATAAATTCTTTTACAATAATCACATGGACTCATTTAATGTTTCCATAGTACAGATTCCACAAACTCATTCAATGATAAAATTCAATCAAGGCAAAAATTAATTGATAAGAGAGATGCTGCAGACTTATTTTTGGGGATATAAAAAATGAGTGTAAAATGTGAACCAGATGGTAAAGTGTGTCGCTCAAACAGATAAAGGACAACTGATAGGGTGGAGACAAATGTGTTTCACAAAAGAGAAGATACAGATGATGAGAGGTAGAGTACTCAAACATTTTGTGTACTGTACTGTACTATATTGTACTGCACTGCATATGGATGATAAAGAAGGTAAGGATGATCTGGTGGCAATAGATGAGAATACCAAGATAAATGAAAAAATATCTGCTATTTATGGATGGGTATAAATACTGTATTGTGCAGTGTATCAATCAAACCTTTGCAATGGTAGCAGCAGCATCAATCGCTCTCCCAACTGTCCACTGATGAGAAAAAAATAGTGGTTGTGCCACAGTTTTACACTCCATTGGGAAGAGAACCATAAGATAAAGCCTCTCCTCCCGTGGCAAGCTCTCATCCCCAGATGACTTCTGCTTCAACTTCATCAACTGCACCTGCAGAATTAAAAAAAACAATTGTGTGCTTTATTAGTTATGACAATATAAAGTTGTCCTCAATTAAAATTGGTTCTAAAGATCATTATCAACCCATAAATGATGGCTGGCTCCTTAACTAAATTCTCTTCCAAGACAGGGATACATACTGTATATGTGCTTTTTTAAAAAAAAATTAAAATGAAAACAATTTCTCAAGAAAAGGACAAGATTTGCTCACTGGTGTATTAAGGTTTGCTCTACCCAATTGAGAGGTGTGTGTCTAGGCAGGAAAGGTGACCAAGTGATCCCACACGCCATAGCTTTGTTTTTATCATCGATTCATCATTATATTCTCGTTTGATTGGCCTCTTATGGCATATAATTATTCTTAAGTAATACATCATCTTCAATAGCAGAATAAAAACACAATATTGTACAATATACTGTATATGTAATCTGACCTTAAACAAAAGTATAGGGAGTACTGTACTGTAACCAGAATGTGGCAACTCACCCTCCTCCCATATCTTACTTAATCTGATAATGGAAAGGATTACTGTACTGTACTGTGTTCAATTACTTAAAAGTACTGTACAGTACAGTTCAGTTTATGAAAATTTTGTTTTAGTATTCAAGACACAGGCCAGTAAGTTATCTATTGAAATTGCTGTGATTATGGACCACTAACCCTTCAATATAGTTAATTAATAATTGTCTATAGTGTACTGTACTGTACTATACTGCACTGTACTATACTGTACTGCACTATATTACAATGTACTGTACTGTACTATATGGTACTACACTGTACTATACTGTTCTGCACTATATTGCACTGTACTATACTATACTGTACTACACTGTATTGTACTATACTGTACTGCACTATACTGCACTGTACTATACTGCACTGTACTATACTGAACTGTACTACACTATACTGAACTGTACTATACTGAACTGTACTATACTGTACTACACTATACTGTACTGTACTGCACTATACAGTACTACACTGTACTGCACTATACTGTACTGTTCTGCACTGCACTATATTGCACTGTGCTGTACTATACTGTACTACATTATACTGCACTGTACTATACAGTACTACACTGTACTGTACTATACTGTACTGCACTATACTGCACTGTACTCAATATACTGCACTGTACTGTACTGCACTGTACTATACTGTAATGCACTGTACTATACTGTAATGCACTGTACTATACTGTAATGCACTATACTGGAATGCACTGTACTATACTGGAATGCACTGTACTATACTGTAATGCACTATACTGGAATGCACTGTACTATACTGTAATGCACTGTACTATACTGGAATGCACTGTACTATACTGTAATGCACTGTACTATACTGTAATGCACTGTACTATACTGGAATGCACTGTACTATACTGTAATGCACTGTACTATACTGTAATGCATTGTACTATACTGGAATGCACTGTACTATACTGTAATGCACTGTACTATACTGTAGATTCACTTTAATAGTGAATTGTAGATATTGACACCACACAACTGATGTACACCCACTAATCATTACTCGTGTCATATTGTATCACGCCATAAGGGTGCCCAATAATTTTTTAGTGGGTATACAGTAAACACTGTGTACAGTATATAATTTTTATTTATTTATTTATTTGGGTTTTTTCACGGGGATCAGCCCACCCGGGTACAGGTCACTGACCCACATCTGGGCCTGGGGGGTAATAATAAAAATAATAATAATAATAATAATAATAATAATAATAATAATAATAATAATAATAATAATATTAATAACAACAATAATAATAATAACAATAATAATAATAACAATAATAATAATAATAATAATAATAATAATAATAATAATAATAACGAAATAAAAAATGAAAAAAAAAGATCAAAAGTGAGAAACAATATATGTACAGTGGTCCCTTGGTTAACGAGATTTCAGATAACGAGTTACCTTCCATAAGATTCTTAACTTCGGTTAACGAGCAATCCCTCGATTAACGAGTTTCTTACGAGCCGACCTGAACATGTTTTCGCTTGCATTTGGCAGTCCACCAGCTGTAGCATTAGTCCGCCAATACAATAATCGGTTCTAGGGCTTAAATTCCTTACCATTTTAGCAAATATCAAGAAGTTTATACTATTCAATAATTTTAAAAGTTTAATATTATATTTTTTAGTAATTTTAACAATTATTGAACAAAATTGAAGGTAATGAAACTAGTTTTATGCGCGCCATCCAGCCTCTCAACACACCAAACAGGCGTCAGTCTTTGTGTCTTTTCAGTGGAGGTAACATCTTGCTTGAGACTCTCTTCAACTAAACTCTTTTTTTGTGTGTTTGCAAGCAAATTATTGGTCATTTTGAAATTTATTTTACATATTGACAATATATAATGCAGTGCAGTGTTGATTTAAAGAAAATAATCTTGAATTACACCAAGAGAACTAAAATTTTATGGGTGAAATGGCGCCATGGGGTGACTTCTCTTCCACCCCAATGCCTTCTCTTCTCCCTTCTCCTCCACCCCCATTCTAATTCCCATCATCATCATCATCCAGGAGCCTTCTACATACACACCACAAAGTAAGTGTAATTTTCTACCTTTTTTGTTGAATTTAGGCAATTTTCGGTGAGCTGGAACCAATTACCCAAACACCCATTGAAACAATGGTTTCGGTTAACGAGTTTTTCGGTTAACGAGCAACCTTCTAGAACAGATTGTGCTCGTTAACCGTGGGACCACTGTACAGTATGTTGTGTTGTCAATACTAAGAGAAACAACTGAGACCCTGCAATTGTGTGTAAATGAGGCAGAAAGTCAGATCAGCAACCTGAGACTTGGTCACAACTTTTGTGATGCCAAATGGCAGCAGGGTCTACCATTAGACAATAATTTATGCTTCCAATATCTAAAAATACTGTAGTCCTGTATCTATTCTTTGTTTTGAGGCAAATTTATTAGCTCAAACTGCATAATAATGTGGGTTTACTGTACATTACAGCACACAACCTCCTACAAGAAGTCATCATGGGGTGATATACTGTACCGCAAATAAGGAAATAAAGTGAGCAATGATTTTTGCAACTAAAAAGTAATGTTAAATAAGGGAAAATTAAATTGGAACACACACACTTCATTAGTGCTGTGCTGCATAATGTAAGATCAAAATTGTACTGTACCTTAGCTGACAGCTTGTCAGACTTTCTGCCTTGTCCTTTCTTAGCAGGTGTTGCGTCTAGACGGTCGGTAATTTGCTGAATTTTAACAGCTGCTTCAGCCATCGCATTTTCTGGAGGCTTGTAAGCTGGACATACATGATCAACCTAGGAAAAAATAGATACCATTAAGTATCTTCCAATATTACAAACACTATTATTAGTTTTATGCCAGAGTTGTTCCATGCATGCAGGCAGGATAAACCCCAGTCAAGCACAGCACACCTCCTACACTCATTCACACATAGGAATGTTATGATAGAACCTGTACTGAGAGGGCAGAGTTGGGTTTATTTGTAGCAAGAACACAAAAAGTCAAACAATTCTTAACTGCTGCAGACATTTTATATCTCACATGAAAGTATAATATTTTTATACAGTCCAATAGGGAAATTACATATCCAAATCATAGGTAAGTATTCTGTTATTTATGTACATAACTGTAGTCATTGCCTTGCCGCTTAAACACTTTCCTTTAGCATGCAGATACAGTAGAAGTATAAGGAGAACAGTACATACATCACTGCTGGTTTATTTACAGTTCTACCTGCCTTTTACGGCGGAATGCTGAACAATTCAGTTTTGCGAGATTAATCATTAAGTACATAATAAAGTTTCTGTTGTGCAATTTTCATGGGACTATAAACACAAATATCAGTGTTTTTAATACTCCAGCTGTGTCCTATTAGTCCACAATTAATCAAACTTCTGCAAAATCACCTGCTGTCATTGGTCATCAAAGATGTACACAAGTGCCTTATAATATGTGAGTAACTCTGCATGTCTGTATAGACTCGCCTCAATAGGTATCTTTACGTAGAAGTCCGATGAATTTTAAAATAAACACGGCGACTCTTGTTGTCACGGCGACTCGTTGTCAAGGCGACTCTAGTTGTCACGGCGACTCTTATTGTCAAGGCGACTCTAGTTGTCACGGCGACTCTTGTTGTCAAGGCGACTCTTGTTGTCACGGCGACTCTTGTTGTCAAGGTAAGGTTGTCAAAACCCTTTGTCCATTGTGTCATACAGGACAAGAAAAATTTTAATAATAATACTACAAAAAACTTATACCTTCCCATTGTGGGGAGTTTCATGAGGTAAGAAAGTCTTTACCTTGTACAGAAAAATGTCCTCAAGTTGTGTAACCACCATCCAGTACAGTACTGCAAATTCAGCATATAATTGACTCGGTTTCTGACATCGCAGGTCTGCCCATGTCAACACAACTACAAAAATGAAAATGATTTTCTGGCACATATAAATAACTAAAACACAGATATTTTTAGTGGTTCCAGGACACCTGAATAAACCAAAAATTATTTTTATGGATTTCTGGCATCCTTTGCTATCATTTTGTCAATTCTCCCTTCACTTTTTCTACAGCAGCTGATGCAGCCTCCACAGTGAGAGTTACACTCTGTAGCTCAGCACATTTGATGATGCTGTGATGACAGCCTAGAATTGCTGTCACTGGCTGGCTTGCCATCTCTCTTGAGCAACTGAGCTTGAATTTCCATTGCCCCAGCCTGAATCATTAGACCAATGAGTGCAGCTGTATGACATTCAATGCTCACTGTCCAAATCTTCAAAGCTTGGTAGCGTAGAGTGGTGGCCACCAATGTTAGATGGTCTTGGATATGGATGTCTGTGTATACAGTATTGCATGACTCTTCTCAGCCTTCAGTCTGATATATGCATCAAATTGTGTTCTCATTTACCCCGTTTCAGTGTGCCATAACTGATGCTTTTCATTGTCAAGAGTATCCAAAATTTCAACTGTCTCTTCTAAATTAAAAATGTCTCTCTTGTTTGTTCACTCGTACTGGAAGGAGAAGCTGCTAGACCCGTTGGTAAGTGGTGTACTGTACAGTATGTGGTTAACTTGAGAGAGTTAGAGGAAGTGTCCTTGAGCACTGGCTGAGTGACTGTAGTAGTTGTGTCAGCGAGGCAGTTGAATTAAAACACTTGCAGCCAGGTCTTTCTCATAAAATGTAAAAAAAAATTGTAATATATAGCCTTTAAATAAAAATTCACAAAATAACCCGAGGCTACTGTAACTAGATAACAACCAAAATTCCTAAAATTTTAAGCCATGCACCCAACATAAGGCTTTACATTAACACTGTATCAACCTTACCTGATGTCTGTGGGTGAGGCAAAAGTTATTGGAACAGCCGGTACAAATCACTGGTGCTAGTTCGCCATTATTACAACCTGGATGACTGCAAGGGTACCTGTAGTTAACATCCTCTGACACCTATAATGGCACATAGATAAGATACAGGTCAATAAAACTCAAGAAAGTACTGTACTGTTGGAAGAAAGTTATGAAACTGGCATTACTCTTACAGTAAAAGTAAGTAGGATGAATACACAGTACTGTACTGTATATCATAATGTTATGCAGTACACCTGCACTTTCTACTTCAACAAATTATAATACCTGGCAGTACAGTAACACGAACTAGACAGGTAAAGAATGGCTTAATTTATTAATTATGCCTTCCTATTATAAACAAGTCACTGGAAAGAAATATTAAGAAAACAATCATCACTCAAGGTAGGTAGAAAACAATAAGTTGCAGCATCAAATAAGGCAGTGAACTCACTACTTCAACCAATAAAGTGATCCCTCGGTTAATGAGATTTCGGTTAACGATTTGCCTTCCATGAGATTCTTAACTTCGGTTAACAAGCAGTCCCTCGATTAACGAGTTTTTTACGAGCCGACTTCAACATGTTTTCGCTTGCATTTGGCGGTCCACCAGCTGTAGTATTAGTCCGCCAATACAGTAATCGGTTTTAGGGCTTACATGCATGTAAGATTGTTATCATTATTGTGATAACCAACGACATCACAATGTTAACATCATCTCTTCCTAATCCTCCTTCCCCCTCATACACGGTGCACCATCTATTGCTTCAAAAAGGGGCTTCCTTCAGGTGCTTCGTTGTTCGAACTTCAGTTGTATCAGCTTCACATTGTGGGTGGCAGCAGGACAGGACTTTTGTACATGACTGCACCACATCATAAATACAGTAAATAGAGAGCCTGTTACAATACAGTATAGTCTCGGTTTAAACGGATTTTCCTTATGCGGTTGGTCATTTACGCGGCACCTGTCCAGACGCGACAATTATTAGTTACGTGGTACATTCCTGAATTTACGCAGGAAGCGGCGCGAACAAGCTGCGCGGTAGGTCGCTCTTACGTCACCGCTGACGTCAGTTGACGTTTTGGACTGTGATTGGGCCACGCATCCTTACCACCCACGCATCCCCTCCGCTGCGAGCTGTGGTTGGTCTAATTTAACTTGGCGTGCCCTGCCACCAGAGGGAATAAGTCGCTGACCTTAGAAGCGTCAGTCCCTTTGTCCTGCGTTTCCATGTATACAGTGCTCCCTTGTGCCAGCTAATCTGCTCAACAATGGCTTCCGCTGGACCCCTACCACCCCCGAGAAACCTTGAACTACCTGGCCCAAGCCACTCAAAGCTCAAGAAGGTACGACACGCCTTAAGCTATGAAGTGAAATACAAAATCATCCAGGAGTTAGAGAAAGGCACAAGACAGGTGGATCTGGCCCGACAATATGGAGTTAATGAATCGACGATCTGCACCATCAAGAATGATGCCGGCAAGATCAAAGAACACATGAGCATCACAAAGTCTGCAGGTGCGTCGATGGTGAAATATTGCCACAATAAGGTGCTGCTCAAGACTGAAGGTTTATTGGTCAGGTACTTGATTCGTCAGTCAAGAAGGAACATGGCGGTCGACACGCAGACAGTGCAGAACTACGCGAGAGAACTGTATCTATCAATTGCTAGAAAAATCGGAGTTGCAGAGCCCAAACCCTTCACTGCTTCCGCTGGGTGGCTGCAAGGTTTCAAACGTCAAAATAAGATCACGAATGTTGAAATTGTTGGTGAAGGAGCAAGTGCTGACCGGGCTGCCGCTATGAATTTTCCCCCATTCTTACGAGAAATTATGGAGGAAGGACAGTACATCGACGACCAAGTGTTCAACATGGATAAATCTGGGTTGTTTTGGAAGAAATTACCATCCAAGACCTTCGTAGTCAAGTCTGCGAGCAAGTGTCGGGGCCGGAAGTTGCAGAAGGAGCGCATCACCGTCCTGTTCACCACCAATGCCTCCGGCACTTGAAAGCTGAAGTTGTCTGTGATCCACAAAGCCCGCAAGCCGCATGCCTACAAAAATATGGGCATGAGCAAGTTAAATGTCCATTGGCTAACCTCAGGGAAGGCGTGGATGTTCACTGGTCTGTCCCTCTCCTGGTTTGACAACGGTTTCCTTCCTGATGTGAAGAAATTCTGCGAGCAACATAATGTTCCATTCAACATTTTGTTGCTCCTTGACAACGCACCAGGACACTCGCCCCTATTGCTGGATCGTTACCCCAATGCAAAAGTGATCCTCCTTCCCCCTAACACTACTTCGTTAATCCAGCCCATGGATCAGGAGTTGATATGCGACGTCAAGGCTGCTTTCTCCGCAAAGAAGTTTCGGCTCCTGAACGACTTCACCAACACCAAGGATGAATTCCAGAACCTTCTGAGTGGCACCGATAGCGAGAGCGAGGATCCAGAACAAGATTTGGCGGACCATGAAGTGCGAGTCAAGCAGTTCTGGAACTGTTTAACATCAAGAAAACTGTTGATATCTTGGTGGAGGCATGGGGACAGCTGTCTGTGGCAACGATTCGTCACTCGTGCCGACATGTGTTGGAGGGTATCCCAGGTGGGAGGCAGAGTCAAGCGGTGGCTGGCGAGGCTCAGTCTGTTGCTGTGGCATTAGACATTGCAAGAGAGGCTGCACAAAGTGTTAGAGCTGCAGGCTTCTCCGAGACCACCAACGACGACATCCTGGAGGTACCTGTATATGCGGACCTCCATGGGTTTAATTGACTGAGTAAAACGAGACTATACTGTACTGTAGTTATGTTCACTCCATCTATGAGATACTGTAGCAGTATAGTACTGCATAGGATAGCAAACAAGAATTTACGGTGTACTGTGCTGTACAGGTTGACAATCCCTTATCCGAAATCCTTGGGACCAGAGGCATTTCGGATTTCGGAATTTTTTTTTTTTTTTTGCCCACCCGGGCATAGATCATTGACCCACATCAGGGCCTGGGGGGCAAAAATATAATAATAATAATAATAATAATAATAATAATAATAATAATAATAATAATAATAATAATAATAATAAATAATAGTCATAATAATTCATAATAAATAAAATTTATGATAAAACAAACAATAATAAAATAATGATGATAATAATACAGTAACTGTAATAATAATAATAATTTTAATAATAAAGAACTATAAATACAAAAATGAAAAAAAGATCAAAAGTGAGAAACGATATATGTATGTTGTGTTGTCAATGGTAAGAGAAACAATTGAGATCCTGCAATTGTGTGTAAATGAAGCAGAAAGTCAGATCAGCAACCTGGGACTTGGTCACAATTTTTGTGATGCCATATGGCAGCAGGATCTACCATTAGACAACACATTATGCTTCCAATATCTTCCCAGGCAGTAGTACCTCCCTGTTGGGTAGCTGCCTGCTGCCTCCAACATCTCATCCAGTTCCTTCAAGTCATCAGGAGTAAGTTCCTGCTCATGAGACATCACAAGCTCTTCCACATCCTCCTCCTCCACTTCGAGGCCCAATGACTGACCAATGGACACAATCTCCTTGTCCAACTCTGCTTCTTCTTCAAATCCCTCAAAATCATGAACTGCTGATGGCCACAGTGCTTTCCATGCAGAATTGAGGGATCTAATGGAGACTTCCTGCCATGATGACACAATCACTTTAACAGCCTCCAGGATGTTAAATTGTGTCTTCCAGAACTGTGCCAGTGTTAGTTCAGGATCAGTGGAAGTTGCCTGATAACACCTGAACATTTTCTTCATGTACAACTTCTTGAAGTTGCTGATCACATTCTGGTCCATTGGCTGCATGATTGATGTAGTGTTGGGAGGCAAAATCAACACTCTGACAAAGTCAAATTGAGCCTCCAAAGTGCTGGCAAGTTCAGGGTCATGACCAGGGGCATTATCCATAAGGAGAAGAGCCTTTAAAGGGAGTTTATTGGTGATTAGGTAGCTCTTCACAGAAGGGCAAAACACCTCAACAGCCCATTCATTAAAGAGCTGTCTTGTCACCCATGCCTTACGGTTGGACTTCCAATAAACTCCAAGCTTTCCTCTTACCACTTTTTATTGTTTGAACACCCTGGGGTTCTCAGAGTAGTAGACAAGCATAGGCTTCAGTCGGAAATCCCCTGAAGCATTGGCACCAAGCAATAGAGTGAGACGGTCTTTCATAGGTTTATGCCCAGGTAAAGAGGCTTCATCTCTGGTGATGAATGTTCTTTTGTGCATTTTCTTCCAAAACAGCCCAGTTTCGTCCACATTGAACACTTGCTGTAGAAGATAATTTTCTTCATCCACCAGTTTCTTAAAGTCTACTACAAACTTTGCTGCTCCTTCTTTATCTGCACTTGCAGCCTCACCATGCCTAATAACATAGAAAATGTCACTTCTTTTCTTAAATTTTTCAAACCAGCCCTTGCTGGCCAGAAAATCTCCGAACTCTGTGCCAGAAGAACCAGGTTGATCTTCCTTTAAATGTTCGTAAATCTCCCTGGCTCTTTCACAAATAAATTCTGTAGAAACTGAATCACCTTTCATTTGCTTTTCCCTGATCCAATTGAGAAGTAACCTCTCTGTTTCTGATATCAATGATCTACTTTTAAACAGTCTGGTAGATTTGACTCTCACTTTCACTTCTTTGAACTTGTCTCTCTGTGCAAGAATTGTCGACACAGTTGATGCCGATATGCCATAGTCTTTACTAAGCACATTTGTTCTAATTTTTTAACCAAAATTTTTTCGTTAACCGAAGTGAAGAATCAATTTCAATTTTTCAATTTCAATTGTTTATTCCTTGATAGAGGAAACGGGATCCCGTGAAGAATCTTATGGAAGGTAATTCGTTAACCGAGGCGTTCGTTAACCGAGGGATCACTGTATATATGTTGTGTTGTCCAAGTAAGAGAAACAATTGAGACCTTACAATTGTGTGTAAATGAGGCAGAAAGTCAGATCATCAACCTGGGACTTGGTCACATATGGCAGCAGGGTTTACCATTAGACAACACATTATGATTCCAATATCTTCCCAGGCGGTAGTACCTCCCTGCTTGGTAGCTGCCTATCTATCATTATGGATGCACAGTACTGTAATAATAAAGAACTGAATGTTGGCACAGGAAACGGCTACCAGTGACTTAGTTTCTTTTAAAAAATTTATAAGTTACTAACCTGTTGCTTGATTTTGTTGTAATCCCCAGTACATTGATGGTGTTCAGGCAAGAAATGATCCTTACAGAAACTGTTGTTACAAAAGTGACACTTAATTGGAAGAAAATCTAGTTGCTGGCATGATGTCTCTCCACAGTTTTTGCCTAAGCCTGGAAACTCCATTATTTTTCTCTATTACAGTACAGTAGTACTCTACTGTGCAAGTGTATTTATAAGTTACTTTATATATAATGTTCTCTATAATGTTGTATAATCTTGGTAATTTTTAAGTACAATAATGAATCAATCAACTTTGATTTGGTATGACAACTATAGAATACAGTACAATACAACCAAGAATAAAAATATTAAATTATTACTGTACAGTACAGTATTGTATACATAATGAGACAAAGCCACAGAGGTGAGTTTACAATCAAATTAATTAGTTTGACATATTCTGTGCTTGAGAGTCTGTAAGATTAGAGAGCATGAGATCAGTCCACTTGTGTTCTTGTTGGCGCAGCGTTTGATGTGGCGTGGTGGTGTCTGGCTCAGGGTCGGGAAGTTCCAGCACGGGTACGGCTATATCATCGCTGGGTAGGCAATCCTTACGCCACCCTGAATCCACAAGCCCTAACAGCCGACCATCTAACTGTACTTGGGAGTCCATAAGCTGTTTGGGAGACAAGAGTTAAAGATATGTAGGACTGATAAATTATGGATACAGCCTCTTTAGATCATATTAAAATTCTCTAACATTTCACCAAACTATCCTCGTTGTGTATGGTCAAGTTGGGTGATGTATGAGAACACTGCTACCACCAGAAAATGTTTACAGATTTTCTTTATTTTCACAATGCGATCTTATCATTAAAGTAAGTACAACTGCTCCCCGACTTACGACTGGGTTAGGGACACAAATCCAGGTCGTAAGTCGAAAATGCTTAAATAATACATAGAAAATCTAAAATGGGTGTTTCTTTTTCTTCTCAGCACCACAAAACTCTCACTTTTAAGCTTGCCAGCCATTTTAAAGAGAATTACAAACGAAAATTTTGTCAGTACACAGCTCAATCACTGACGTTGGGACTCGAAAATACGTAATTTGACAAAATTTTGGTACGATTGAGGCGGTCGTATGTCTGGGTGGTTGCAAGTCGAGTAGGTCGTAAGTCGGGGAGGAGCTGTACAGTATTTTAAGAGGCAACATTTACTAGAATTACTGTTTTTTACTTTTATATCATCAGTTACTCTTCGATCATGAATCACTTGTTAGTGGGCAGGGAACGAAGGAAGAGGGAAATTACGGGGTAAAAACACAGCAAACACAAATAATGAATGCAGAGAAATGTCAAAACCTGACCTAACCTAATCAGGGGGCACCACCAACTTAACCCAAAATATAATAAAGTTTACCTCTGTTGAGTTACTTCTTTGCATACAGAAATTTTTGAGGCTTGGAAATAATGCCATGGGTTTTTGCTCAGTATTTTCCCTCATCTTTCTTGCCCTGCCCACTAGCAAGAGATTTATAGGGGAAAAAAATAATAAAGGTGAAAATATAATAATGTCACTTGGGTAAATTTTCACTTATTGTCACTATACAAAATCAAAGTTGAAACTGTGTTTTTCAGATGGTTTTGATGAGATATGAACAAATTTGACCTTCATTTGTGGCACAAATCAATAGTTTCTGAGTAAAGCCCCCCCTCCCCCTCCCATCTCAGTATCTAGAGATTTACTATAAAACTCCAGGTAAAGAATGTTCAAAACACATCAAAAACACCTGAAAAAAGTTTTGAATGTAACCTAACCAAACTGGGGGCTCCAGAAATGCCATTGAAGATAAATGTTTTAAAATTATGAAAATTACCAATTGTAACTATAAAATTCAAGAGATTCATTTAGTGGCAACATGTGAAATAAAATTGTTTCAACTTCAATTTTGTTTAGCGGCCACAAGTGAAAATTTACCCAAACTGACCTGTTCCACATGAAGGTAAATATTCGTCCAATGGCTCTCCTCAAGTTTTGGTACAAGAATAGTTTTTTTGGGGGAGGGCTGTTTTTTTTTTGTGTTTTACTCAAATCTGACCTTCATTTCTTGTGCAAATTAACATTTTCGTCTTTAACAGAAACTGCTAATTTGAACTAAAATGACTACTGTATTATCCAAGGGTGGATCCAGGGGGTCCTGGGGGTCTGGACTCCCCCTGTTTCATCAGAAAATTCCAATACTTTTCTTTAATGCAGTACTGTACTGTACAGTATTGTACTCAGGCGTTTTTGTATAGTAAAACGTAATTACTATTGACTTCAGAATATCTCCTAATATCAAGTGAACATGGCTTCAAAATGCTTATAATATTGGTCAGATTAAAAAAAAAATCTGGAGCGATTACAGCCCCCAGCTGGGTGGGATCACTTTGCTCACCATGTTCCCCTTACAGCCCCCAGCTAGGTGGGCTCACCATGTTCCCCCTTACCCCCCTCCCCCAGCTGGGTGGCTCACTTTGCTCACCATGTTACCCTTACAGCCCCCCCAGCTGGGTGGGCTCACCATGTTCCCTCTCCCACAACTTCTTGGACCTCCTCCTCTTTTTATATTCCTGGGTCCACCTGTTACCACCATCCCAGAGAGCTCCTGTGTGTTGGTTAGTACACATGCTCCAGAGTCTGACACATGCGCAGTTGTTCTTCACAAAAATCTCATAAGTTAACTGGTGGATATGATTTTGGATCAACCAACTCACACCTCGGTATCCCCCCCCACCTGTGACCCCCTTGAATTTGAATTTATTTCCAAGATGTCTCTCTTGTGCAATGGTAGTGATGTTGATTACTTCCAAGCCATCGCAAGATTTCACATTGAATATTATGGTAAGGACGGCGAAGCATTGAAATTTCTCCACGAACACAGTGTTCTGCCAGCTGAAATTACTTGCACGAACTGTAACCAACCCTGTACCTATAAAGCTGACAAACAGCAGCCAGTACGACCTGTGAATGACGAGGACGACGACCCTGATGATCCCCAACTCCCGAGTCTAATTAAGGTAAGCACGACTGATTCCAAAACTTAAAATTCTAAAATCGCTGGAGAGCCAAAACGATAATTTTACCTACAGTAGGTTAGGTTGGGTAGGTTAGGTTTGGTTAGGGTAGGTGTGTTTAACAGTAGAATTGAATATCAGATTCGTTCAAAACACGTCAAAAAACATCAGAAAAACATTATTTCAACTTCCAACAACTTAGAAAATACAAAAATTTTCCTTTGTTTTTGAGATCATGAGCGGAAGAAATTCCATTGAAGAAAAGTGTCTCAGAATTGTCCTAAAAATTGCAGGATGACCGAAACGATAATTTTACCCAAAAATGAAGGTCAGATTTGCATAAAACACACCAAATAAAACAAAAACAATTTCCATACTAAAGGAACCAACCTACCTAACCTAACCTAACCTACAAGGAGGAGACAAGTGAGAGACACAGCCTCAGGTAAACATGGCGGGAACCTGCGGACAGTCTATGGGTGAATATCAACCCTCATAAGTTACCTCATGAGTATATGTGTTTGTTACTCATCTATGGTGACTCCTCTTTTGGTGTTACAGTATATTATCGCTTCAATCATACAAGGAACCGTAGGGGGGTGTGGGGGGTATAGTCTCCTTGTTAGGTTAGGTATAAGCTAGATTAGATTAGATATAGGTTAGGTTCAGTTAGATGGTAATTATTCAGGACTAATCCACGGCAAAATTGATCGAAAAAGATTATAAAAACACCGGATTTTCACTGTTATTTTATAGTGGACACAGTTGTGGTTTGTGCAAATGTGTTAAAAAATGGATATTTCTAAATTAAATTAACTTAACATTTGTAGGTATGAAAAACAGACCTAACCAACCTAGCCAAACAAACCCACCTAGCCTTACCTAACTTCCTTACCTAACTTCCCCGGTATATTAAACAAAAAGAACTTACTATGATATGGTGAAATTTGGGGTATTTTCTGGATGTGAGATGATACGGGCGAATCAGCGTTTATGCAGCCGGGGCAGCGGAGTGATTTATTGTGATGGCGAGAAACAACAAATTTCTTTCCGGTCTGAAAGCACAGGGATTCCCGCAGTGTGGACAGTCTCTATTTAAAGGAACAATGCCGTGGTCTTTGAACAATTGAAGGGTCTCATTATCTATCCCTAAATTCGCAAATTACGTCCATATAAGACAGGCAACAACCTTGAAACGTCATGCTGAAAATGAAACTGCTGCGAGCAAAGCAGCAGAGCGTGGCCTCATTACCGATGGGAAGACAAATTAGTGAGTGTCTAGGCGCCTAATTATCTATGACATGAAACATTTGCACAAGAAATGATTACCTTATCAGAACTCACAGATGAAAATAAAGAAAATAAACAGTAATACAAATAACGCGTCCGAAGGTTGTCCTATACAGTATAGTCTGCATTTAAGCGGTCAATTGAACCCATGGAGGTCTGCGTAAAGTGAGAAACACTTAAATGAAATAACAGAACATATGGGATTAATTGAAATAGAGACTGGGCCGACCTCCAGACTCCACTTTTGCCAACAAAATACGTACCTTGTAGTCAAAATAACATCTTAATTTTATGATGGTATGCACACACAATTAATAATTAAGAGAAATATCAATAATATTAGGTTTTTTAACACTTAATCCCCGGGTGGGGGTTTGTGGATGGGTGGTGTGTGTAAACAAGTGTGTTGAGAGCGAGGGATGTACTGTAGTACTGTTGATACAGTATACTGTACTACAGTTTAGTGTTGAAGATGGCTACACCGTCACTGTCTCCTGACGAGGAATTGAGTCACCTCACTGATGAGGAATATCTTATATACAGAGCAAAGGAACAGCAGAAGAAAGATCCCTGTGCAGCCAAGTGTTGGATGATCACGGCTCAAGCTCTATTCCCAAAGAATTTCGGGATTCAGGTGAGTCATACCTACATCCACTGGTGTTTGGACTTATAAATGTAGTAGCGATGATGGAGTATAATTGTGTCCAATAATCCGACGTGAGCTTTTCTGTCTGTCTGCTGTGGCCCTACTTCGTAAGATGACTGACTGTAGGGTCATTAAAGCTCCAAATTATATCTATTTACTTACCTTATTAATCTTATGGTCACTTATCACTAGTATAAATTTGTACTCGTTTTGAACTTATTCTCGTCTTTTTAAAATTGTTCAGAATGATGATAGTGATAAATGTCAACCACACATATGTTACCTCTCCATAAAGGCTTGTGGCGCTGTAACAAACTATGAGGCAGGAATGGAGTGTAGTTTGATTATGGCATAAACTGGGGTAGCAGCAAACCTTACCTCAATAAGAATTAACCGTTAATATATAGGACTAACCCGCCAGGGCTGCATAGCGCCGATGTGGCCGTATCATCTCACGTCCAGAAAATGCCTCAAATTTCACCATATCATAGTAAGTTCTTTCTGTTTAATATACCGGGGAAGTTAGGTAAGGTTAGGTCTGTTCTTCATACCCACAAATGTTAAGTAGTGTTTTTTTTTTTTTAATATTAATTTTTAACATATTTCCACAAACTACAACAGTGTCCACTATAATATAACACTGAAAATCCGGCATTTATATAATTGTTTTCAATCAATTTCGCTCACGGGTTAGTCCTATATAATTACCGAATTAACATATAATCTGGCTGATTATTGTCTCAGGGCTCAACACTTTTAAAATTAATGAAGGGTTATTTATGGTCCACAATGGTACAGTACAGTACAAAAAGTCCTGGCAAGGGTAAACTTTAGTTTGTGGACTATAGATAAATTGATCTCTCGGGATCTATCTGGACTTAATACTGACCCTGAAGAGACAACTGTCACAGAAGGGTCGTGTCCTGTGAGGTCTAGGGCGTCCAGGAACATAACATAAGAAAATAAGGAGTCTGCAATAGGCTGGTTGGCCTGTGCATGGCAGCTCCTGAAGGGGGTCATAGTACATGGAGAAGCCCTGCATGGTTGTGCCACCTTAGTACAGAACAATACAGGTACAGTAGAGTACAGTACAGTACAGGTACAGCACAGTACAGTAGAATACAGGTGCAGTACAGGTACAGTACAGTAACAGTACAATAGAGAGAGTACAGTACAGTACAAGTACAGTACAGGTACAGCACAGTACAGTACAGTAGAGTACAATACAGGTACAGTAGAGTACAGGTACAGTACAGTAACAATACAGGTACAGTACAGGTACAATACAGGTACAGTACAGGTACAATACAGTAGAGGTACAATACAGGTACAGTACAGTACAGGTACAATACAGTACAGTACAGGTACAGTACAGTACAGGTACAATACAGTACAGGTACAGCACAGTACAATACAGGTACAGTACAGTACAGGTACAGCACAGTACAATACAGTACAGGTACAATACAGTACAGGTACAATATGGTACAATACAGTACAGGTACAGTACAGTATAGTACAGGTACAATATAGTACACATACAGTACAGTACAGGTACACTACAGTACAGGTACAGTACAATACAGGTACAGTACAGTGTAGGTACAGCACAGGTACCGTATATGGAAATTATTTTGTTCATTTCCACTGAGAATCCATGACTTGTAAATATTTTAACTGACAATTTGCCCACATGACCTCTAGATAGTTCGTGTGCACAGTTAGATCTTTGGTAACTATTTGTTGTTGACTGTGCTCATTGTTAAGTCATCAAGTTCCCTATATACCTGGTATATATCTTATATAATCCATGATTCACTTGTATAAATGATGCTGTCTAATCTTTCCTTCTTGCTGCCTCCCTCACAAATATTTTTCTTATTTTTTTGGTATATTGAGAATAATGTGATGATTTTCTCTTTCTCTCTCCTGCCAGTTTGAAGTATACCAGATTGAGAAAGCTGCCAAGAATGTCAAGGAAGCAGCAAAGTGTCTCAGTGTATTGTAAGTGTCATGACTCCTGTGTTTGTATTGTGGGATTTTGTAAGTACTGTACTGTATTGGGTTCCTGAAAACCTTTGATCTTTTGTGAGTCATTCTTGGTAGAATTTAACTCCTCATGGGAAATAGCCGGTTAGGATGTGGATCTCACACAACTTGGCCTTCTTCACCTATAGTATTTTTACTAAAGAACACTGGTATTCAGACCTGATGGTGTCATCAGTAGAGTACACATAGTAATACTGTATATAACATAGTGTAAAAATGTGGAAGGAAGGATATACAGTTCTGTATTGTATTGTACAATATATAAAAGAGTGGGCATCGTGATCTCCTCACAGCTGACCACCAGCACTATGAACAGCACATCTACCTACCGTATAGTACACCCATTTCTATCAACCTTATCATATTAAAACTATTAGCATGTAATAATTGTAAGAATACTTATTAATTATATAATTTGTGGTAAGGAATGATTTATTGAGAAGATATACCCTGTATTCTCCTCACAACCAAAAGCCTCAATTTCACTTTTCAAACTAAATTTTCACTGTTTCTTGGTGCAACAAGTGTTTGGTAAAACATTTGCATGTTTTATTTGTACTCATTATGCACAATTTGGGGCAACAACAAATGGTTACAGACAACAAACGAAGTTTCCCCCGCCTATCACCAGATGGCAGCCGGGGTCTCTTGCCTGAGGTCAATGTCGCCTGATGCTGAGGAAAGGAAGAAAGGAGGTGTATGGAAGTAAAGAAAAAAATGTGAAGTGAGGAAATGGGTCGATTGCATATTAAATTGTACTGTACTGTGAATGTCTTGTTTATTGAATGGGCACAAGAAGTACAAACATATTTTGTTTTGTTTATTTAAGGTATGGCGAGACTTGCATTGATACGGTCACACTTTTGTGATTATAGTAAGGGACTATTGCAGGCTGTGCAGATTATGTACAGCATTTGCTTGTCCTAGGCAAGTGACTTTTGAAATTTACTGGCCCAGATTTTTTATTTTATTTATTTATTTTATTTTATTTTTTTGGGGGGGTATAAAAACAAGGTAGATGGCAGAAAATTAAGAAGGTGAATGGTGTTGATGTTCAGTTAAAGAGAACTTGCAATCAGTGAAGATGACATAATAAAGAATGACTTGTTTTATGGCTGGGGTAGGAATGAAGGTGATTGTAGTAACACCAAAAGTATTGACATTGGTGGCTGGTAATAATAATTAATAATAATAATTAACGGTTTATAGAAAAAGTTCTGCAGCCCGAAGGCTGAAAATATACATTGGACATAAATGACTTATTACATACATTGGTGGCTTAACAAAAGCCTTCATTAGAGAAAGGTAAAGGAACATACAGTGAACATACAGGTTAATGTTTACAGTGGAGGTCACGTAGATCTTGTACGCTGAGGTGTTGAACAACAGACACGTAGTGTAGTAACTCCCTCACAGATGGTGTTATGAGGGGCCTGACGTGGTGTAGTAATTCCCTCACAGATGGTGTTATGAGGGACCTGACTTGGTGTAGTAACTCCCTCACAGATGGTGTTATGAGGGGCCTGATGTGGTGTAGTAACTCCCTCACAGATGGTGTTATGAGGGATCTGACGTGGTATAGTAACTCCCTCACAGATGGTGTTATGAGGGGCCTGACGTGGTGTAGTAATTCCCTCACAGATGTGTTATGAGGGACCTGACGTGGTGTAATAATTCCCTCACAGATGGTGTTATGAGGGGCTTGACATGGTGTAGTAATTCCCTCACAGATGGTATGGGGGACCTGACGTGGTGTAGTAATTCCCTCACAGATGGTGTTATGAGGGGCTTCATGTGGTGTAGTAATTCCTCAGAGATGGTGTTATGAGGGGCTTGACATGGTGTAGTAATTCTCACAGATGGTGTTATGGGGACCTGACGTGGTGTAGTAATTCCCTCACAGATGGTGTTATGAGGGCCTGACGTGGTGTAGTAATTCCCCCACAGATGGTGTTATGAGGGACCTGACGTGGTGTAGTAATTTCTCACAGATGGTGTTATGAGGGGCCTGACGTGGTGTAGTAATTCCCCCACAGATGGTGTTATGAGGGACCTGACGTGGTGTAGTAATTTCTCACAGATGGTGTTATGAGGGGCCTGACGTGGTGTAGTAATTCCCTCACAGATGGTGTTATGAGGGGCATCACGTGGTGTAGTAATTCCCTCACAGATGGTGTTATAAGGAACCTCACATGATGCTGTAGCAACTCATTCACTATGTGGTGTCGTAGTATCATAGGGACACCACGTGGTCTGGTGTCACAGGACATCACTCACTCAAGTGAGTGAGGTATAGTCCCAGGCCTCCTTATCGTGGACAGATTAACACATAGCTGGTGTTGTCGAGTCTCAGGGGCAGTTATCACTGGGTACCTGGGACCTTACTGTGTGAAGATTAGCTTGGGTACGATTCAGCTATTACTGTTGAGTTGTTTTTCACTGACTTAAGCACTGTTCACCTCTGTTCAACACTGTTCACCTCTGTTCAACACTGGTTTCATTCCTTTCCTAAATGAAATAGTAACTTCTGGCGAGAACTTGTTGATATTCCGGTGGGGAGGAGGGTTCAGGGGAGGGAGTTTGTATGGGCCAACATAACAGTTGACCTGGCTGCTCCCAGAGGAGCGCCAGGTACGTCTTGACCCTTCGGTGGTCAAGGATGTTGTGTGCTACTGAATGACTGTGGAGACTTATAGAGAGTAATAATTTGTCTTGGTTTCAATGAACATAATAAATTTTTGGGCACCCCTGTATGCTGTAGACTCATGATCTGCATTCAGGCCAGTTGTAGTACAGTACTGTATGCATAGTAGACAACCTGTTAGCAGACTTAACAGAGCTTTAGATCAATATGATATACAGTACTTTAGTATGGGATAGTATCAAGAGTACAGTACGGTGTGCGCTGGTGGAGGTCCTGGAGCCACACTAATGTAGGAGCCTAAAGGTGATCCAGTATTAATGGAAAATAGTTTTGAGTGAATCGTCCACATGAGTACAGGTATAATGGTTCAAAAGAAAGCAAATTAAAGAACTGGGGAAAACAGAAGGAGAATCTAGATGGAGAGAGTCTGATGCCAGACAATGTCAAAAGTTCTGGTGATATCAGGAGAAAAAAGGTATTCTGATAAAAGCTGTGCTTGGTTGATTATCATTGCTGAATCCAGCGATGAGCAATTTTCTTTATTTATTTGCTACAGTTATTGTTTCAATTTAACTTAGAAATGTTAGCAAGGGTACACATCACACTCTTTGTTTTTTTGTGTGGTTCAACTTAAGAAACATAAGGTTGGTAGATAATGTATGTAGGATTATAACGAGTGTTAATTTTTATTAATAGGTTACGAGACTTTGCCCCCGAGCCGTTACTGTGGAGGGAGGTAGAGACAATCATGTCAGCTTTACGCCAGAACAACCCAGACTCTCAGATATCATTCCTTTCATATCTCTTCAATATGCTTCCTAAAGGTGAGGTTCTCAGTACTGTGCCTTTATGAGTGATTACAAAAGGAAGGATTGATCCTGAAATCACATTTAACTGCAGAGCCCAGAACATGACACCTTGGGTAGGGTACAGTACAGTATAGTATACTGTAATGCACTTACTAACTAGGCCCAAGAAGCTTGACATTAATAGCCTAGACTTATCTCAATGAGTTGTACCAACCCTGTTGAAACTACTGTACTGTACAGTGTAGCCCTAAAAGTGGTTTTGGAAGCAAATATTTTTTATTCACTTACAGCAGGCATGGACAATCTTTCCTCAGTCATGGGGCATATTACAATTTAAGTATTTTTCTGTGGGCCAACCCACCTAAATTTATTTCCTACCTAACCCAAAAGTAATGTTAATATTGTATTAGCACGGACAGTGAAGCAGTTTATCATCACGTCCACCTTACAATATTTTCAGTTTACAGTCTTCTTCTCATTTATGAAACAAATCCATCAAAATAATATTTTAAGTAATATATTAATGTTTCTTAGCATTTAACATAAGATGGGTGAAGCAGCCTGTGAATACGTTGATTTTCTTACAGTTAGAGCATTTGTCTTATGAGACACACCCACCAGAATAATGTCAATCTTGGTGCATGAGGAACTACAATGAAACAACCTAACATCTAATCAGACAAGAATAAATAGAAAGAACAAACGGCCAGGCATGACGGGTGAAGCACTATGGAGAGAGACAGTCTGTCAACAAGGAAGAGACCTCTACCTTTGACTACTGCCCGTGACCCCACTTGGACTTACCTAACCTTAGTTAATTTACAAGTGACCCACTGCCACATAGCAGCTAATCCATCAAACAGACAGCGCCAAACTTGACCCATAAACTCACACAAGTTAAAATGTTTATATTGTTGACTATATATATTTATTTCACTGTTACATTTTAGGAGTTGCTTACTCTTTGGTGATGAAACAGTAATGAAGTGTGTGTGTGTGAAGATTAGTCTTTTTATAAATATTGCTTTACACACCATAAAGTGGCTGCATCTACCTGAACCGTGGGCCACATTAAACAGAATTTCTCAATCACTCTGCAGGCTGCACAAAGACGTCACAGAAGCTGTAGTCTTTTTTTTCTGCCTGACATTGATAGAATAATAAACCCCGCCCCCCATTAGTTCACACGAATGTTCAATTAGTATTGATATCACATATAATTCTATATACTACAGTATAACTGTTAACAATACCCAGTTATGGCTGAATTTAATGTCTGCAAAGATATACCAGTAACTGCTTCAAAACATTTCCTTTCAATATATGAGTGGAAAAAAAATGAAATAAAGAATACATTACTACGGTATACAGTATTCCTAGTTATGAATTATTTTACACCAATCCTCCATAAATATTTAAGATGTGTTCTTAAAATCCTTGATTATTGAACAAAAATCAATGTATTTTATCTGTAAATACAGTCTTTCCTCGACTTACGACAACCCGGACATACGACGGCCATGGTCGTATAAAATATTTTTCACATTACGTATTTTTGAGTCCCTACGTTAGTGATTGCGCTGTGTACTAACAAAATTTTTGTTTGTAATTCCCCCTATAATGGCTGGCAAGCATAAAAGTGAGAGTTCTCATGGTGCTGAGAAGAAAAAGAGACACCCATTTTAGAATTTCTATGTATTATTTTCGCCTTTTCGACTTCTGCCCAATTCGACTTATGACCTGGTCGTCGGGACGGAACCCCGTCATAAGTCGAGGAGAGACTCATACTGTACACATTAGGTTTAGATTAAATGTGCTTCTTGGTAACCACAGAATAATACCTTGTACAGTACAGCACTGGACCAGTCCTCTCTGTAAATATTATGTAATGAGGTTCCACTGTATATTGTCCAGTTCAGTGAAAATTGTTGAGAAACAATATTGATTATAAGGATAAATAAATTCCTGCCCACAGATATACATTGTTTGTATGATTTCATATTATTTTTGGCATACTGTATCTGATATGTACAATACAGTATTGTCTTTTATCATATAGATATCCAGTTGGGGATGGTGTTGTCTGCAGCTGAACGTTCTCAGGACACAATGACTCGCTGTCGTCTTATGCTCCTGTTGACCACCACCTTCCCCGAGACCACTGCTCACCATGGGGTATGTTAACATAAGCTGCTGAATGGTATTAACAGGACTCTTTAACAAATGCCTATTAAGATGTTTCTTTGTTTTACAAGTTCAGTTATAATTTAACATTATGGGTTCCAAGCCAAGGGCCATACAGTATTTAGTAATGTACCGTACAGTATACAGGGGTCCTCACTCTACAGAGCATGTATATTGTACTGTGTGTCATTTCACATAAACTTCGTCTGCATCATCCACTGTTTTATACCAAGTCTGTGTGTAGCTGAATATGATGTATATATACTGTAGTACTAAAAGAATCTAAAGTAATGTTAAACTAACATAATAAGTAATAAAATGCCCCACGAGTGTTAAGTTTCTACCACGCCAGAACACTTCACCACTCTCACAACTTCACACTAATGCCATTGTTGTGTGTAAATAACTACAGAATTTCCACAAAATCGTTCCAGTGTGCTAGTGTGCCTTATGAACAATTAAACTACTGTACTCTACTGTATATTGAACATTACTGTAGTAAAGAGATATAAGATGAGAACAAAATAAGAGTGTGTGGGAGAATATCGAGTGGTATGGTAAGATAGGTGGCTGGACCCCGTTAACATGACAGTACAGTATGTGGGAATGGTATTAAGTGACTTAAAGGGATGGCATTAAGTGACAATGAAATATTATTTACAGTTACAATTGGTGGACAGTCTGCTTGCTGCTGAGAAACATTGTCCCGGGGCACTTAACCCATTCAGAAGGATGCTTGGTAAGTTAGGATTTAGTGTTTTTCAATAAAATTGTGCCTAATACTCAAGGTATTTTTTCATATAAATTTTGTGCTTTTAAATTTTAGATAGTACAGTACTGCACTTATTGGGCAATATAGTACAGCACTGTACTTATTGGGCAATATTGTGCTGTTGCTTTTTTTTTTTTTTTCAAGGACAGATTACTGAACACCACTCTTGATGAGAACCATCAGTTTTAACCCAAAGCTGATCTACAGCAAGTAATGTATGTGACTGGAATCTAAATATTATGTACAGTACATTAAACAAAAATGAATATCTTACATCTTTGTAGATGATGATTCCTGGTGACATTATAATAGAGGTACAGTTGCTAAGAGGGAGACAGGTCTGATACACAAGCTTGTTCTTATAATCCTGCATTGTCCTCCCTCAGTAGAAAACATACCACTGGATCAAGCACCTCAGTGGAATGCTACCTCTCTCTACACTCCTTACCCAGCTGTGTGATGCCCCTAAATTTCATATTGCACATCTCTTGTGCTGGCGGTCACGCAGTTCTATATATGAACTTTTTGTTTGGGTGAAGATCACGAGTGTATGAGCGTTTATTGTTCCAGAAGACCTTGTTTTGGGGTTGTTCAGTATGTTAGGCCTTCAAACCCCAGCAAGGTCCCAGTGCAATGCAGTATTCATGTTGTCAATACTGTAGACAGTTTTATCCAGCTTCAATTGTCACTCTATTATCCTAAGAAGATACTGTACTGTACTGTACTTAGATGTTGTTAAAATAGGGACTTTATGATACAGTAATTGCCATTATACTCTTTGGTTATACAAGTTACTTCTCCTCAAGATCTTGTATGATCTTCATTTACTGTACAGTATGGTAATAATCTCTAGTGTTGTATCCACCTATGTCCTTTAAAAGGACATAAGGGAATATAATTACCTTACTTAATAACACTCAATTGAGTGTTTTAATGAGGACAGTTGACTTACTAAATTGTACAAGTTGTGAGTTGCACATTTTGTACAACTAAAATAAGTGGCCTATTCTTGAGTATGTTACCATCTGAAATGATATAACACTGGATTTTTGTAACACTCATGTACCACTTACACCAGGTTGGGGTTATATACAGTACAATGCTTCCCAGTAAAAGTTTGGCATTTGGGTTTCATGTAAGGAGCCACAGAACTGTTGAGCCAGTCTGACCTACTGTAATCACTTGGTAAAAGTTAGTATCTGGCACCTCTCTCAGCTAGCTAGTAGCAGTCCAAGGCTGATTGTATGCATCAGTTACCCATGAAAGAAGCGAGAGTGAGGTTCAACCCTGTGTTGTTCTCGCGCTGCCCTTATCAGCCCGCATCTCAAAACTAGTTTTCTATCCTTCAAATCTCAAAGGCTCGACCATTTATAGGCCAATTCCAATTAAACAAAACTAAGTACAGTAGTAGAATATATTGTGCACGGCTGAACATAAAGGCTTTCTTTATTGTGATATCTCCGTTAGCCGGAACAGTCGGTGCAGAGCACTTTCGGGAATGAGAGATTTCCAGGTAACGAGACGACTCTCCCAAAGTTGGAAAAAATCCCCCATTCCCGGAATTTTTTTTCCGGAATTTCTGGAAAATGCACCCGATTTTCATCTCCCAAACCCGGAAAAAAACTCCCCCATCGGAATTTTAAATTTTCTTGAAATTTTCCAGGAAATGTGCCCCTCGGAAAATCGTACCCAAAGCCGGAATTTTTCAGAAAATTCTGGGTTTTGGAAATCATTTTGGGGGAAATTTCTAGTCTTGCTATAGGAGAGTTCTGGGTCGGGATTCCGTATAATAGGGATACAGTATTACCGTATTTGGCCTCTGGTTTATTATTTGCCGATTTATCTTTGTAATTATTTGGATGTGAAAATGGTAAGTTAGTTTGGAAGAAAATTCATGAACCCAAAACAAAAGCGATAATCAGAAATATCTATACTGTACTGTACTGTATGCCACGTTCAAGAGGAGTAAATTATCTTTACTCCTTATAAAATTCAATGTAATCTAGCGAGAAGTTATGAAGAAGTAGGATTTTGAAAATTGATAATATAAGGGAAAATAAGGTTATCAGGGATTAGGCAAAACTGATTCAGAGCAACAATGTATGACCAGTGTCCTTAATTGATGTCAGGAAATTGATTTTGAATGATCAATTATATTAATGAATTTTGTGCTTCAGCTGGATGCTCCCCTTAATGTTGTTAAAAGTGAACAAACTATGACAATTCTACTGTACTGCATAGCATTGTTAACATTGTCAAAATTAAAGCTTTCTTTTATCTTCCATCCAATTTTTTTTCGAAAAAATCACCAATCCCCTATGCAGTATTCTCTCTCTCTCTCTGTTTATATAAAAGAGGAGGGGGAGGAGTTCAAGTTCATTAAGTGAGGTGGTAGTGAGATTACATACTGTACAGTAATGCTCAGACAGAAGGAATAGGTAAGGTGCTTAATTCTGTTGTTCAACTATTTATGGAATATTTCATCTGATACTTGTCCTTTAGATGTCGGACATGAAGGAGTTTTCTTTACTACACAAGCGATAGTTTAACGGTGCTAAAATGAAACAAAGTGCTAAGTGGAAAATATGCCAAAACTGGACAAATGGTTCAAGCAACAAAATGGCAGCAAGGAGGGCATGAAATGTAACATACGCCTGCCAGTACTGTACTGTACTCCCACCATGTGGTTAGGTGTCTGACCTGATCACTCCACTCACCTTCCCTTGTACATTGCCAGCTTTCACCACACCTCCAAACATTTCTTCATTGCCAAATTCCTCTTACAACTCGATAAAAATTTTCTTAACAGTATCCTTAAATTTCATAAAGCAATTGCTTATGAAATTTAAGGATACTGTACAGATTTTTTTTTTTCATATATTACATGAGTAAATGTGAAGAAACTGAATAAAATGTTCTGGCATTAGCCAAGTAAAAAAATTGAAAGTGGTTCCCACGGTGAAGGAGTTAACTAACTAACTTGAATTAATGGATTGCAAATGTTCACAACGCTCAGGTTATGACTGCTCGCTCATGATAATTACTACACAAGATTTTTTTTTATTATTTTCTTCCAGTGTGTGATTTATTGCCAAGATTGTTACAGACGCACGGACTGGAAGTAAGACCAAAAACTCTTTATAGTCTTCTGTCCAGAGCCATTGAATTTTATGTGGCATATGTTACCACTTCACCAAAAGTCATGCAGGTTAGTGAAGCCCAACATATTGTAATACACTATGTACTGTACTTGTTTACTTAACCACTGTGCTGGCATTAGCCCAATAAAACAGTAAAGAGGCATCCCTACTGTAAAAGGGGTTAAGAAGTAAAGCCATTTCCAGTAGTATGTAAGAGTGGAAACGTGCTTAAATAGACATTCTTGAAGATTATGCGACCACAATCTTATATAAGATTCAGGAACTTGGTTAAGGTCATTTTACTTGTATGTTAAGACCACTGGTGGTCTAAGTCTTTGTAATCGAGTGAAAGTAGAGCTACTAGTCAGCCTCAAAATGTAATCACAAGTACAATGGATTTGTGCAATACAAATTCATGTTAATTTCAGGCCTACAGTACTTGTATTACTACAATACCTCTTTTTAACTTTGCTGTTAAATGTTCATAATTCTCGGTCAAACGGCAGCTGTTGCAGTATTTATTTATACAGAGGTCTTCATTATATGTGGGGGGTGTTACAGAGATATGTGACACAGTGAAGTGTTTTATAATGAGCAACTTTTCCCCATAAGAATTACTGTAATGTAATTAGGGCTACAGGTGTTAACCATTATATGATGTGATTAGGGACATTGAAAAGCTATAATAAGGTGATCGATCATATACATATTGATATTTATAACTTATGGGGGTAAAAAGGTTCCGTTCCTGAGCCTCTGAAGAGCCAGAGTTAACACTCACAGTGGTTATTTTTCAATTCCTAATTTCGGGTAGACCAACTTTTTTTTCTTTTCTTTTTTATGCACACACAATCTTTCATGTTTCATACAGAATGAACAAAAAGTAAATATTATTATAAGGTCTAAAAGAAAGGGAGTAAACATTTCATATGTGTGCAGGTCCTGCATGAACACGGGGGAGTGTGATTCTATTGTTTTATAAGGAATTTAACTTTTTTATTTTGTTTTATAGATGCCTGTTTATCATATGGAAATGTATAAGTATTTTTTGTTCAGTGTCTTGGATGTATTTCAGGGAGTTCTTGATGGTGATGGAAAGATTGATGATCCATGGCAACAGCTGTTCACTGTTGTCCAACTAATTGGCTGGAATTTGGGCTGGGACCTGGCATCTGGATTCCAGAGTACCAGGTATGTGTGTTTATCCATAGTACTGTAGTGACATGGTTGCTAATAAAGGTGATCATCACTTACTCTGCTGCACCATAGCAAACCCTGAGAGACCATAACACCAGACCAAGATGACAGAAAATATTGATTTTTTAACTCACATTGGTGTGAGATCTTGTGATCAGCCAACATAATGTACTGTACCTGTATTGTAGTCAGGTTATGTCACAAGATAGGCACTGAGATAGGTTGATTAATGAAAAAAAATAGTTAAAAAGATGTGTATTTCAACTACAAATAAAGGGTTAGGGACTGGAGGCCCAAAACATTCACCATGATGGTTTATTTTCTTAAAGAGCACAAGCAAGTAATGTGCAGTGTTCTGTTACACCATAGAAAAGTGAAGAGAACTGTACAGCCATTAAGAAAATTGCACCAAAAAAGAGATTGTAGCAAAATACAACACACCCTTCTGCTGACCCAGCCTTCAATAGATGTAGCAGTACTATACAGGTACAGTAATGCTCAATGACTGTTGCCCAGATTAACCAGCAACTTGAGGAAATTTTTCGCGAGAAAATATATGTATTCTTACCTCATAAAAAGCTCCAAAAACTGGGTAGGAATAATATTTTTGAAAGTCTTTATCAATATTTGCTGGGTCATCAACACTCTTATCACTTCACATCAAGCTGCCCCTTAGATGGACAGCACAAGAAGAATTATCACTGCGGCCTTTAGGCATGATTGCATAACACACAAAGTCGGAAATAATGAAAAAACTCAAAGTCAGAGACACATGGTAAGTGTAAACAAGAGCAAAGGTGGGATTAAGGCGAAGGCAGCACTCAGAGCTTGCTCTTGGCAAGAATTTGCACGACACCAGCACCTGCCAAATTCAAATCAGCGCTGCCACTCTTCTCCCAATCGTCAGATCTCTAGGGTATCAACCAAACTTGTGGGGTAATTCCCATACTGTATATGTAATCATCAGTTATGTGAATCGGAGGTTATTGGGGCGACAGTTTTCAGGGTATACCTGTATAGGAGGTCCCTGACTTACGAACGCCCACTGATACGAACGGTGTTAAACTTGAAATTTACAGTACCTACTTAAAACATACATACCCGGTATTCATTTTTTTTACATTAATTTTACTACAGCTACAAGCAGGGTCTTATTTTCTTCAGTTTCTTATCTAGAAACATCTTCATTCGTCACGGGTGTTGTAAACATTTACGAAAACAATGCCGTCTCGACTCCTCTTGTGTGACCTTATTATTATTGATTGATATTGTATAAGGTGCATTCGTAAACATTATTTAAAAAATATACAGTAGTTTTGCATTTTTCATTAATTGTATTGTTTTGGGGGAAAAGAGGGTAAAAGCCACACAAAAATTATGAAAGGGTCACACTAAGGAATGCATCTCATTATTATTACTTTATTTTAATGGTAATTAATGATTCACCTTACACTGCAATATTGGAGGACACATTAGCGTCGTTATTTAAGGCTTTACTGAACTAAAAATGTCCAAGTGATTATATTGCTCACCATAATAATCAGCTTAACCGCATTTTCTGTCAAAAAAAAAAAAATGATGTACAATATGTTAAAAATAAAGATATGGTAATACAGGTTGTACCTCTCTAGTCCGGCATTCTGTGGTCCGGAAACTCCCGTGGTCCAGAACGATTTTAGTTTGTCCAATAGGTAGATAGGCAGCTTTTTTCTTTCTTTTTTTTTTATCTGAATTTTTATTATTATTACAGGAGTATTAAATTTTTGCCCCTCAGGCCCCAATGTGGGTCAGTGACCTATGCCCGGGCGGGCTAATCCCCGTAAAAAATAACCAACAAAGCCGCGGGAAATTAAGGTTTGTTTACATCCGGCAGTTCGGCTGCGCTCTCTCTCTCTGCTTGTCTATACAGAGTACAACATTTAACCCTTCAATATATATGAGCAGTAAATAAGTGTTGCTTTCATATTCTTATGTAGAGTAATGACGATATGTTTTCACATGTGCACACTTACATACACGCAGTCTCACTTTTTTTTTTACCATTAATGGTTAGTTACTTATATTGTTCCATTTATTAACATTAAATAACATTACAGGTACTTCAAACAACCATATTAATTTTTTTACATTAATTTTACTACAGCTACAATCAGGGTCTTATTTTCTTCAGTTTTATATGTAGAACCAATCAGTCACTGGTTTTGTAAGCTTTAACATAAACAATGCCGGCAGCCGTCTCGTCTCCTCATTATTAATAAATTGTATTGTTAATTTTGCACACACAAACATTAATTCAATAAAAACAAATTCAGAAACATTAATTAAAATATATATGAACAGTAAATAAGTGTTGTTTTCCTATTCTTATGTAAAGTAATGACGATATGTTTTCACGTGTGCGCACTTACATACGCGATCTCTCTTTTTTCTTTACCATTATCGTTAGCTACTTCTATTGTTCCATTTATTTACATTAAATAACATTACTTAAAACAACCATATTAATTTTACTACAGCTACAACCAAGGTCTTATTTTCTTCAGTTTTATATGTAGAACCATTCAGTCACTGGTTTTGTAATCAACGAAAACAATGCTGTGTCATTTCCTCGTGTGTTTTAATATTCTACGTATTACTAATGAATTGTATTGCTCATTTTGCACACAAACATTAATTCAATAAAAAAGACATTCAGTAATAAACAATAATTAATCTTTTGTACATAAGAGAAATGACGCTGTTTACACGATTATGCACGTCGTCTGCACGTTGGCGGGTCGTTCAAACCCGTTGAAATTCAAGTTTCCGCCGTCAAAATTTTTATTTATTTTTTTTGTGTTCCAATAAAATACGTTGAATTAAAAACTCGCGAATTTTGAGAAGCTACTATACGACATTTAACTCTTCAATATGTCTTCAAAGAGACCATGATGCACAGAAAGTGGTGCTAGTGCTTCCAAGCATAAGCACAAGTCACTATCTATCCAGGAAAAGGGTGAATTTCCATGGTCCGGCACCGGTCAGGTCCCGAGGTTGCCGGACTAGAGAGGTATAACCTGTACAAGCAAACATTATTGCATGCAAAAATAATGTACACACATGCAGGATCATGCGGTTCCTTAGACTCTATTTACCGCGCCCTACAATTGAAGTGTCCAAGCACACAGGGAGAGGAGCGAGAGTGTGCCCCATGCGAGGGTGGCACTTACGAAGTTATAGTCTGCCCGCCTAGCTAGCCTCATATGTTAAGGATGGCTTCCACCATTGTGAGACTTGTAGAAATACTGTACACCTCTGAACACAATAGAATACCGTAAATCTTGTATGTACAGTACATCACATCATAATGCTTTTGACAATGTTAGTTTGTTTATTTCTTTCCTTATAATATTAAGTCTTCCAAAGAAGTAAATCCATAGTGAGTGCTGGCTGTCAGCAGATAGTGAGTGCTGGCTGTCAACAGATAGTGAGTGCTGGCTGTCAACAGATAGTGAGTGCTGGCTGTCAACAGAGAGTGAGTGTTGGCTGTCAGCAGATAGTTAATGCTGGCTGTCAGCAGATAGTGAGTGTTGGCTGTCAGGTGATAGTGAGTGCTGGCTGTCAGGTGATAGTGAGTCTGGCTGTCAGCAGATAGTGAGTGCTGGCTATCAGCAGATAGTGCTGTCTGTCAGCAGATAGTGAGTGCTGGATGTCAGCAGATAGTGAGTGCTGGCTGTCAGCAGATAGTGAGTGTTGGCTGTCAGCTGATAGTGAGTGCTGGCTGTCAGCTGACAGTGAGTGCTGGCTGTCAGCTGACAGTGAGTGCTGGCTGTCAGGTGTGACACTCCCTTGACAGCTGCATCTCACTAGTCACCACACCTTTGAGAAGGCTCCAAGCTTGGGGCACCTTCACAAAAGCGGATTTCTGGGTAGATCTTACCATTTTTCTTACTTTCATTTAATCATCCACCTGTATATCTTCAAATCAAATAAGCTATCTGCTCTGTTGGTCCTTAGATTTTATAAGTTATATATTAAAGTCATTCCTCCTGACAGCAACAGAGAAGTTATTCTACAAAGAATCCAGAGCTTAGTTGAAGGAGGAGCTCGCTTGGGAGGACCTAAGGGTGAAGGAGGTGAGGATGTCCGTGAGGTCCTCTACACAACACTGACTGTCTTCCTTCATGCTCTCATGGACTATACCAAGCGCCTGTACCCAGATTTTAATCAAGGTAAATACTGTATATGACACTGGTAATAAGAGGAGCAGTAAAGGATGATAAACGCCCTTAAAATAGCATCCTGTGTATGATAGTCCTTTTATAAACTGGACAACAAAGGTCAGTTTTGAAAATTGTAATATACTGTTCTAGAAAAGTTTCCTTTAACTGGAATACTTAATTGGTGAACAGTTAGTCTCATTAAGGAGAATTTCAGTTACTCAAAAACATTCTCATAGCTAGACAAGAATCTTCATGGATACACATACAAGTTTCTATATTTTAATGTTTGGCCATCACATAATGAACTCAAAGCATTGGAAAGCTATGAAATTTTTTTTGAAGGGTTAATGTTAGGCAGATAGTCTAAGATTACCTCAGGGGGTTATGACCTTGCATTACCAGCTGTTTCCACCTTGTGTTAGGAAGGAGATATAACTGAAAAACTTTGCTTCAACATACTGTACCTGATGCCAGTGCTGTGCCCATCCCTTGGTCTCTGCAGTGTTTTACAGGCTGGCACTTCTACCTGATAGTTCAGTATTACCTCTATATACCCAACATCTACACATTGAACCGCTCCTCACATTCCAGTAGTTCCTCTCTATTGCGAACGAATTCGATTGTACAGTAGTCCCTTGGTTAAATAGCACAATTCGTTCCAAAAAATTGCTCGTTAACCGAAAAACTCGTTAACCGAAACCATTGTTTCAATGGGTTTTTGGGTAATTGGTTCCAGCTCACCGAAAATTGCCTAAATTCAACAAAAAAGTAGAAAAGTACACCTACTTTGAGGTGTGTATGTAGAAGGCTCCTGGATGATGATGATGATGATGGTGGTGGTGGAGGAGAAGGGAGAAGAGAAGGCATTGGGGTGGAAGAGAAGTCACCCCATGGTGCCATTTCACCCATAAAATTTTAGTTCTCTTGGTGTAATTCAAGATTATTTTCTTTAAATCAACACTGCACTACATTATACTATATTGTCAATATGTAAAATAAATTTCAAAATGACCAATAATTTGCTTGCAGACACAGAAAAAAGCATTTAGTTGAAGAGAGTCTCAAGCAAGATGTTACCACCACTGAAAAGACACAAAGACTGACGCCTGTTTGGTGTGTTGAGAGGCTGGATGGCGCGCATAAAACTAGTTTCCTTACCTTCAATTATGTTCAATAATTGTTAAAATGACTAAAAAATTTAATATTAAACTTTTAAAATTATTGAATAGTACAAACTTCTTGATATTTGCTAAAATGGTAAGTAATATAAGCCCTAGAACCGATTACTGTATTGGCGGACTAATACTACAGCTGGTGGACCGCCAAATGCAAGTGAAAACATGTTGAGGTTGGCTCGTAAGAAACTCGTTAATCGAGGGATTGCTCGTTAACCGAAGTTAAGAATCTTATGGAAGGTAACTCGTTAACCGAAATCTCATTAACCGAGGGACCGCTGTACTATTCAATAATTTTAAAAGTCTTATATTAAATTTTTTAGTCATTTTAACAATTATTTAACATTTTAAATACAGGGAAACTAGTTTTTAGCACGCCAAACAGCCTGTCAACACACCATACAGGCGTCAGTCTCTGTGTCTTTTCAGTGGAGGTAACATCTTGCTTTAGACTCTCTTCAACATAAATGCTTTTTTTCTGTGTTTCCAGTCAAATTATTGGTCTTTCTGAAGTTTATTTTACATACTGACAATATATAATTCAGTGTAGTGTTGATTTAAAGAAAATAATCTTCAATTACACCAAGTGAACTAAAATTTTATGGGTGAAATGGCGGCATGGGGTGACTTCTCTTCCACCTCAATGCCTTCTCTTCTCCCTTCTCCTCCACCCCCACTTCCTTCTCTTCTCCCTTCTCCTCCTCCACCTCCCACTCAAATTCACATCAGCATCATCATCCAGGAGCCTTTTACATACACACCTCAAAGTAAGCGTACTTTACTACCTTTTTTTTTACTTTAGGCAATTTTCGGTGAACTGGAACCAATCACCCAAAAACCTATTGAAACAATGGTTTTGGTTAACGAATTTTTTCGTTAACGAGCAGCCTTCTGGAACGAATTGTGCTAGTTAACCGAGGGACCACTGTACACTAACTAATTTGTTTTATAAGTTTCCAATAATGCAACTGCAAATTAAACCTACTGTATATCTGCTTATTTTACTGTTTTGTAAATATAATGTGCTTGCTAAAAAAAAGTGAATGAAAATTAAGAAGGTAATCCTTTTACAGCTTTATTTTAAGACTCAAGAGACTTGCCCCCCCCCCCCTTCCATGAACATGCAGTATATATGCCACTGCTTAAAAAGAGCACTTAAAACTGGAAGAATGAGGTGTTGATTCGCTGATAGCACACACACACTGTTGTCATGGGCTGAGCATACAGCTTAGAGACACAAAGAGACATGCATGTTGCTTGTTCTCACATGGGACATTTGAAATGCTCAACTTTTGAGGGTCCAACAGGAAAGAGAGCATTAGAACATATGTTATTTTCAAACACAAATTGTTCGGCATCAAAATTTTTTAAAATATCTTTTCCAGCAGAAAACAGTGCATCAACAAGCACACCCTTGACGTTAGTGGAAGCATTCGTCTTTCCGGAATGTGAACGTGAAGAGTCGGTCATTGTGCCTCCCAAACGGTCCCGACCTTCATTGGACGAAGACCCTACCATTCCCATCATTACAGTTAGTCGGCCTACTCCGGCTGGTCAGGCTGTTACACCAGTGGTGGGACTGTCAGTCAACACTCCTGGTGGCATTGCAGCTGGTGGACTCTCTCAAGCACTCACTACTGCCATCAAATGCTGGGATCTTCTCAATTCTTACGAACAGCTACGTGCAGGTAAGTTTTTGGCTTTAAATTTCTCCTACATTACCAAGAATTTTCAACTTGACATATTTTTGAGAAACAAAAAACTAAGAATTAAAAGTTGATAAACAGAAAAAAAAATAATAAATTGATAGTTACAGTACTGTACTGTATTTGGAAAACATGATTGGTAGTAGAATGAAAAAATATACATTGCCTATAATAAAAAAAATTGCTCATGGGAGAAAGTCTCTTAGTATTCATTTGATTTTATAAACACCTGAGAATACTGTATCACAATTAAAGTATAGTCAAAATAAACTGTCAACACTTTTGGCAGAGTTTGTGCGACTGTTGGAGAGTCTTGGCACAGACCGGTGGTGGTGGTTGCGTGTGTTCACAGTGGATGTCTTGATATATCAAGGCAGACTAGCAGAGGCATCCAGGGAACTGCGTCACACACTCACCCAACGTGTCCATCAGCTTCCTACTACATTCATCAGCACTAACCTCAAATTAGCTTCAGTGCTCTATGCTTTAAATAATTTATCTGTGAGTTAATTTAATGAGTTTTCTGTCTGTACTGTACTCTGAATTAATTAAAGAGTTTACATAAAGTGAAGTAATAATATGTTTTATAAAATCTTAAGTAAACTTAAATAATGTTACAGGTATCTCTCATCAGAAAATTTGCCTGTATCTAAATGTTTTTACACTAAAGACAACGAGGATACATTCTAGTACTGTACCTTAGTTATGTTAGACCAGTGGTCCACAACCTGTAGTTCAGGGGTGGAACCACATTATGGAGCCCACTAGGGTTTATTAGAAAATTTTGAATTATTTAGGATTCTTTGTAAGAGTGAAATTAATGAAAAAATTTAATGACTTGATACATCTATCATGTACAGGATGTGTATATTTACCCTAAACTGGGCCCAGAAAGAGAGCCAGCTCTCTCACTGGGGGTAAATACACACATCAGGTCCAAGAGTAAATTTAAAAAGAATGTAACTGGTCATAGTTAGACATGTAAAACTGCAAATAACTGTACAGTATACAGGTCCACCACCCATTATCTGGCACCTTTGTTTCCTGAGCCTTGCCGGACCATCCGTTTTGCCGGATTAACAGAGGTCATATTAAGCAATACATCTCTGACCCACTAGCTATACACCTCCTGGTATCTTTAAAGCACCATAGAATCTCATTACCTTTTCTCCTTGCTTCTTTATATCATACACAGTTAATGAACCAATACCATACTGATCACGTAGCTGGTGTTAATCTTTATACCAACACTCGTACTTGCCTTTGAAGCCCTAGCTGTACAGTACCCGGTATGTGCAAAATAAGCTGAGAATCACACAAAATCAAGGGGCTACCAGCAACTGCAGAGTAAACAAAGTGAGCGCGGTTAACACGTAACGCCATCTGTGGCAGCCCAGTAAACTAATCTGAAGGTCGCAGGAATTTCGAGTGCCATTTCGTAATTTTGTCCGGATTAAAAGAGGTGCCAGAACACCCGTTCCTGGAAAGTCGGTGATGGACCTGTGCGTACATGATTTTTTATTATTTTTTTTTCTTGAATTTAGATCCAAAGTTTTTTCGCCCTCCACTATATTTACAATGATAAATGTAGCCCAGAGCCTACAAAAGGTTGGGGACCACCGTGTTAGACAAATAACCAGTGAGGAATAGAATAAAGTAAATAATTCTTAGCATATAAATTTTTTCACCACAACACTAATTTCATCATTTCAGAACACTTTTACGATAAACAGTTCATTATCATCCATCCATAATGTACAGTGGAATTGTGATAATTCATGAGTTGAGTACCAAAAGACATTGTGAATTATCAAATCATGAATTATATTTTAATTAATTTAAATGGAAATAATTACTTAGGCTCTGGAAGCCATAAAATATTAATAAACTGTTCCAAAACTGCTTTAACAAACATCATACAATAGACTAACACAGGTCTTGTACACAAAGTTCTATATTACTTTAATAGCTCCTTCCTTTCCCTTCTCATAATCATACTCTGGGTGACACCAATACAACATCAAGATGGGCAGGTGCCAGACTGACTGTGACCACGATGTATATAAACAAGGAAACAGGAATATAATACTGTACCACACGATAACTCATCTGGCATACAGTAGGATTTTTTCAGTCATGTGAAAGCATTAAAATAATACTGTAGTAATAGAGGTACAGTACGTACCTGTGAATTTAAGAGCATGAATTTGTATCTCATAAATTATCGTGATTCCACTGTACTGCAGACTGGGAATATTCCCATTTCACTGCCTTAAGAGCTCCACTATGTTTGTTGTTATGGTTTGAGGTTGGAGATGGACATACGGTACACAAGATGCACGGGTAATAGTCCATTTTTGGAAACTGAGCAAATCAGACCGGAGGTTGGAGGAAAAATGCACAAATGTGATATCCCCTTTAATAGTTTGTTAGGCTAATGCCAGACTACTAGAGGGGACCCGATACGCTATAATCTGAACTAGTTGAGTCTGGCATGTTGCGGAAAACTCTAGCTTGGTGTGATTGTATAATCCAGTGGTAAATGGAGTGAAGGACTGTTGTTTCTGTCTCACAGGACCTTTTGGGTCACTAAGAGAGGAACCATTGAAGCCTCACAATGGGAAATATTGTTAGAGTCTTCTGGTTCACACTCCCTAATGAATCAAAACTAATATGAGAATTCAAAATATGAATCCATTACACCTTCCTTTATTGAGCAGAATGAATTTTGGCCTCGTTCAGGCTCATCATTTCCACCTTCTTCTACTGATACAGTGTTTGGTAAGTGGTATATTACCCATAAATATAATTGCCACAATAATACTTGTTTTACAGGGAGCAGCAGAAGCCGTACTGGAAGTTGTGGGTCAGCTGCCCGGTTGGGTCGGTGTTGGCAGTCTGGCTGGGGACCTGTGTGTGTCAGCTGCTCCTAACCGCCGTCACCTCCATGTGTTGGCACTCACACGCCCACAATGCTTGCAGTTTGCCACCACTCTTCTCATACATGCTTTACGACAGCGTATTATTGTGGACAGGCACATGGATGACTTGTGCATTGGCCATCTTATTACACTGTTACAGGTAAATTGATATGAGTAAGTTAGAAAATGCTTAAAGAAAATCATAAAAAACTCATATTGGGCAGAACAAGAGTTTTCATTTCTCATCCAGTCATTGTGAAAATGTGCGGATTACAAAAGTCTGGGTACAAGGTTTTTCAGGAACTTAACCGTTTTATAAATTGGTGAATGCCTGTACCTAGTGGGATGGTGATATTTCATGTTTTTATACATAAGATTTATTTTAATGTGTTGTATAAGTATGCATCCTCTATTTACAGTATGAGTGGCCAAAATACATGAATACGTTTGAAGAAATTTTGCAAATTATTAGAAAACAAGGAGGCTTCTCATACCCTCTGTTTTATAGCTACATCATCACACCAGATATATTGGAAGAGTTTATGTTCCTGGCTACCAAAGAGGGAGGAAATTTACAGATGGACATCATTCCCATAAACCACAGCAACAAGTAAGTTGGCAAGAGTAACTTTGGGCAGACATATCATGATGTGACATTAGAGGGGAAATTATGATACTGTACTGTACAGTAGTACACATGTGAATCATACAATACATGGGTCAGAGCAGGAAGATAGCCTGTTGAATTTTGTACTGTACTGTTTTAGAAAGGGTACAGTAAACTTGATAATTTCCTGAATGCTTGAGACTTAGACCTTTGCTAGTGCCACTGAGTCATTGCATAAAGATGCCATAGGTTATATCCTTGAAGAATTGTCAAAAACATAACAGGTATTAACTGAATAGACAACCCCCAATTTGCACCTAAGCAAATAAGATGAATCACCCCTTTGTTAATGAGTCTCTACCACACGGTCTGTTATCAAAGACTCAGCAGTGTTCAGTTGTGTTTAACCCTTAAGCCCGGGGTTAGGATGTTGTTGGGGATAAATCGAGAAAAAATAAACTTTTCCAAAAATAATTATACAGTAGTACCCCACTTAACGCGGTCAATAAAACCCACAGGGTACCGTGTTAAGTGAAAACCGCGTTAAGTGAACAACAGAACATATGGGATTAATTCCAATAGAAACTGGCCCGACCCCCCAAACTCCACTTTTTGAAGACACATAACTATGTTGTAGTAAAAATTTTATCTTAACTTTATGATGGTATGAAAAAACAAGTAATATAGAAGAGGTTAGGTTAGGAAAAATAAAGGTTAACATAGGAAAAATAAAGGTTAGGTTAGAAAAACTAAAAGTTAGGTGGAACACTTAAGGTAGTAGAAGAGATTGGTCGGTGTACGGGGATGGAGGCTGGTTCCGAGGCAGAGGGCAGGCTACTGGCCCTCAGGTGAATCACCATTACTAGGTGCATCACCATCACTGTCACTTACAATTGTCAGGGCTTCCCTGACAAATCCCTCAAAGTCATCTTCACTGGCTTGGGCTGGCTGTGGTGGGTTGCGGGCGAAGAGTTCCGGGTTTAAGGGATCCCAGCTAACGGAGATACAGGTATTACTTATATCGTTTCTCACGATTTTTTTTTAATAATATATTATTATTTATTATATTTTAGCCCCCAGGCCCTGATGTGCATCATTGACTTGAGCCCTGGTGGGCTAATCCCATTAAAAAAAAAAAGTAACAACTAAATCATCAAGTACAATACTGTACAATTCTTCAACAGATGTTTCAGAGAGTCTCAGAATGTTTTAACAGGCATAAAGATGGTAAGTGGCAGATAAATTTAGGGAAGAAACTACAGATAGTCTCCATAAAGTTTAAAGGTAAATGAGGCATCAAAAGATTAACGAGGATGATAAAACAGTACATTCTGTAGATATACAATAGAGGTGGAAAGAGAAAATTTGTTGTGTGCCAAGAATGGATGTGAGGTACATTAGTACTGTATATACTAAGGCACTAAAACAACCTACCAAAAATCTTGGGTATCTTATATCAGAAGCAGATACTGAAAACTAATGTGTTCTTTCCTTAGTACCAATACATTATCCATATCTAATTGTTTATATTTGATTGACATCATATTCCAGAGAATAAAGTACCATTTTTTGCTGTCAAGAATATTTTCATTACTCGTGAATTTACTTTCAGACAACAAAGAACAATATCGACACGTGGTGTTGACAGAGACCTTAAGCATGATTTCAAGATGGGAATGAAGAAATTGATGTTACGCAGTTCAGAACCCATAGAAGGTACCATCATCACCTTCCTGACACGGGAAGGATCATTAGTACACGAAAATCTGATGTGAACACTGATTTCACACATCTTTTCCTTTCAACATGCAGTACAGTAACGTAGTTATTTTCATACTGGATCACCTTTTGTGTGATATATACTGTACTCAAAATAAATTTGTTTTGAAAATTCCATGTCTTCTTTTATTAAAAAAGACTCCCTATCTTATAAATTAAATATTATCTGTCTGAAGCATTAAGTTTCTACAAATTGAATGTAGGCTTGACAAACTTTTCAGTCAATTTACCATATACTTGATACTGTTACTTAAGAATTCTCACTCCTTCATTGTATTGTACAGTATTGTACTTTTTTTACATTAATCTAAATGACAATAAACATTATATAAGCTGAATTTTTGCATTCATATATAAATACACTGAAGAGTTTGGAATTCAAAAACAAATATTTGGAAATAACCAATTTTCCCAAAGATTTTCAGATTCAAAAGCCCTCCTAGTCTCATCACCTGACTTTGCCTAGGTTGATCAGCTGATGGTGTACTCATGCTGCCCACAACTGAACTGAATTGAATTGAAACAGTTTATTTAGCCAGAAAAACACAGATACAGAGTGGATAATAATAACAATACTGTATTATCATGGCTGAGCCAGTTGAGAACCTGAGCTCTTTTGGGCACCTGATACACAGTACTGCATACTATACATTTATCTCAAGGAAGTATTATGTAACAATTAGTATCATCTGGAATAGTACAATGGCATGGTAGTAATAAGAACATCTCGTAATGTTACCACGGTTATCCAAAATCCTTGGGACCAGATGCATTTCGGATTTTGGAATTTTTCGGATTTCAGAATGGTTAGTTTTTTTTTTTTAAACAGGGATCGGACCACCTGGGCACAGGTCACTGACCCACATTGGGGCCTGGGGGGCTAAAATGTAATAATAATTATAATAATAATAATAATTCATAGGTCTAGGTTGTGTTTCTCACTTTTGATCTTTTTTTCATTATTGTATTTCTTTATTATTATTATTAATTTATTGCTATTACAGTATTATTGTTATTATTATTATTATTATTATTATTATTATTATTATTATTATTATTATTAATTTTATTACTATTATTATTTTATTATTGATTGTTATCATTATTATTTTATTTTTGTGAATTTTTTTATAAAATTTATTTACAATGAATAATTATTATTATTATTATTATAATTATTATTACTACATTTTGCCCCCCAATCCCCAATGTGGTTCAGTGACCTGTGTCCGGGTGGGCTAATCCCAGTAAATAAAAAAAAATGCTCCACAAAAAACTTTCGGTTTTCAGAGGTTTTCGGTTTTTGGATAAAGGGTTGTCAACCTGTAATAAGAACATCTCATAATGCTACCACGGTTATCACTTCAATATTTATTAATTTTATTTTTGTATTTTTTTTTTTCGTTTTTTTATATACTGGACAGTATCCATAAATTACAGTGGAATTGAAAAACTAAGTATAATGGGGGAGCAGTACAACATGGATTGTACAGTAATAAGGTTCAACAAGAGGACAGAACTGCAGGATTATGTCTAGTTGGCAATAATGTTTATTGCAATGGTAATTACTTATCTATTTACATGATAATTTCCAATAAAATGGTTTTGATGGTGCAATAAAAGCAGGTACTGTAAATATAGTAGGTGTTACAAGAAATAATAATACTTAGACAATAGATATTTTATTAAGAGATGATTTAAAGGAAGGGAGCGTAGTCTTTGCTCGGATGGGTGGAGGTAAGTTGTTCCACACCTTCATACCATGATATTTTATGGAGGTCTGGGAGTAAGAGGAGCGCACCGGGGGGTGGTCTGTATCGACTAATGTTACTGATGTAGAGTGGAAACATGCTAATTAACATCAGTCTAATGAAAATAAATTATATAATTACATGTATATGATAAACTATTAACAATATAATATGATCAATGATAATAATACAGCGATTCCTTTTTCTGACCGGAGATCAGAGATAAAGATCAATTTCCGGAAAATCCGGCCCAAAACTGGAGACCTGGCAACCCTATGTTACTGTATACTGGAGTAATAATGAAAGGGTTTTTTTATATATTCAACAAACATTGCACTTGAACTATCTGAGGCTGGCAGATCACTTCAACAGTACATTCTGGGGTTAGTGACATAGAAATTCATTCTCTTGTTTTGTCTGTACTGTACTGTAATGTATTTTTTAGTTTTAACTTTGAATTACTTAATATCATTACTAATTTTGCTGTAAAAGGTAACTTGCTCCAGTCTGTTATAGCAGTAAAGAAGAAAGTGTTTTTCACTTCATTCAAAATTCTGTAAGTGTGATTCAGCCTCAGTTGCTTCACTACTTGTGTTTATGTCAAGAATGAACTTCACCATTTTGTTGTGAATAATCTGTAGCTTGAATTTTTGCTTCTGTTTAAAGGGAGAGTACCATGACGAACAGGAATCTTCTAAGTGACATTTTATGAGTGCCAATCAACGGGTTTTATAGGCATCAGCGGAGAAGAATTTAGAAATTCCATAAAGACGATTTTTTTTTCATTCTTTACTTATAATGTAAGTTTCATAAAGCACCTTTAAATATTTTTTTTTGTAATGGTTTATTCAGTGAATTTAGTCCAAATATATGATTTTTTACTGTACCGATACGTTTTATGGTTAATGAGTACCTCATCTTTGAGGCTTAAAAAAATGTCGCTCAATAAACATTAATAGTGTGCCCTCATTATAAACATGTTTTCTTTAGAAAGTTTGCCATCAGGTGATGCCACGGTCTCCTTGCGGCACTGGCAGCACATTAAAAATTATGGTATTAAGGGAGAGTTGCGCTTCCTTTTGGTATATTCCTTAATTTGTTTGCTCCCTCTACCAGCTGACACACAGTACTGACTGTACTGTACATATATGAAAGGGGTATAGGTATTACAATTTTACAAAAGTTAAAATGATTCAAATACTCACTCGATGTATCATTGGTTAATATTTATATAGGGAGAAAGAGAAAACTAGAAATAATTTATTCTGTAGCGTTTCCATCGGAAATTTATATTTTTTGAGTACAGTATCTAATCGATAAAATTACCCACAATATTAATTGAAGTAGAGGGAAAATGTGGGGTTAAATACTTAAAAAGAACACCAAACAAACCTTTGAAAACCTTACCTAACCTTACATAACTTGTAAAAATGGTAAGAATCACTTTCGAGCTTATGAATCCTTCCTTATCTGATCAGCGAAAACAAAACCATCACACACTAAATACCGAAAATATGAAAAAAGGTAAACTTTTTATAGTTTTAGGGTTTTGAAAGGTTAGGAAACATTAGGTTTACCCCACATTTTCCCTCTACTTCAAGTAATATTATTGGTCATTTTATTGGCTAAAATACAAGAAAAATATAAATTTCCAAAGGAAAAGCTAGAGAATAAATTATTTAGCATTATTGCAGTTTCGGCCAATACACGGCTGACTGTTTCTACTGCAGTGGATCCTCTCCCCTACAACTGACGACTGAGCTCCTGCCGCGCGCCAATCAGCGTACAGCCAGCGATGCCAGTAGACCTACTCCCCAGTGCAGACGCACACGTAGCAACGCCAGGAGAGGCCATAGCTTCCCACGACATGCCAGGATCAGAGTGCCGGGCACCTGTCGCGTTCTCCTCTGTGATTGGCTCCCACACTACGCTCGCCTTGATTTCTGAGGTGGCAGAATTGTATAAATACAGGCGTGGCTGGCCAGGGAGCCCATTCTACTCTGACCTACTGGACCAGCAAGACCTCTCTACAGCGCCTCACCAACCAGCTCCCTCAGAAAGCTCCTCGCCCAACAGGACCTTTGAGCAAACTAGTCATCACCTAGTAACTCCTTAGCACTTCACTGTACAACAATATATATACAGAAAATGCATTGAGTTTCTATTCTACCTCATTCCTGAGTGTGAGGTATCTACATGTACATACGTTTGTGTGCCCATACAAAGAGACAATAGACAACCAAAGAGAATTGACAACTGGCCACATACAGTATGCTACACTACCATCACCAACCTTTATATCTCCTTTTTTGGAACATTTCTAACCCCATTTCAACCAGGGGCAAAGAATAATACATGTAATGTCAGAAATGAATTGTATAGTTTTCCATACTTTTGGGGGGAATAACTATAAAATGGGTACTTTCCTCCAGAAATAAAGGTCAAATCGATTAAATCACACCAACTTTAACTTTTGACTTTTATCCTCTTCACCACTGATCGGCTCATTAGCCGCTTGGGCGATTGGTCACGTCTCTGCTACCTACTGTTGGCAAGTACTGGGCTGCACTGGCTCCTGAATGTACCTGAACCCGCTCCAGTGTTGGTCAAATCTTGTCTTGAAAGAGCTCACACTCTGTGCCGTCACAACACTTTCTGGCAGATTGTTCCAAGAGTTCACAACTCTCACTCTGAAAAAGTTTGCCCTCACAGTTTTCTGGACTTGAGGCTTCTTCAATCTTGAGCTGTCACCCCTTGTGGGGCGAGCGTCCGCCAGCTCCAAGTAAGGACACTAGACTGAGTAGTGCCCCTTGAGGTGCTTATACTGTACACCACAATTAGGTCACCCCTTGCCTATCAATTGCCGTTAAGATTGTTAGGTGGGGGTGGGAGGTATCTAAAAAAAAACTGATTTCCGATGGAAGTTAATATAAAATTTGTTCGAAACTCGTCAAATACCCTGGGAAAAACCTTCTAATATCAAAAGAAAGACCGGTGCCAGATGTAAACAAATCATGGCGACACTTGTGACCGAGGAAATCTAATAATATTGAAAAATTAATATCTCGGTTGTCCTTAATTTCCACCATAAATATCATAGAAGAAAAATGTCTTAGAATTGTCTAAACATTACAAAATACATATTAAAAACAGCGAGAGAAAGACCGGTGTATTAATAGAAAGTGATCATAATCTTTTCAGAGGACTCATCCACATGAACAGTAGCTCTGTGCATACTTTGTGGGAAACAGTATGAGACCATAGATGTAAAATATCGACCCCACCTGCACAGATCATTGTTGTACATGTCCCCAATTAGCTCTCTGACTTACCCAAGGGACACAGGAGAGGTTGTGGAACACAATGTAATATATAACACATCTTAACGATATAAGACTCATTATATAAGTAGGTGTTGGCGACTTTTAATATTTACCTTAGTTTCCTATGTTTTTACTGCCAGAGGGTTGAGCCAGATGCATGTTTGTAAACACACTGCTGGCAAATGTTCTAATTTCCCAATTAACTACAACAATGTCTATGTATTCCGCCAAATAAGGCTGTGGAATGATTTGTACATCCTCATATTTAACACAATAACCTCAACAATTACAACCTGTCTTGTCTACCACATACCTCTTTATTATATATTTCTTCACCAACGATGACACGTTTTAACCCCGACGACAACGGCAACGAAACTGACAGTATGACACGATTCATAAGAAATGACACTGACCAATAAAGCATCTCAAATCAGGTGTCAGAGCTTCATGGGAGTGAATGAACCCGTCTCATTACTGTCAGGACTTCCCACAGTAACCCGTCTCATTACTGTCAGGACTTCCCACAGTAACCCGTCTCATTACTGTGAGAAGTTCTGACAGTAATGAGACGGGTTCATTCACTCCCATAAAGCTCTGACACCTGATTTGAGATCCTTTATTGGTCAGTGTCATGATCTCTCATGAATCGTGATTCGTGTTTCGTTGTCGTCGTCATCAGGGTAAAACATGTCAGTGTCATCGTTAGTGAGAGAATATATAATACACTCGTAGTCTTCTCACTGAGAAAACTTAGAATGTATCTCTCTCTTTGAATTTACTAAATACCTTCGTTGATCTAGCATGTGGCCCACTGAGATAATGGAGGGTCACTCATGTGGCCCACTGAGATGATGGAGGGTCACTCATGTGGCCCACTGAGATGATGAAGGGTCACTCATGTGGCCCACTGAGATAATGGAAGGTCACTCATGTGGCCCACCGAGATAATGGAATGTCATTCATGTGGCCCACTGAGATAATGGAGGGTCACTCATGTGGCCCACTGAGATAATGGAAGGTCACTCATGTGGCCCACTGAGATAATGGAAGGTCACTCATGTGGCCCACTGAGATAATGGAGGGTCACTCATGTGGCCCACTGAGATAATGGAAGGTCACTCATGACTGAGGTCACTCATGTGGCCCACTGAACATGGAGGGTCACTCATGTGGCCCACTGAGATAATGGAGGTCACTCATGTGGCCCACTGAGATACTGGAGGTCACTCATGTGGCCCACTGAGATAATGGAGGGTCACTCATGTGGCCCACTGAGATAATGGAAGGTCACTCATGTGGCCCACTGAGATAATGGAAGGTCACTCATGTGGCCCACTGAGATAATGGAGGGTCACTCATGTGGCCCACTGAGATAATGGAAGGTCACTCATGTGGCCCACACTGGAAGGTCACATGTGGCCCACTGAGATAATGGAAGGTCACCATGTGGCCCACTGAGATAATGGAAGGTCACCATGTGGCCCACTGAGATAATGGAAGGTCACTCATGTGGCCCACTGAGATAATGGAGGTCAGGTCACTCATGTGGCCCACTGAGATAATGGAGTCACTCATGTGGCCCACTGAGATAATGGAAGGTCACTCATGTGGCCCACTGAGATAATGGAAGGTCACTCATGTGGCCCACTGAGATAATGGAAGGTCACTCATGTGGCCCACTGAGATAATGGAGCCGGTTCATGCCAACAGTGCGTAACAGAGACATGACCAACTGCCCAAGCGGCTAGCAGTAGACCAGTGGCGAAGAGGATAAATGCAAAAGTAAAATTATGCAGTCCTTGGTGCATCTTGGAGAACAAACAGAATTACAACTATCCAATGGGTGAGCACTACACTTATGAAACGCTTCATGACATAAAAGAGGAATCATCTATAAGTACAGTATGGGTTGGATATTAGTATGCCCCACTAATTTATTGCCAGGATTCACTTCTGTATATTAATTCTTTTCTTTCTTTAAGGGAATTAGCCCACCCGGGCACGGGTCATTTTTAATGACCCACATCAAGGCCCAGGGGGCGAAAATATAATAAAACAATAATAATAATAATAATAATAATGCCAGTGATGATGATAATGGTAATAATAATAATACTAGTAATATAATTAATATAAATATATTTAATAAATAACAATTATAATAAAAGAAAATAATAATAATAATAATAATAATAATAATAATAATAATAATAATAATAATAAAATTAATAACAATATTTAAAAAAAATAATAATTATAATAAAAGAAAATACACATACAGTAATAATAAAAGTCTATAAAAATTATAAATAATAATAATAATAATAATACCCCCTGTAATAATAAAGAGCCATGAATAAATTCAAAACAAAAAATAAAAATATCAATAGTGAGAAACACTATATATGTATGTTGTGTTGTTAATAGTAAGAGAAACAATTGAGACCCCGCAATTGTGTGTAAATGAGGCAGAAAGTCAGATCAGCAGCCCGGGACTTGGTCACAATTTTTGTGATGCCATATGGCAGCAGGATCTACCATTAGACAACACATTATGCTTCCAATATCTTCCCAGGCGGTAGTACCTCCCTGTTTGGTAGCTGCCTACTACCTACCTAATAATGATACTCTTTCATCTTGTTTTTCAGATGTAATTCATATTAAGAAGCAACGTTAAACAACTAAAAGTGAATCCTAAATATTGACCTGCAAGTAAATATCAGAATTTTGTAGTCCAGGAAATTTGAGATGAATCACCAGCCTGATTTACCGTATTATATAACTACTTCATCTTGTGGCTTTAGTAATAAGCCTAAATTTCTGGGAGATCATTATTTATACTTTCTAACTCTTTGGCTAAGCTAAAACCACATGTGCCAAGGTTAGGATCACATATGACGAGGCTCGGACATTATAAATGGCTAGGAACATATGAGATAAGACTATAACTGCCTATAGTATTACTTGTGACAAGGATGGGATGACGTGACGAGGCTAGGATCACACATATCGAGACTAGGATAACGTATGCCAAGGTGCGAATACATTAGTCTAGAAGCACACATGAAGAGACTAGAGTCTTTTGTGACGAGACCAGGAATTTATTATGTAACTGTGGCAGGGATAGAATCACGTGACGACTATGTAACTCATCGCATCAAAACCCTTCAAACACCACTTTTTTTTCTTCAAATTCCATGGTTGCTGTAATAAGCACACGATTTACCAAGTTGGTTAATATCACACATAATCAGGTGTGAAAGGCGTGACGTACAGTAGGTGATAACTACAGGATTGCGTGAACTTTCTCTAAGACCGTTGTAATCTTGTTGACGTCACTATACAGTACGTAATGAGGAAATGTCAATGTATTGTATAACTAGTTCATCTGTTGTCATGCACAGTACACAGGCACACGTAGCCACTGGCACTGGGGGAAGAATTGCACCTGATTAGCGAATTCCCGGACCCGTGAAGGATCAACAAGTCTTAAGTCAATGTATTACACAAAGTTATATGCCAATATTTTAGTTCGTGTAATGGGTCGTTATAGAGTGATTGAGTCTGATGTATCGAAAAGCTCTTTCTGAACCCTTACGTTACCGATGTTTATATTGTTTACCCTCTGCTTTATTTGATTATGAAAAACAAACGTGAAACAAACGTCAATTAGATATATTTGTACTAAACATAAAAAAATAATGATGTAACACATTTTAAATTATTTTCTTATTTCGAAAATAGAGCCACCAGACTGTGGTGCCTGCACTAAGACTTATACGTGGTGTGGACTACATTGTATGCCTGCACTGTGGACTGTACATTGTATGCCTGCACTGTGGACTGTACATTGTATGCCTGCACTGTAATTATGCATCCTGAATTAAAGAGATCTTGTTTAACGATTTACTGAATATCTATATCTATACATTTCTATCTATACCAAGGTATTTACGAGTCAACCCAGGACGTTTGTTACCTGTATACAGAAGTGGATGTCTGTGTTGGGTTTTTACGACAAATCAGTGGTGATATGGTTATACTACTGGTGCTTGGTCACACCGGATTATGAACCACATAATTATTGCTCCATCATTGAGCATTTTAATCCGGGAACAATGGGCTGCCAAGTGCCAACCTGGTACGATAACGTTCTACACTGTTTTATAACAATATCTAACCAGCTTAATACTGACTTTCCTTACTTCTATTTAGGTAATATTTCTACGAACAAGCTACACCACATTTCCAAAATCTGGTGTCCTGCCAGGGCCACAGTTAATTGAACGCCACCGTGACGCAACTTCTTGTTATCGACGCGCGTCACTTCCTTATCACGGAAAAATTACGATCACCAACCATTGTGTGCGGGGTAATCTGATGATCTCCGGAAATAACCCTAACAGTGAGTCCAAGATGGAGGGATTAATGGGGACCAAGGGCAGTATATAGTAATGTGAAGACACTGCTAGACCACCAGTCACCACAAGCTCACTGACAGCCAAGCGTCCATACCTGCTACACTACCAAGGCCTCCACATCTCACCTGCTTGTCATAACTTAGCCCAACAAAACAACAACAATGAAACACATCCTGTAAGTAGAGTGTCTTGAATCCCAAAGGTTTGGTGATTTAACAAGGGAACACGTACAGTTAAGGTTGCAGACCCTCTTGTTAGCCGCTCGGTCACCTCTCCGTCACGCACTGTAGGCAAGTATTGGGCATGCACCGGCTCCTTAACGTACCTATAGTGTTGGTCAAGTCTGGTCTTGTAACAGCTCACACTCGGTGCCGTCACAACTCTCACTCCGAAAAAGTTTGCCCGCACAGTTTTCTTGACTCGAGTCTTCATCAACCTTGAGCTGTGTCAGCCGGACCCGGGCCTCCGCCGGCTCAGGCCCTTACTACCATTCATGTCTACTATAGCGTTTATTTTCTCTGGCGTTTATTTTCACTGCGTTCACCCTTACTGGCGTTCATCTTTAGTAGCATTCGGTTTTACTGGCGTTCACCCTTACTGGCGTTCACCCTCAGTTCCGGATTTAAACTAAACTTGGCACGGCCTGGGGCCATCCCCCCCCCCCTTGAAAAAAAAAAGTCTCCCTGGCAGACTGGTACTGAACTTAGTCCATAACTCAGGTCAGGGTTGAGTTTTACAAATTTATATATTTTTTAAATTATGACACCACTTACACTTTGAAATTATTGGATTTTATTTCCACGAAAGTATTACTTTTACTGTTGGCAAGTACTGGCTCCTTGCTGAACCTGCTCCAGTGCTGGTTAAGTCTGGTCTTGAAACAGCTCACACTCGGTGCCGTCACAATACTCTCTGGCAGATTGTTCCAAGACTTAACAACTCTCACTCCGGAAAAGTTACCCTCACAGTTATCCGGACTTGCTGCTTCTTCAACCTTGAGCTGTGACCCCTTGTGGGGCGCGCGTCCGCCAGCTCTAGGTAAGGGCACTCAACTGAGTAGTGCCCTTTGGGATGCTTATACACCTCAATAAGGTCTCCCCTTGCCCGCCTGTGGTATAAGCCATGTTGTTCAAAACTTACCCTCCTCAGTACAGTATAGCACCTACTTGAGTGCTGTCTGCTGGCGTTATTGAAACCAAGCTTGTGCCAAGATCAATTAATCCTTCTCAAACTACGGGGCTTATAGCCTAATGTGTGGGTGAGGCTTCCCTAGGGACAAACGCGGACACTACTCAAAAGGAGGCATAAAATGGACAAGATACAGTTCTTTACTTTCCTCGAAACTTTCTTGAAAAAAGGCGTAACTTAGAGTGTCTAGCGTGGAAATCAACTTAAATGATCTAGGATGATAATGAACTAATATACGAGATCAAATTAATTTTGAACTTGTCTCAACGCAAATGTCATGCACAGTTTCCCATTTGGAGAATGGAGTTAGTTAAGGCCATCTCAGTGAAATTTCTGAACAGTATTTCCACCATGTAATTTTATTACACAAAATGACGTGCTCTTAAATCTCCTGGCAGGGGGAAATTTAACTTAAGATCCTTCGAGAATCTGAAGTGTCTAAGCTGTTATGTGTTCAATTTAATTTTTCCTCGCAATATATATATATATATATATATATATATATATATATATATATATATATATATATATATATATACACACAAAGCTAGTAATTAGTTATTATAATAAATATTACTAAACTGATTTAATCTTGCTTTGCGTTCCTCAGATTGGTTAGTGTGTGTGTTGTGATGGTGGCCAGGGTAAGCCATGGCCACCCCGCTTACCTCACAGCTGGGCCTGACGTGTCTTCCCAGTGCCCTTCACCCCCTAGAGAACATCCATTTCTGCTGCCCAACCCTACTGATTGTTCCTCCTTCTACATGTGCACTTGGGACTCTATCGCCATCCTCCAACACTGTCCCCTCCACCTCCAATTTAACCCCACTCTACAGGTGTGTGACTATCCAGCACACTTCTCCTGTGTCGTCTCCACCACACCTGCTCCAGTCTACAATGCCACCACACCTGCTCCAGTCTCTAATGTCACCACACCTGCTCCAGTCTCTAATGCCACCACACCTACTCCAGTCTCTAATGCCACCACACCTGCTCCAGTCTCCAACACCACCACACCTGCACCAGTCTCCAACACCACCACACCTGCACCAGTCTCCAACACCACCACACCTGCACCAGTCTCCAACACCACCACACCTGTACCAGTCTCCAACACCACCACACCTGCACCAGTCTCCAACACCACCACACCTGCACCAGTCTCCAACACCACCACACCTGCACCAGTCTCCAACACCACCACACCTGCACCAGTCTCCAACACCACCACACCTGCACCAGTCTCCAACACCACCACACCTGCCTCTAAAGCCACAACAGAGGCAGCTTCACAATGCCCTCCCTACAACCCCCAGTCTGTAGTGTTGCTGGCTAACCCTGCAGACTGCGCCACCTTTTTCATGTGTCTGCAGAATGGGTCAGTTGCCCTCAAGCACTGTCCTTTTGACCTCTTATTTAATGACAGACTAAAGGTGTGTGACTACCCACAACACGTTGAGTGTACCTCTTCCACCACTGTGTAGATCCTTCCTGGTACACCTCCATGATGTAGCTGATCTCGGACAATATTATTCTTTGTTTTTCAGTTTATATTTAGCTTTCCATAAAAAAATCTTGGATTGATCCCAATATGAGATGTTTTGTATTTATAACTAATAAACTATACTTAGCATAAACTAATAATTTTAGATTAAAAACTATAAATTTTATACAGTACCCCTGTACTTCTTTATCCAGTAGGAATTTATATAAATTCAGATGCTAAAATAAAAATTAGTTATAATAAATAGCTTATTGACTTTTCCGCCTGAGCACAAAGGACCTTGGAAAATTAAATTGAAAGAAATTTGATTAATTCATTTGACCACAGTTCGAGAAACTGAACTCAAAGGTAATAACTAACTTTCAGTTTCTCAACAAAATCTTTCATAGTATAGTTCTTACCAGGTTATGGAAATATCTGTATCACAACCACTAGCGTAGCTAGGGGGGGGCGGTCCGCCCCAGGCGGCACTTTTGGGGGGGCGGCACTTTTGGGTCTGCTCATCACCCATATCTGCAGCTACTGGAGACGTTAATCCATCCCTTTGTATCGGCGGCAAGTTAATCCTTGTCGTGTCTGACCTAACACCTGACCCACATCATCACGGCCACGTCATGAGCTACGTACACCCTTGCTATGCTCCCCCCCCACACACACAACCTGTAACCTGTTGAGGATTAAGGAAACAACTTCAAACAAGTACGCCAGTGAGCTCATGTGGTGTGGGTCAGGTGTTAGGTCAGACACGACGAGGATTAACTTGCCGCCGATACAAAGGGAAGAATTAACGTCTCCAGTAGCTGCAAAACCATGCAGTCTCGGGTCATATCAGTTCATGTACAGCCGACCAATCCACCAGTTACAAGCAATTCACTTCAGTTCTGCACAAGTCTCCATCGTGACAAGACGAGGGGAGGCTAGACGACTTTTAAGTTCTCTTGTGTTTTCGATCCAGTTATTTACTTCGTTGGAAGACATAATACTATAAGGTGAGAAATATTAAAGTATTGGTTAAAAAATATTGATGTGACTTTTGCTGCGGTACTGAGATTAAATATTAAGATTTTGTTTCACAGCATTGCGATTTTATACTAAGACACTATCCTCACTGGGGTACAGACAAAAGCCCCCCAGACGAAAGCCACCCAGACAAAAGCCCCCTACTTTGATCGGGGTGGCTTTTGTCTGACAACAGTAGGGCAAACTATTTAATATATATATATATATATATATATATATATATATATATATATATATATATATATATATATATATATATATAAAAGAGTGAGTCACTGTGCAATATGTATTTTTTGTAGGGTCACGGGGGGAGGGGGCCGGCAAACTCAAGGGCCGCCCCGGGCGGCACACACTCTAGCTACGCCACTGATCACAACCCTGTATGAAAAACTTTAGTCTGAGACAGCGATAGTGATTTAAGTGCAAGAGTTGAAGAGGAGTGTGGGTAAATGACAAGTGAACAGGGTCTCATCTTTCAGTGTTGCATTACACATCTACCTCACTAGAGCCGTTCCGAGGGGGTGGCTGCCCCAGGCCTCGCACTCTACCAGTTAGTATTATACAGGTCAAATACAACACATAAACTAGTAAAAAAAAGTCTGTGTTGACTGGAAGTATTTTAGTGAGAATAAAATCTTATGAGTCATCAAAAGAACATTTGTTCAACCTTAATCAAATGGAAGTGAAAAGAAGGTTGTGTTCAATGAATACCATGGATACACGCACATTACAAGACTTGAATAAAGAAAAGGAATGTTGGCAATCAGTTCTAACACATATTATAGCGACTGTGCAGTAAGCACAACTCGTCTTTGCACAAGTCATTGAGTGTTGGAAATTCCCACAATACTGCCAAAGCTGCGTTGTTTTCAGTGCTTCCAGTACTCCGAGAACTCATTCCCAAAGAAGCATAAAATGGAAGAAATTAAAAGTGACAGAAATGATGAGCTTAATGCCTTAACCCTTCATCGATGGCTAAGGATTCCACATTCCTCCCCCCCATAATGCACAAAAATAAAGCACTGATAACATGAAACTTCCACAAATGATGACTGCCATTCCTACAGCTAACTTTCACTGATGATGGCCAGTGTTTAGGCATTGAGAGTAATAAATAGGGTAAATTAAATGCAGGTCTGGGTCTGCTCAGGTCTGGACAAACTGAGAGAACTTGAAAGATTGGTAGAAAAATGTATACTTGTGACATGAGAGGGAGAGTTGATGACCAAGTGAGGAGGATGCTGAAGGAGAAATATGCTTGAGTGAGTGGAGAGTATGGTGAAGGGTGATATACTGAAGCAAGATACTAGAGGTCTTGTTATGGAAGGGAAACATCACAATAATACTTTATAATGTGTAAGTTTTGCTTTTGTTTCCAGACAAACTCCATTAAGCAGGAAAAGGCTTGAAAAAGTAAACTGACACAAGTAGTTAAATAAACTGGACAATAATGCAGATCTTTTACTTTGCCTTTTTACTTCACAAAGGGAGAAGAAAAGGAAGAGGGGATGGAAGAGAAATCACCTTTCAGGGGGTCCATGCTTGATGCCGTCATTTCACCAATAAATTTTTAAGTTCACAAGGTGTAATTCAAGATTATTTTATTTAAATCAACATTGCACTGCGCTATATATTATCAATATTTTAACTAAATTTCAGAATTACCAATAATTTCAATGTAAAAATGCAAAAATACTCAAAGACATCAGCAAAATAGATGTTTACTCCACTGTCAACCAAGCCAAACTGACACCTGGTGGCTGAGTCAAGCGGCTGATGGACGCACAAAAAAACTAGTTCCCTAGCTGTGCTGCATATATTATCAGCATGTTCACTAGATTTTAAAATGACTAATAATTTTAATATAAAAAATGCAAAAATATTAAAGAGCACAACTTCTTGATATTTACTCCACTGGAAACGAATGTAAACATAGAACCAATTACTGTATTATTGGCAGACTAGCCCATCAGCTGATGCTCACAACAAAACGTGTTTGTCGTAAGGATTTCGTTAATCGAAGTTTTGTTCATTAACCGAATTGAAGATCCTTATGGGAGGTAATTCGTTAATTGAACCGTTCGTTAACCGAGGGACCACTGTACAATGTACTGTACTACTGAATTTATTTTGAAAGCACTATTCTGCAAATTTTTCCAACATTCTTAATAACAAGGAGAGAAATCAATGCACAAAATATGAATACAGTAAAGCCTTCAATTACGACGGTTCTACTAACGAAGATTCACATCTAAGACCCTGGTTAATTTAGGACCCAATTCAATTTATGCCATAATTTCCTTAGTATTTAAGAAGAAAAATATTACATTTTCGTATAAATAATAGCAATCCAGATATTAAAAAAAAATACACCTTGCGCACAGAGGCTGCCGGGCTTGTGAATGGTGACGCCAGCATCACTAGTATAAACAGTTGCAGTTGGCAGGCCTTTTGTTTTCATGCATGTGAACAAGAAAAGGAGAAAAACATTCTCAGGTTTCTTACAGCATTTTTGCATCCCTATTCAACATGAGCAAGAGAGCAAGTGATGGTAGTGTTTCAAAAGCTAATAGAAAGTGTATAAGCTTAGCCGAGAAACTAGATGTGTTAAAACGATATGAAAAAGGTGAGAGGTTTGTGGATATTATATGGAGCAAGCAATGGACATATTTTCTGAAGTGGATCCATTAACAGAAAGCCCTAAAATTTAAATAAACACAAATGACCTCTACATAAAGATGTATAATGAAAAAATAAAGCAGCTGTGCAAGGTTCTTTTGACAGCTTTATTATTCGAAGGCTTAAACCGTCAACTTCAGCTGCACCATCAAATTCAGCATCATAAGCTGATTTAACAACAACTTCAGGTTCAGTAACAGTTTCAGCAACAGCTATGACATCTTTATGGAAAGCTACGGCTTCAGCCAGAGTTGAACCTGATGACTTCGTCATCTGATTAAAAAAACTCACACAACATTCAATGGTTGTCCTTATATTTTAGACTTTACCACCATTAGTGAGTAGAATTTTTGTTTTACATAAATATTATTTAAAACATATATGAACAGTAAATAAGCGTTGCTTTCATATTCATATGTAGAGAAATGGCGATATGTCTTCACATGTACGCACTTACTGTTCATACATTGGCGTTCCCAATCGTCTCGCTTTATTTCTTTACTATTAGTGGTTAGCTACTTCTAGTATTCCATGTATTAACATTAAATAACATTACTTAAAAAATACATACAGGTATTCAATTTTTTTACATTAAGTTCACTACAGCTACAACCAGGATCTTATTTTCTTCAGTTTCTTATGTAGAACCATCGTCACTCACTAAAACAGTGCCGTCTTGTCTCCTCTTGTGTGTTTTAATATTCTACGTATTATTAATGAATTGCATTGTTCATTTCACATATATAAACATTAATTCAATCAAATACATATTCAGTAATAAACAATAATGAATCTTTTGTACATATTCTTAAAAAGATAAATGACGCAGTATCCTTAAATGCACACGTACAGTATATGTTGGCGTTCCCAATCCATCTCACTTTTTTTTTTCTTTACCATAAGTGGTTAGCTACTTCTATTGTTCCATTTATTAACATTAAATAACATTACTGTACTTAAAACATATATATTAATTTTTTTACATTAATTTTACTACAGCTACAACCAGGGTCTTATTTTCTTAATTTTCTTGTGTCGAACTATCGTCCCAGACTCCTGGCTGTAAACACAAACGAAAACAATGGCGTTCCATCTCCTCTTGTGTGACCATATTATTATTCATTTATATATTGTATAAGGTGCATTCAGAAACATTATTTAAAGAATATAGTTTCCAATTTTCATAATTACATTGTTTGGGGAGTTAAAAAGAGGGTAAAAAGCCACACAAAAGATATGAAAGGGTCACACTTGGGAATGAATCTCATTATTATTGCTTTATTTTAATGGTAATTTTTTATTCACCTTACACTGCAATATTGGAGGACACATTACCGCCGTTATTCAAGGCTTTACTGAACATGATGGGCAAGTATTATTTTCAAAAATTAATTCTCAAGATAATTTTAATATTATTTTCAGCAATAAATTCTTAAGATAAATTTGTTAACATTACAAAAATATTTTAGCAACATTATTATTTAACATTAAAAATTTGACCTTCCTTATAATTACTACAAAGAGAAAACAAAAAAGTTATTGGTACTAACAACAATTACTTTATCCATCCTTCTTGCAATGATCTAAGACCATGCATGAAAACCTAAACAAAGGAAGGTTAGTAAACTATTAATCAATAACTAAAACAACACACACAGCTTCCTCAATTTTAATATTATCTTTTCTTTTAATTCTTACACTTCTTTAACAAAATTATTTTAATGTTAGTAGTGTGGGTTCATGACCGGTAGATGTCAAAAATTTACTGAGGTCGTTCGGGGATATCCCCAAGGTGGCTGCGTTTGACATTGGATGGAAATTTACGTAGGGATGGGAGACACTTAGTGCTTCCTGATCTACGAGAAACTGGACTTGGCGGTTTGTATCATTTATCAAGGCGTAAGCGGTAACACACCCCTGCTTCACCCCTAACACACTAAACATTGTGTCTTCATCTCCAAATCTTAAGTCCTTTACACCAATTTGTTTCCCAATTTCATTGAGTTTGACCTGAAACAAGAAAACATAAAACAATTAAAGTTAAGAACTGACGATATACAGTAAATGGAAGATGCCTCAATTAATCAACAGAGAAGGTAAAGGAAATATATTACAGTGGATCACAAACTATTAGCCTAAAAGATCAGTGTCCACCATTACTGTATTACAAATATGACTCGCCTTATTTAATTTATTTACTTCCAGGTTTCCTATCCACAGAAAAGATAAAATCCACAACTCTGAAACTCCTAAAGTTCACCAGAACCAACATGAGTCACCTAACATGAAATCAAAGTCTGAAGTGACTGTTTTCACAGCAGAGTTCTGTACTCTGCGAGCAAGTCGAATATATCATAAAGCAAGTGTGCAAGTACAATATTGTACACGTTCCCATAACGTCAACAGCAGGACACAAACTAACTCATAGAGGTACTACAGGAAAATATTAATCTTTTAAAAAATTTAGAATGCAATTTATTATGCTTACAATTATAATGCTAGACCTTTCCCAGAAAAACAACAAGGTACAGTATTAATATATCCACCAGCATACAGCTCATTGGATGAGGTGGGAGCCATGGGTCATTGGGTAAAGTGTAAAAACTTCACTGCCCATGAAGAGTAAAGCACACCACTTAATACAGTTCCATGACCTTAAAGACAAATACAGTAGAGTGTAAATTTATAAAAGTGTAAGACAAACCATAAATGAACATTTTTTTTTTACGGGAATTAGCCCACCCGGGCACAGGTCAAACGACCCATAACGGAGCCTGGGGGGCGAAAAAAAAAACGGAAAGAAATTGTAAATATAGAAGAAAACAGTTTATACTGTATTAATCTACACCACGAAGATGCCGGAAAACCAGCTTTTTAAAGTGAGACAGATTGTAAGAGTATGGAAACACAGAAGTAGTCAGAGCATTCCACAGTTTGGCTGTGTGAGGAAAGGAGGTACTATAACGGGTTATTCTCATGTGACCGACATCCACAGAGAAATGGTGGGCACCGCGGGCAAGACGTGTGTTACAAACCCACGGTCTTGCCGGCGGTACACAGGATGCCAAATCCACTGAACATTGCCCGTTAAAGTGCCTGTAAAAGAGAGAGAGTGAAGCAACATTGCGGCGAAGAGAAAGGGAAAAGAGATTGTCGACTAGAGGAGAGTTAATAAAACGAAATGCCTTTGATTCCACCCTATCTAACAGTTGGACAGAAGAAGAGCCACCCCAGATATGAGAGCAGTACTCCAAGTTAGGATGAATGAATCCCTTATATACTTGGAGCAACTGCTCAGGAGTGAAGTAGCTGCGGCATCTGTACAGCATTCCCAACTTTCGGGAGGCAGCTTTAGTTATTCTAAGGATGTGTGATTTCCAGGACATATTGGAAGAAATGGTGAGGCCTAACATATTTATTTCAGAATTTGGGAGGATGATAGCGTCCTGAAATGTAATTGGTGGGAGATCGTCTAATTTACAAAGTGTAATTGGTAAATATTGAGTTTTATTACTATTGAACTTTACCAGGTTTGTACCTCCCCATTCAGAGATGCTGCACAGATCCGCATTGATAGAAGTAATGATATCAGCTCTAGAAACAGATCTAGTTTGAGAGGAAGGGAAAAATGTGAGGAGGAGTGAAGAGTAGAATCATCAGCGCAAGAATGGATAGAATTAGTTGTAGTGTGAAGTAAATCATTGATAAAAAGAAGGAAGAGAGTTGGTGAAAGAACAGAACCCTGTGGGACACCACTACTGGTAGAGAAAGAGCGAGAGATCGATCCCTCGACAACAACTGCCATGGATCGGTTCTCAAGGAAGCTAGAGATGAGAAAACAAATTGGGGGAGAGAAACCAAAAGAGGGAAGTTTAGATAGCAAAGACTTGTACTATAATGTACAATTATACACAATCTAAAAGTTGATAAATAAAATTAGCCAGATTTATAATTCTTGCCATGATACTTTTTGTAATATGTGATACAGATATCTTCTGGTGGGGCGAGTTTCATTCACTATACAACTAACTGTCTTGTGAGATGCCAATGATGTCAAGGTTATACCAAGAAACACCTAATTATTACAGTTGGCAAAGTGTGCATATGTACTGCTATACAGTGTTTAAATATTACAAATGTGGAAAAAGCGAAAGAGAAGCAATATACTGTACTGTGAGCCAGACATAAGAACAAGACTGGCAAACAGTGATAAACTAGTGAGTAACTTCCATTGTAAATAAGACCACAGAAATAAACCAGACAGACATGACTCAGAAGAACAAAGAAAGAAGAGATAGACAAAGTTATAAAAGACTGTTGAGAAGGTTGTACAGTACAGTACTGTAAACTTAACCATACAAATAAGCTAAAAGGTGGACAAAGGATGGTGTTGCTGTATCACTCACCAAGATGTTTATGTCTGAATTGCGATGAGTGAACAATTCATAAAGTAGAAGAGTCACAAAATGATGGACAGAGAGAAAAGAGTAACTATCTGAGCCGTCCACACTTTGTGACGGGACACAGAAAAAGTCCAAACCTCTGCATTGTGTCGTGCAGACAGAAGATAGAGATTCTTCTTCTTGTCCTTCAGGAAGAGGTTCTTCATGTGCAGGCCTGGCATGTCCCTCACATGTTGCATAAGGGCATCTACTGTGAACACTTCCTCATGGTCTTGCACTTGGTAAGTAATACTTAACTGTTTTAGATGAGTCTCTAATCCTGTTCGGTCCACAAAGGTCTTCTGTGAGCCATCTTTTGTCCTCTCCTTTGAATCTAAACACGTCTTGGATTTGTGTGCAGTATTGGATGGCCCTGTACTACTGCTTTCTCTAGAACCTGATGTGTCAGTGTTAACACATGGCTGTGGTTCTTGGACTTCTGTCTCTTTATCTGCAATTAAATTTGTTCATGACAATATTTCTTTTCTTTTCTTTTTTTTACTGACTAGACTACCGGAGACACTTTCAAAATATAGGTAAACTATTTCCTGCCAAACTAATAATGATCAGAGAAGTCAATCACTGATATTAATCCCTTAAGTTTACAAGAAAAATAACAATGGTTTCATGAATAGTTTACTTTCCAATATTTATAATTGTTCTTAAAATTTGCTTTTCAAATACATGATTTATTCACTGGGTAAATTACTGACATAAAGTACCATCATATTCATGTTTTTCTTTTCCTTCACTATAACAAGAACAAACACCAACACTTCTTTCAACTATTGTCACTCAGTCTTTCTAACAGCTGTACCAAATGTCCTGCTGTGGTTCCACTACAGAGTCCTGGACCCAGAGATATTCATCTGACTCATTCCAACTGCTTCACATACATATTCACTACTATCACTTAATTCCTAATTCATGTGATCAGCAGCAAATCTGTGTGCACAACAAAAGCAAGAAAAGAATGGATGGAGTTAGGCTGCAACCTGTATTAGTAATTTAGTACTGCACTGTATGGTTATTTTCTGGACTTATTGTTACTCGAAATTAGTACAGAAGAAACTTTGTTAGACCAACCTGTTGAACTGTGGCAGAGAGCTTATTCCAAATACAGTATGGCAGACAACTTATTGCACTTATGACAAACAGGTTAATGTATATATGACAGCTTATTGCATCATTACATATATGGCAAACAGCTTAATGTGTATATGGCAAACAACTTAATGTGTATATGGCAAACAGCTTAATGTCGTATATTGCAAGCAGCTTAATACATGTGACAAATAGTTTACTGCATACATCGTGAATGACCATTGTATAAAAACAGAGATAGAAATGCTGTCTTACCTAAACCAGCCAAGGTGGTCATGGCCATGTACCACTTGGCTAAATTTGCTGGGGCACTAACACTGAGCTGTGCCTGTCTCATCAGTGACCAGGTCAACACATCCACGATGCTACAAGTATTTCCCATCAGCCATATTGTCTTTCCAAGTCTGGGGAAAATTGTTAGTAAATTGTAACATTAAACTAACACACAAGGTCCCTGGCCTTCACTAACCTAACACACAAGGTCCCTGGCCTTCACTAACCTAACACAAGGTCCCTGGCCTTCACTAACCTAACACACAAGGTCCCTGGCCTTCACTAACCTAACACACAAGGTCCCTGGCCTTCACTAACCTAACACACAAGGTCCCTGGCCTTCACTAACCTAACTCACAAGGTCCCTGGCCTTCATACAAGCTTGATTAATAAACATGAGAGTTAAAATCAGCAGAATGAAAAAGACTGAACTCATACACACACAGTGGTCCCTCGGTTAATGAACGGTTCGATGAACAAAATTTCGGTTACTGAATTACCTCCCATAAGGATCTTCAGTTCGGTTAACAAACAAAACTGATGGGCTAGTCTGCCAATTCAGTAATCTGTTCTATGTTTACATTCGTTTCCAGTGGAGTAAATATCAAGAAAGTTGTGCTCTTTAATATTTTTGCATTTTTTATATTAAAATTATTAGTCATTTTAACATTAATTTAACATATTGATAATATATGCAGTACAGGGAGCTATTTTTGTGTGCGCCCATAAGACACTTGATTCAGCCAACAGGCGTCAGTTGGGCTTTGTTGAAAGTGGAGTGAACATCTATTTTGTTGGCGTCTTGAATATTTTTGCATTTTTACAATAAAATTATTGGTCATTCTGAAATTAAGTTAACATATTGATAATATATAGCGCGGTGCAGTGTTGATTTAAATAAAATAATCTGTAATTACAGCTAGCGAACTTAAAATTTTATTGGTGAAATTACTGCATCAAGCATGGGTCCCCTGAAAGGTGATTTCTCCTTCATCCCCACTTCCTTCTTTTCTCCCTTCTCCTCCACCCCAACTTCGAATTCCCATCATCATCATCAATCAGGAGCCTTCTACATACACACCTCAAAGTAAGTGTACTTTACTGCATTTTTTTACTTTGTATGCACTTTTCTGTGAGCTGGAACCAATTACCCAATATCCCATTGAAACAATGGATTCGGTTAACAAAATTTTCGGTTAACGAACAACTCTGTGGAACGAATTGTGTTCGTTAACCGAGGGACCACTGTACTGTATAATGATTAAGTTAAGGTAAATTGGAGCTCAGTTAAACCACTTAACAGCTAACAAGATATGGATAGACAAGCACAGACAATGTTTCTTTATGGTGACAGCTCCATCACCAAACACTTGTGATGTAAGCATAACTATTGGTTTATATTCTACAAAATTTCAAGTCTGTTCCCTGGGCCTGATGAGTCCAGCCTTCTCCCCTAAAAGGATACATCAATAAACTTTGTCATGTGAATGGTTACAGAAACACACACTCACTGTTTCAGAGCCTCCACATTGTAATATAATGCTACATACTACAAAAACTAAGCAGCCTTAATATGTTCCTGATAAACCATATAGTTCATAATCTACTTATCATGAATCAACAAAACATTCAAGGAGATACAATATTTTCCCCCAAGGCAACCAACCCCACTTAGGAAACGTACCTTCCATTTAACTGCCTCAGTGCTGCTTGCCGTTCTTTGTTATTTCCACAAGCTATTTGTTTGGACAGCTGATCCATCAATTGGTCTGTTTCTGTGATGATCATGAAGGTGCCAGAAGCTTCATAATTGTACTGAGATGACAGGGGAAACAGGCGAGATATATACCGCAGGATGTTGGCCTCGCCTGATATTTGGGTTTGACGGAGAGGATTGACCTGTAATTACACATTTAATTCCTTACACAAAGTATACAAGCAGGTGGGAACAGCATCGTGTGAAGACGGGGGAAAAATATATACAGTGCAGTATATCAATTTATTCTTCTGGTGAGGTGTTGGTAAAGAGGTAGAGTACACAACAGTGAGAGGAGATGTGTTCTGTATATAGTGAGAGCAAAGGACAAAGATAGTAACTAGATACATGTCCCCCACTAAGTGCTGCAACAAAATTAAGCAAATGTATGTAACATCTTTTTTCTGTATACAGCAGACCTTAAGAATTGTCATGCAATATCAAACGGTGTTTTATTACTGTACCCTATACAGTATTTTAATAGCAACTGTCAATGAAAAGTGTTTAATAAGATAAATGAAAGACGGACTCACCATAAGGCATGGAGCTGGCACATCTTTCCAGTGCAGAGTGAACGCTACTTTGTGTTTATTGCGATCTCCCATAGGACAATCTATGAAGCAACTTCTCAAGACATCATTGACCTGTAAACAGTTAAGAATGCTATACCATACATTATTATTCATTTAAATTTTATAGTTTGTGGCTGAGGATGTTTGAAGCATACTATGAGTTCACTAAAACTTTCTTCCCTGTGGCCTGACTGTGCACCAACTCTACGGTACAATATATTTGACAGATCCATTGACCTGTTCAAATTGTGTGAGTACAAATGACTCTAAATATCAGTACAGTAGAATCCTGGTTATCCGGGGACCGGATGACCAGCAGATTCAACTTATCCGCACCAAAAAAGAAATAATAATAATAAAAATTCCTCCCAAATCAACTAGTATTGTAAGTTTGGATACTGCATACAGCAGAGATAAGCTACCATATTTATTGCTATAATAAACAATGAAATTGATACATATCATACAGTAAAATACAATAGCACATATTTTAAGTACTGTACTAAAATAGCCGCCGCCCACCCGTACATTAGTTTAGTACATTTTAGTAATGTAAAGTTTTTCAACTGTATTTTTGGGTAGATTTACATAAATTTCTTCATTTATTTTATTCATTTACACGCACACACCATACTAAAAGAAACAAAAAAGAAATAAATGACCTAAGTGCAAACCTGTACTGTACATGTACTAAATGATTATGGTCCTAAACTTTTTATGTCTAGTGCAAATTATAGCTTGTTTATATTCAAATTAATCACTATCTTACAAGAATCCCAGCAATGTAAATTATATTCTTCCCGGTCGTTTTGATGACAAATGGCAAGAGAAAAGCTTAGTCACTCTTAAGGACTGATAAATAAACACACAGACCTTTGGTGCCAACTGTCAAACATATCCCTCCCCCCCTCCCAGCCAGGGTTTTAGGCTTACAGTTTTTATCTTATATAATATCACAGACTAAAGTTAGGAGAATATAATTTGCATTGCTGGAATCCTTGCAAGACAGTGAATAATTTGAATATAAACGTCATATATTTTGCACAAGAGATAAAAATTAATCACCTGTATCACATTACAGTAGTGATTTAAGAGTTCTAGTGTATATATATATATATATATATATATATATATATATATATATATATATATATATATATATATATATATATATATATATATATATATATATATATATATAAACACTCACTTACCTCTAACACAGAAGAGTGAAGATGGTTCACAGAGAACACTGGACAACCAACTTCTTTCAGAAGTTTGCGAAGTAAAACCAGAGAGAAAGGCGGAGCGTTGGGATTGGCTGAGATCACCAAGTCATGTACTGATGTAGTCTGGAAGGCAAAGGATGAAAATGAAGTGAGCTGTAATACTGGCTTAGTCGTGTCAATATTGTTAGCATTATCCACTCTGTATCTGTATTTTTCTGGCTAAAAACCGGTTTCAATAAAAGATTCAGCAGTGTTGTAACAAGAGCCACTGTCTTGATATCATATACAGTACTGTGGCAGCAGGCATCATGAGAATAAGAAAGAAGTCTTGTATAAAGAGGGATGAATGAAGAGTGTACAGTACTTGTTATAATATTCAAATTGGTATTTGTACAAGAATGTTGACAAACATAATAAAAAGATCACAAGTAATAATAAAGTCCACAGGTTTTTATGTACAGTATACTGTCAACACCAGCTCCTACCTGTTGTTGGCTGATGACACAGGTTGAGTTGCTAAGATCCTGAAACTTGCTGCTGGTTCAGTGTGGCTCACCCATTAACCCTCACATTATGCAAAGCCAACAAATGTTCATACACAACTCACTGTTGTTGATCCTCCAACTTTATTCAACCAAAAAGTTCAAAGGCAATTTTGGACATAAGCCAGCAAGAGGGTGAGATTTTCCTAGCTGTTGACAATGTAAAAGGCTTAATACCATTTATGGGAATGTAGATGCATCATTTAAGACCTGTAAAATACTCTCAACTCTGATTTGTCTAAAGCTGACTTTTCTTATTTAAAACATAAATACCAAACAAGTTGATAAAACAAATTAGAATTGTATTTGCCTTCCCTTCCCAATAACCATGTGCAATAATTTTACATGAAATTTATCCATGGTTCTGGACATTTAAATATCTGTATAAGCTTTAACACCTGGCTAGTAATGTACTCTGAAAACCCAGTAATACATGTAGTACATTACAGTAGTAACCAAGAGACTATGCATTTGTCTAGTAATATCCATCCCATAGTGACTTGATTAATAATGATTGCAGTACAGCAACATAAATCAAATAAAACTGATTCAAACACAAATCACATGCAGAACCCAAACCTTGAAAAATTCATACCTGCAACACACATTACTGAACAACAAGACAATCCTCTACTGATGTCCAACAGCTGGCCGTCATATCTTATCTAACCCTAAAACTACTTAAAGCACATTATCGTCTTATTATCCTCTAAAACTGTGCCAAGCTTTAAAAAAAAATACCAGTGGTTTCTTGGTGGTTAGGAGCAATGGAAATTGGAAGACAGACAAACACACAGACAAATTGATGGAAAGAAACTGTACTGTATAATGGGTTAAGTTTTGTTGGGACAGCACAGTAAAAAGTGAGATTATCCCTGAACATGTGAACCACTGAGGAAGTCCATCAATCTGTGAACATTCAAAAATGCTAACTGTGCCAACATTTTAGCTTAAGGCATAATACTAGCCTTTGAATGAACTAATCTTGTTTATGCCAAATTTTAATTCATTTGTCTTGTTAGTTCAGGAGAAAACAGACTGCCCAATAGGTGCTATATTCCCCCCAGAAACACCTAATAAATAATCCTGGACAGCTACCTATATCCTCCACATCACCTCAAGATTTTCTTCTACTGGTTTAGTAATTCTGGAGAATTTTAAAAGAACCTCCACACACAATTACAGTTGTTGGAGCATAACAAGTGGCCATGGCTGCCATGTTTTCTTACAAAGAACAACACACAAACAACAACAAACTTGAATTATGGTGCCAACATCTGCAAATACAGTCTGGTGGTTCTTAAGGAATAAAAGTTTTTTACACTAATTACTAAGGAATTCAAAATGGCTGCTAGTTATAAGGAACACTCACATGTCTGTTATTAAAACCAAGTTGGTTGTCTAGAACAAGTCAAAATGTAGATGGATAAATGATTGCACACACACTCAACCTTCAACCAGGTGAGCTAAATAAGTTAATATACAGTACTGTACTACAAAGGTTATCTACTGAGTCATCTTAAGTGTGACTGAAGGCAATACTTAAATAATGAAAAGTAAAAATAAATAACACTACAGAAAGGGTCTCTTACTGCAACGATTATTTTCAATTTCTAGACAGGTCGAAGTCATCAAACAGGCTTTAAACAATTGAACTAAAGCAATTAAATGATCCAGTTTTTACAACTTTAAGACATAACTTGTGAGTGATCTCAGCCTAAAATGTAGAAAAGTCAATAGTCTTCACACTAAAGAACCCAAACAAAAATTATACTGTAGTATTTATAGTTGAATACAGTAATTACAGTTGCAGACGAGATACATAAAAACAATGTCCACACACACAAACACACTTGTCAACCACCCGCGAGACAATACGTACCCTGAAGGCGCTCCCAGTTTGGGCAGCCAGGCCGAGTCTGTTTACCCCCCCTCCCCCCTGCTATATCCCAACGCCCTACCAGCCTTATCACACCGGGATTTATTCAGCAAAACATTCAAGTGATTAGTGAATGATTGACTACCAAACAGTGTTCCTATAGTGCACTCCAAGAAAAAGCACAAAAAAACAGCAGTGTAATACTGAGTGTGGCTGGATCTGACCTGACCTAACTTGAAGGATGGAGCACACCTGCATTGCCCAAAGCTACTGTTCTGGCCACGTGACCACACACCTGCCCAACCGCATCCAACCCATACGAGCATGAACCGATTGCTATAAGAACAGCCCAGTCCCAACCATTGTAAAAACTATCAGCACATTATTATATATCATATTTGTATCACTTATGTTACTTGTATAAAATTTGTAGATCAAGAGACCCATTCCCCAATTATGTATTGTAATTGTATATTTTTTGCCTTCTGGCTGCCATGCTCTTTCAATAAACCGTTAATTAAAAAAAAGCACGCGCGCACACACATTCTATACTGCCCTTCAGGGTTTATTGAACAGTCTCCAAAACTGGGCTACCAACAACCACAACCATACCAAGACCATGGTTATGCACATCAACCTCTCCTACTACGTTGTCCCACCCCCTTCCATTACTTTAGGACCCAACACACTCCAGGTTGTAGATTCCACTGAGCTCCTCGGCATCACTATAGACAATAAATTAAATTGGAAGCCACACGTCAGTGAAGTTGTCAAATCCTCCAGTTTCTGTCTCCACCTCCTCCGCCGACTCAAGTCCCTCGGAGCTCCTGCCCCCGAGCTCCTCAGTGTTTACTCAACATTCATACTTCCCAAGCTCACCTATGCCTCCCATGCCTGGTCTTCCTCCCGAAATGCCACACAATGTAAACACATAGAAAAAGTGCAAAAGAGGGCATGCAAGATTATTCTCTCCCCTTCCTACTCCACATATCAAGAAGCGCTCAACACACTGACCCTCTCGGCTCTCTCTGACCATCACCACGACCTCATCTGCAAATTTGGTGAAATGCTTCTGAATCACCCTCGACGCCGGCTCCTACTACCACCTGAGATCCCTCACCCGGGAATTGCTGTTCGACACCACAACCGCATCCTGCCCATACGAGCACGAACTGATCGCTATAAAAACAGCCCAGTCCCAACCATTGTAAAAATTATCAATAACTTGTAATCAACCAGTGTATTCACTCCCAGTCAATCTTACTTTTTGCACTGTCACTATGATGAAATGCCCTGTAGTTTGACCTTCTCCCAACCTAGTTATTATATATCATATTTGTATCACTTATGTTACTTGTATATATTATTTGTAAATCAAGAGACCCATTCCCCAATTATGTAATTGTATATTTTCAGCCTTCCGGCTGCCATGCTCTTTCAATAAACCGTTAATTATTATTATTTATTATTACACACACACACACACACACACACACACACACTATGAGTCAGGACACCAGAAACATCAACATTGTTAAGCCTCCCCGATGCCTATATTGTTCTTATGATAAAACAATAACAACCTTAATTAATAGAAATTATGTTAGTGTATGTATAGTAATTTGCTTGTATTGTTTGGTCCTACAGCTGGGAACCTGAGTACTGTACCAGTGCTGAGGTTTATTTAACATCAGGAGAGAGTTTACAGTTTTCATACATAAAGGAAGGGGAAATATCCATCAGTTAACTGGTCAGCCAGCTAAAATGAATACCAGTTGTGTCTGACTGACTGACAGAGTACTCTTTGACCAGCTTGTGCTAATGCAACTTATAGTCAAATACCTCAACTGAAACTGTGTTGTACTCCGATACTTACAAGGGCTTTCCTACTGATAGTATAGGGTGATCCTTGTTTTAGTTTATACCACACATCTTGTTAACAAGTTATTAGTAATTATTATACAGTACAGTACTCACATTTATTAATTCATTGCAGGCTGTTAGTCATCACATAGTGTACTAATCATGTTTATAATGCTTGTACAGTACCAAACTTTCCATAGCCGATCAAAGCATCACACCAGCACTGTAGTTAACTACGAGCACTACACGCACAAATTCTGGTTTGGTGTAGCCAGGTAGATAAACTTAGATTGATACTTGCTGCCGGTGATGTTGAAGCGAACAAGGGTGAGGAGACAGTAGGAAAGGGAGAAAACTGGTAAGATATGTCACATTGACACCCAACATCTTGAGGGAGTACCTCCCAAGAGAGGTCCTGTAACCCTCGCAACATCTTAGCCAACTCCTCTTGCAGTAACTTGAGTTTCTTGACCACTTCTCTGTGGTGGGTTACAACATCCACCTCAGAGGGCCAGTCCTGCAGATACCAACAATCATCCAATGGTCACTCACTCACAAATTTTCAGTACAATACTTTCTTCAATGGTATGGTAGATTATTATTCAAAAACTTTATCATATTCAGAACATCATGTGATCTGGAGACCTTGGGATCCGTTTTCTTCTGCAGTTCGGCAAGAAATTCCACCTCCTCCTTTAGCACCTTGATTATTTTCAAGATGCTACACTGTCGTTCAGCTAAGCCTACTGATTCAACAGCTGAGAAGGTGTCCTCATCAGTTTCTGAGAGACATTGAAGTTCGGCCTTCAAGCAACCCAATCTGTACAGTACGGAGTCTTGCAGCCTTCCCACATCAGTTTCCATTCCTCCATCTTTATCCTGCTGTACATCAACATCAATTTTTTTTACAATAACATTTTCTTTATAAGAGAAGGAGAATCTGAACAAAATTCATGAATAAAAATAAAAATGACAAGGGTTATTGACACAACATATGGCAATGTATTCACATAACTGTTCTCTTCACAAGGACACAACAAACCACCTGTGCAATGAAGTTGTGCTGAAGGCTATTTAGATGTGCCAGATGATCTCCAACACGAGCCACTACTTGTTCCACCTCTGCCTGTTTCTCTTCACCACCCATCTAGTCAAGTGATCCATAAACATGTACAATAGACAGTCAACAACTACAGATGACACACCACAGGTAAAACAACATCACATTAACGAGTTGAGATACAATAATAATAAATTGCTTCTGGCAAGTTTAATGATGTGAGAAGACCAAACTATGATAAGAGGAGTGACACAACATGGAGCTGTGTTAGTAAGAGGAGTGACACAACATGGAGCTGTGTTAGTAAGAGGAGTGACACAACATGGAGCTGTGTTAGTAAGAGGAGTGACACAACATGGAGCTGTGTTAGTAAGAGGAGTAACACAACATGGAGCTGTGTTAGTAAGAGGAGTGACACAACATGGAGCTGTGTTAGTAAGAGGAGTGACACAACATGGAGCTGTGTTAGTAAGAGGAGTACACAACATGGAGCTGTGTTAGTAAGAGGAGTAACACAACATGGAGCTGTGTTAGTAAGAGGAGTGACACAACATGGAGCTGTGTTAGTAGAGGAGTGACACAACATGGAGCTGTGTTAGTAAGAGGAGTGTGGGCTTGGAGCTGTGTTAGTAACACAACATGGAGCTGTGTTAGTAGAGGTGACACAACATGGAGCTGTGTTAGTAAGAGGAGTGACACAACATGGAGCTGTGTTAGTAAGAGGAGTGACACAACATGGAGCTGTGTTAGTAAGAGGAGTGACACAACATGGAGCTGTGTTAGTAAGAGGAGTGACACAACATGGAGCTGTGTTAGTAAGAGGAGTGACACAACATGGAGCTGTGTTAGTAAGAGGAGTGACACAACATGGAGCTGTGTTAGTAAGAGGAGTAACACAACATGGAGCTGTGTTAGTAAGAGGAGTGACACAACAAAGATAAGTCCCGGGTACTGTATAAGAATAGTAATTAAGGAATCGCTTGTCAAACATAAGGACAACCAAGAAGGTGACAACAGTGAAGGGTTGACTGTCAAACACTTGATACTGTACATGTGGCAAATTAAAAGTCATAACAACTATTATTAAAACACAAATACAGAATAAACGTATTTTTTTTTTTACGGGCAATAGCCCACCCGAGCATAGGTCATCGACCCACAACGGGGCGTGGAGGGTGAAAAAATAAGAGTAAAAAGAAATTAAAAATAGAAGAGAAAAAGACTACGTACGGTGATATCTCCGTTAGCCGGAACAATTGGCGCAGAGCACATCTGGGAATGAGAGATTTCCGGGTGACGAGACGACTCTCAAAGCCGGAAAAAATCCCTCATCCCCGGAACTTTCTGGATAATGGAAAACTGTTCTCGGAAGTTCCAGAAAATGACCATTATATCATCTCTCAAACCCAGAAAAATATCCCCCATCCCCGGAATTTTCTGGGTACCGGAAGATTTTTCTTCGAATTTCCGGAAAATGTGCCCGATTTTCATCTATCAAACCCGGGAAAAAAAACCCATCCCAAAAATTTTCTGTGTATTGAGAAAATTATCTTGGAATTTTCCTGAAAATGTGCCCCTTGGAAAATCGTTCCCAAAGCCGAAATTTTCTGGAAAATTCCGGCAATGGGAACGATTTTCCGAGAAAATTTCAATTCAGGCTACCGGAGAGTTCCGGGTTTGAGGGATTTCGGCTAACGGAGATACAGTATTACTATTAATCTACATCGCAAAGATGCCGGAAAACCAGCTTTTTGAAGTCAGACAGATTGTAGGAGCATGGAAACACAGAAGGCAGAGCATTCCACAGTTTGGCTGTGTGAGGAAAGAAGGATGTACTATAACGGGTTATTCTAATGTGACCGACATCCACAGAGAAACGATGGGCACTGCGAGCAAGATGTGTGTTACGAGCCCACGGCCTTGCCGGCGGTACACAGGATGCCAAATCCACCGAACATTGCCCGTTAAAGTACCTGTAAAAGAGAGAGTGAAGCAACATTGTGGGGAAGAGAAAGGGAAGAAAGATTATCAACTAAAGGAGGAGAGTTAATAAGACGAAATGCCTTTGATTCCACCCTATCTAACAGTTGGACAGAAGAAGAGCCACCCCAGATTTGAGAACAGTACTCCAAGTTAGGACGAATAAATCCCTTACATACTTGAAGCAACTGCTCAGGAGTGAAGTAGCTATGGCATCTGTACAGCATTCCCAGCTTTAGGGAGGCAGCTTTAGCAATGTTGTGGATGTGTGGCTTCCATGACATATAAGAGGAAATGGTGAGGCCTAGCATATCTATTTTAGAATTTAGGAGAATGATTACATCCTGAAATGTGATTGGTGGGAGATCATCTAATTTGGAAAGTGCAAGTGATAAATACTTAGTTTTATAACTACTGTATTGAATTTAGCCAAGTTTATACCTCCCCATTCAGAGATGCTGCAGATCCACATTGATAGAAGTAATGAAATCAGCTCTAGAAACAGATCTAGTTTTAGAGGAAGGGAAAAATGTGAGGAGGAGTGAAGAGTAGAATCTTCAGTGTAAGAATAGATAGAATTAGTTGTAGTGTGAAGTAAATCATTGATAAAAAGAAGGAAGAGAGTAGGTGAAAGAACAGAACCCTGTGGGACGCCACTACTGGTAGAGAAAGAGCGAGAGATCGATCCCTCGACAGTACAGTGAAGTCCAGTACACTCAGTGCAGTGCAGTGCAGTACAGTACAGTGCAGTGCAGTACAGCACAGTGCAGTATAGTACAGTGCAGTACAGTACAGTGTACTCAGTACAGTAAAGTACACTGCAGTACAGTGTACTCAGTGCAGTGCAATACAGGTCAGTACAGTAAAGTACACTGCGGTACAGTGTACTCAGTACAGTACAGTGCAGTACAGTACAGTAAAGTACACTGCAGTACAGTGTACTCAGTACAGTACAGTGCAGTACAGTACAGTAAAGTACACTGCAGTACAGTGTACACAGTACAGTGTAGTACAGTGCAGTGCAGTATAGTACAGTACAGTGCAGTGCAGTACAGTACAGTACAGTGCAGTTCAGTATAGTACAGTACAGTGCAGTTCAGTACAGTACAATACAGTACAGTTCAGTACAGTTCAGTATAGTACAGTACAGTGCAGTTCAGTACAGTGCAGTTCAGTACAGTATAGTACAGTGCAGTTCAGTACAGTGCAGTACAGTGCAGTGCAATACAGTGCAGTTCAGTACAGTGCAGTGCAGTTCAGTACAGTGCAGTTCAGTACAGTGCAGTACAGTACAGCAGAGTACAGTATAGTAAATAATTATCATTCACTGTATCATTCCTTTTGTTTCTCAGTTAGCTACAGTACTGTACTTCCTTTTCCATTGCTATTTACAAAAGCAATATTTTGTATAAGAATAGACACAAAAACTACATTAGCTAATCATTAAAACTCAGACTTGTTCATGACAACACACCTTAACTGGTGATGAATGAGTGGCTGCTCCTACAACTGAATGGAGTGTTGTGTTGGGATTTGATGTCACAACCTTGTTTCCCAGAAGATGGTCCAGCTGTTGCCTCAGGTGCTGAAGTCTCTCCAGCAGAGCTTCTTGTCTTACTTCCAGGGAACTCACATCCTCGCTCTTCTGTTCACATCACATTATCCATGTAATCAGTACTGTATACAATACATCTCTACAGATCCCTCAACACATCCCATGACAGATCAGCGTTAAATGTTTTATTTAGGGGATCATCTTGTAATGTACATCAGTATGATGCCTAGTCAGTCAGGTCATTAAAAACATTACTGTATACTGCACAGTACAGTGATACTTTTGACACATCAGACTTATGGCAACAAGCCACTTCTGGAAAAAAAATTATAGAAGAAAATTTGTTTCTTACCCCATGAATAAAAATAAATGGGTGGAAGAATTGCATGTTCCCAACTTTTTGTTTTAATAGAGTGAATGTAGTAAAACCAGAGTCTAGGCTTTACTCAGCAAAGAACTTGACCATAAAAGCTCCTCCCCAACTTACGATCTACTCGACTTACGACCAACCGCACTTACGACCTGCCTCAGTCAAGTCAGTCGTACCAAAATGTTGTCAAATTACGTAAATTCAAGTCCCGACGTTAGTGATTGCGCTGTGTACAGACAAAATTTTTGTTTGTAATTCACTTAAAAATGGCTGGCAAGCTTAAAAGTGAGAGTTTTGTGGTATTGAGAAGAAAGAGAGACACCCATTTTAGATTTTCTCCACTTACGACCAATTCGACTTACGACCTGGATTTGGATCCCTAACCCCATCGTAAGTTGAGGAGGAGCTGTAGTGTTAAGCATAATAGTGTATAATAATAAGGAAACACCACTAGACCCCCCAACCTAATTAACATACGAATACAAAGGCGGAAAAGTTTGCATAATCTTTGGTAAAAACATTATTATGACAAGAGTATTACAATCTTACTTTGTTTAGTTCCTTCGTTTTATTATCCCTGAAGATCGTAGTAACTTGAAGTTACGTAAATCCTGAGGCGTGCGTATAACTTTAATGGCCTAGTCATAATCAATCACGTACTTATCTATAAGTGTTTCTCTGCACTCTCTAAAAATTGCCACACAGATTCTTCATCAATTAAATCATTGATTATTGATGCCAGCAACAGTTCAGTTTCAAGACTAAGGTATGGGCTCACTTTCACTGGCATTCGTTGGGTCAGGCTCACTTTCATCACTATCAAGCTCAATGCATGTCTCGTCACTGTCCACTTCGACCTCTTCACAGCCTGTATGCTTAAAATACTCGCCAAAACTAAGGAGGAGGCAGCATCTGGGCGTGCAGATTGGCCGAGGAGCTGTGACGTAGCAAGGGGAAATCCATTGTGATTGGCTACCTCGGGGGGTATGGTCCAAGGGAAGCGCGCTGTCATTGGCTTGTGCTCCTCTCGCTCTGAACTTTGCCACTTTCTGGAACTGAGCACACAGCAAGATACGTAGCTCCAGGCCTGAGGCGAAATCACACCTTATTTTTGAAGGATTTTCTACCATATTTCAATTCTAGCTAGAGGGTTACATCCAACATGTAGAGGAAGGGTGAAAATAGTGATATCTGTCAAAAAATGCATTTTGGCCGGGGTGTCACTTCACCCCCTTCTGACACTGAGAGCCTCAAATACAGTTAAACAATGCAATTGCAAATTCAGACGATTAGGAGGTTTACGGAGACGCTCAGATCGACGTAGTAGTTTTATTATTATCTGTACAATGAACGGCAGGAGTGGGAGGAAGCGATGGTTCATTTTCAGGCCCATTAACTGATCCCGGTTTCGCATTCTGAATTGTCGAATCAAGTTCCTCACCACGATTGATCCGATCACCTAATGCATTCATGTTTTCAGTGAATTGAGGAGCTGCACCCAGAGCTTCAGTAGGGCCAGTTGTTATGTTGCCCACTGCATAATAAATGTTAAATATCGCACTTATACATAATTAGTGCCAGAAATGCCATCGAAGAAAAGTCTCTTAGAATTGTCCAAACTATCATTTACAACTACAGCATAAAACTAACGAGACTCGTTCAGTGGTAACAAGTGAAATAATATTTTTTCATCTATAAAACTTTCCCTAAAGTGGCTCACTCCTTCCAACGCCTACAGTACAGTATTAACATAAGTACACAATTACTATAATAAACCGTTATGTATGCAGGTACTGTAAGAATGTTAACTAAATAAATTCACCACACTACGCTGTACAGTACAGCAGTAGGTAGTTATGTGGATCTTAACAGATGACTCTCAAAACATAATGCCAGGTTGGTGAGGCCAGGGGTGATGCCAGGGGTGAGGCCAGGCGTGAGGCCAGGCATGAGGCTGGTTCACATATTAGGACATTCATGGAAATTTTACCTCGTGCAAAAAATAAAAAATCATTCATGTCCAGACTGGACAGCAAAATGTGTATATAGTGGATATTTTGCAGTGACCGGCTAAGTTCCAACTCGTATACTACGTAAAACACAAGAACAAAATATACCGTACAGAAAAATTAGGTCAAATAATAATGAGCCAAGGTAGATGACCATGAAAACTTAAACATGACATAGGAATAAAGAAAGGAATTTATAAGAAATTAACGGGAGAGGAGGAGCAGCTTAGAAATAGGTATAATGAACTATCTAGGAATGTTAAGAAAAATGTAAGGAAGGCAAAGAGGGACTATGAAATCAGGATAGCAAGAGAATCCAAGGTGAATCCCAAGGGATTTTTCCAGGTATATAGGACAAAGGTCAAGGAAAAAGTTGGGCCCTTAAAGTCAGAGAGAGGGGAAGTGATCGATGACAGTGAGGAAATAAGCAAAGCATTAAACAGCTACTTTTTATCAGTTTTCACAAAAGAAATTCACGAGGAAATTCCAGAGGTGGAACTGATATTTAGGGGAATGAAGAAGAGAAATTAATGAATATCACTATCAGAAAAGAGGATGTTCTTAAGAAGATAAATAAATTAAAGAAGACAAAATCCCCAGGGCCGGATGAAATTTCCCCTCGAGTTTTGAAAGAGTGTAAGGAACAGATTAGCGGACCCCTCGTAAATTTATTTACAAAATCATTAGACACGGGAGTTGTGCCAGACTTGTGGAAACAGGCAAATGTAGTACCCATATTCAAAAAGGGAGACAGAGCATCAGCGTCAAATTATCGGCCGATTAGTTTGACATCAGTAGTGGGGATATTTCTTGAATCAATTATAGCAAATAGCATTCGATCGCATTTAGAGAAAAGCAAATTAATCTACGACTCTGAACATCGGTTTACAAAGGGAAAATCTTGTCTCATAAATCTGCTGACGTTTTTTTAGGAAAGTCTTCGAGGTAGTAGATAATGACGAAAATTATGATATTATTTACTTAGACTTTAGCAAAGCGTTTGACAGAGTACCGCATCAGAGGGTAAGGCTCATGGTATCGAGAGGAAAGTTTTAAATTGGATAAAATCATGGCTCACAGATAGAACACAGGTCAGCGTAGATGGTGTTAAATCTGAATGGGGCTGTGTAACCAGTGGGGTTCCCCAGGGGTCAGTACTGGGCCCACTCTTGTTCATAATCTACGTAAACGATCTAGATACTGGGATCAGCAGTGACATAAGTAAGTTTGCGGATGACACCAAAATAGGGCGGCAGATTAATTCAGGGCAGGATGAAAATGCACTACAGGAGGATCTAAATAAACTGCAGGAGTGGTCAGAAAAATGGCAAATGAAATTCAACACCAGCAAGTGCAGCGTAATTAATATTGGAAGAACAAATACTGTCAATGTATACAGCCTTAACAACATCAACCTAGAGAAGTCGACTTGTGAAAGAGACTTAGGGGTACTTGTAAGCCCGGACCTACGGCCTAGAAAACAGTGTGTTAATGTTCGAAATAAGGCAAACAGAGTATTAGGTTTTATATCTGGAAGTGTAAGTAATAAAAGTGCAGAGGTCTTATTGCAACTATGTCTTGCGCTAGTCAGGCCGCACCTCGATTATCGGTTCAGTTCTGGTGCCCTTATTATAGAATGGATATCAATTCACTGAGTCGGTGCAGCGAAGAATGACGAAAATGATTCCGAGACTTAGAAACCTTCCATATCAAGATAGGTTAAAGAAACTAAACTTGCATTCCCTTGAAAGACGAAGAGTGCGAGGAAATATGATAGAAGTATTTAAGTGGTTGAAAGGAATCAATAAAGGAGATATAGATAAAGTTCTTATAATATCCGAGCAGGATAGGACTCGTAGCAACGGATGTAAGTTGGATAAGTTTAGGTTTAGGAGGGAGATAGGAAGGAACTGGTTCACAAATAGGGTGGTGGACGAGTGGAACAAGCTTAGCAACTTTGTTGTAAGTGCTGGAACGCTGGAAAGTTTCAAAAGGAGGCTGGATAGATTCATGGATGATAGAGAGTGGTAGTAACTCTCGACAGGAGCTGCCATGCACAGGCCAACCAGCCGGTATTATTGCTTTTACACACCGTTCATTCCTACCACTAATCTATTATTATATTCGAATAAGATGTCTAATTATAAGATAATTTTCATCTATTACATTACCGACGGAAATGAATAATAACGGAGATAGCATACCCAAAATGTTCTCTATTTTCTTCCATTAATCTTCCTCCATTATCGCCTACCTCACCTCCAACACCGAGTATCTCCTTCATAAATCATCACGCGCATGCGTTCCAGTACACGTCACGCAGCCACTCAAAAGCGTTTTTGCTTTTGGAACCAATTAAAATGATTTTGGGTTTAATTCGCAGTATATTTGGCCCAATCAAATTCGAGTTATATTTTGGGTCTCTCATATTTTGAAATTCAAGTTCAGTTCCGACCATAGAAGTCTGCGAAGGGTGTCACTTAAAAGTACATGGAGCTGATTGCGAGTTTTTGGAAAAAAAACGTACACACTATAGCATTTTTTCGATCACATGGTGTTCTTCCAACCTCAGTAAAGTGTACTAAGAGCAAGAGAATGTAAATATCGCAAAGACCAACATATGTGGCGTTGGGTAAGAATCCCAGAATGCAACGACGAACAAGAACCAGGCCAATAAGGTAAGAAATAGGTGATTCCATCATATGGTGAGAGTCAGTTAGGTTAGGTTAGGTTTGGTTTTTGTTTTTCTAGTGTTTTTTTGGTGTAAGTTGCCATGATTTTTTTCGGAAAACGTCCAACGAAAAAAATTCGAAAAAACCCCCGGCTAATTTCCGCCAGAAATGAAGGCCATATTCAGTCTAAACACACACAAATACACTAGAAAATATATTTTTGACTTTCTAACAGAGAACAGTGTGACAATGCAAATTTACCAACCGGCCTATTGCAGATTCCTTATTTTCTTATGTTCTTAAGGCTATTTTACCGTGAGTGCGCTGTGATTGGCTAAGTGCTTTCTGTTTAATATGACAGGGGTTTGCCCCCCCAGCTAGGAAGTTAGGTAAGGTTCTGTGGGTTTATTGGATTGGTTGGGTCAGGTTGTATTAGGTTCTAGTAAATGTCGCCTCTTTTATAATGATAAGTTTCCATGTACAATAGAAATATGATTAGTCAGTTTGTCAAAGTCAAAAATAGTTCTCACATTGTTCGCCGGTAAAGGACGATGAGCCATTAGAGCACACTCACGGTAAAGGACGATGAGCCATTAGAGCACACTCACGGTAAAATAGCGTCAGTATGAACTTAGCCGGGCACGGTAAAAAAAATCCACTGACAAATGTTTATTATTACACTCATATAAGTGGGCATGAGACGGTAGTTCAGTGCCTGTTAACTGGACGAGACCCAGTGCATACCCTAACACTAATACCCATATAATAATTACAACCTGTACTACATTCCCACAAGATTATAAATATGTTTAATATATACCTGAGATGCACGTGTTGGGCCATAATACGAAGAGGAAAGGTCCATCCCTGACACACGGTTTAAGGCCTCCATCTTATACATACATGATGGAAGCTCCACTTTGTTTGGCACTTCAACCTGTTTCTTTAAGCGGTACATAGAGGTCATGGTCTCTCCCTCACCACACTTAAATTACCAAACACTTAATCAGCTGTTCCCCGACAGAGGTACAGTGTTGAATCTTTCCTGAGCTTCTGCGGGAGGTTGCTTGATACGTCATAAAAATTGTGATGTCATAAGTGTGCAAGTTTCATTACACCATACTACAGACATTGTTCAACACACAAGTATGTACACACACAAATCATGATCAAAAAGTTACACAAATCGTGACAAAAAGAAAAAGCATTGTGACATTCTCAAGGAGAGGGTTGATTTTAGTTTATTTTTAGTTTAAAAAAATTATTGACAAAGCTTGGCGTACAGTTTGCCTATTCTGAGTAATTCAGTCAGGTCTTGACTCTTGACACTGAGGATGGTATTGTTGCGTACTGTATGTGGCCCGTTGTCAATGTCTCTTTGTAAGGGCACACTCAGGAATGAGGTAGTGTGGGGTATGGGTTTGTTTGGTGCTCACACTCAGGATGGGTTGGAGAAAGGAAACTCACAATGTGCTCTCTGTATACATGTTGTATTGGATGTACAATGCAGCTTGGTGCTGGGAAGGCAGCATGGTTACAAGCGTGATGTAGAGAGAGCTGATTGGTGAGGATGCTCAGAGAAGGACAGCTTGTGGGTCGCCATGCTCGCCGGCGGGAGCGAGGGCCGCCAGGCAGGCGGAGGAGGTGTTGCTTGCTGGTTGGTGTAGGTAGAAAGAGAGAGATCACCGCGAGGTCAGGTCTTAAACAGCGGGGGTAGGCGTGGCTTAGTAATTGACCTCCGTGATGTATGGCGGCGCTGGTTGGCCCAGACCACGAGGCACACACTGTGGAATTCGCGGGGTCGGCTACTCAGCGACAAACAGCGTTTGTAGGGGAGAAATCCACTACAATACTCCCTCCTTCCCTGCAGGCGGTGTAGGAGACTTGTTGTCTGCAGGGTTGCATAGCACATGTGAGACAGAACGGGCGGTGCATGCCTCATGTGAGACAACGGCGATGGCGTGGATGAGCCGGTCGCTAGAGACAACTGTCCAGATACACAACATCTGTGGGAGCAGAGAGGGAGAAAAAGGGTGTGTGGAGGCGATGAATGTTGTGCTTCCCTCACGGCAGGTACAGAGTCGTCAGATGCGCCTGCTGGGGTGTGTGGGCCTGGGTCAGAAGCAGGGGCTGCGTCAGCAGAAGCGGATGAGGGCTAGTGACAGCAGCTGGGTCCACGACAGCAGCAGGGTGCAGGACATTAGCAGGGAGTACCTGAGGGAGAAAAGAGGGGTGTGTGGGTCCGCACTCAGGAGCAGGGGCCGCGGCAGGAGGTACTGCTGGGCCGGGGCGGCGTCTGAGGCAGGACGGGTGTGCTGGGGTCGTCAGAATGTGGTGCGTGGGGCAGGAAGAGGAGCCGGTGTCTGCTTGAAGACTGGGAGCGTGATCAGTGTCTCCTCCATCCTGTGTGAGTGCTAAACTCCGGGAGTCACCATTGTAGGGGTATCGAGATATAAATGTTGTCTAGCACTCAGGATGGAAGGAAACTCTAATGTGGTTTTCTTGTATAATATATAAGTTATATGATAGACAGTCTGGTGCTGGAGATGCCGTGTGGTGGGGAGCTGCTCAGTAGAAGACGTTCGGTGAGTAGCGTGTTGAAGGAGGTAGATGTGCAGGAGCTTCGTTAGAGAAGATGTTGCCTGTTGCTGGCCTCCTGGTTGAATAAATGTTAACAGCTAGGAGCTTGCTGGAGGAGGTGTTGCTTGTTCAGGAAAATGGGCAGAATGAGAGTTGGTTGGTGAGGAAGCTCAGAGAAGGACAGCTGGTGGGTCGCCATGCTCGCTGGCGGGAGCGAGGACCGCCAGGCAGGCGAGGAGAAGGGAAGGCAGCCAGGCAGCGGCGGAGGAGGAGGTGTTGCTTGTTCAAGAAGAATGGTCAGAATGAATCTCAATGGAGAGACAGAGCTTATATACCCAGCAGCAGCCGCTATGAGTCATGTTGGGAAAACCCGAGAAGTCGCCGGTGACTGGTTCCGTTGCTAAGATACGGTAACATCTGGGGACAGCTCTCGCTTGGTTGCTAGGCAACGGCACGTTGAATGTGATAGCAGGTGGTGGCTGCTACGCAGTTTGTAGGGGAGACGTCCACTACAATACTCCCCCTCCCCTCCAGGCGGTGTAGGAGACTTGTTGTCGGTAGAGTTGCTTAGCACATGTGAGGCAGACCGGGCGGTGCATGCCTCATGTGAGACAACGGCGATGGCGTGATGAGCCGATCGCTGAAATACAACTGTCTAGATACACACTATCTGTGGGAGAAGGGAGAAAAAGGGTGTGTGGAGGCGATGAAGTGTTGTGCTTCCCTCACGACAGGTACAGGTTCGTCAGATGCGCCTGCTGGGGTGTGTGTGGGCCTGGGTCAGGAGCAGGGGCTGCGTCAGCAGAAGCGGGTTAGGGCTCGTGACAGCAGCTGGGTCCACGACAGCAGCAGGGTGCAGGACATTAGCAGGGAGTACCTGAGGGAGAAAAGAGGGGTGTGTGGGTCTGGGTCAGCGTCTGAGGCAGGACGGGTGTGCTGGGGTCGTCAGGATGTGGTGCTTGGGGCAGGAAGAGGAGCCGGTGTCTGCTTGAAGACTGGGAGCGTGATCAGTGTCTCCTCCATCCTGTGTGAGTGCTAATCTCTGGGGTCACCATTGTAGGGGTATCGAGATATTCATGTCGTCTAGCACTCAGGATGGAAGGAAACTCTAATGTGGTTTTCTTATATAATATATAAGTTATATGATAGACAGTCTGGTGCTGAAGATGCCGTGTGGTGGGGAGCTGCTCAGTAGAAGACGTTCGGTGAGTAGTGTGTTGAAGGAGGTAGATGTGCAGGAGCTTCGTTAGAGAAGATATTGCCTGTTGCTGGCCTCCTGGTTGAATGAATGCTGGACAGCTAGGAGCTTGCTGGGAGGAGGTGTTGCGTGTTCAGGAAGATGGGCCAGAATGAGAGTTGGTTGGTGAGGAAGCTCAGAGAAGGACAGCTGGTGGGTCGCCATGCTCGCTGGCGGGAGCGAGGACCGCCAGGCAGGCGAGGAGATACGAGGGCTGCCAGGCAGCGGCGGAGGAGGAGGTGTTGCTTGTTGTAGAAGAATGGTCAGACTGAATCTCAATGGAGAGACAGAGCTTATATACCCAGCAGCAGCCGCTATGAGTCATGTTGGGAAAACCCGAGAAGTCGCCGGTGACTAGTTCCGTTGCTAAGATACGGTAACATCTAGTTGGTTGCTAGGGAGGTGGTACCAGGTGGTGGCAGCTACGCAGTTTGTAGGGGAGACGTCCACTACAATGTCATATATTTTGCACAAAAGAGAACATATCTACTCAGAGTAAACATTTTATCTAAAATTTGTATGTCTAATGCAAAATCTATGATGTTTATATTCAAAATGATCATCAAATTATAAGAATTCCAGCAATGTAAATTATATTCTGACCGGGTAATTTGTATGAATTTTATGAGCTAAAACAAATATCTTCAGTTAATAAAAAAAAAATATTCTTCACAGGGTAACAGATGGTCGGTCGGTCCCTCCCTCCCCCCCACCCCCCACCAACCGTCCCAAGGAGATGTGTGGGAAAACCAGAATATTTAACTTTTTAGTAATAAATAATACCTCAAACTAAAGTTAGGATAATATAATTGACATTGCTGGATTCCTTGTAAGACCAGGAATATTTTGAATACAAATGTCATATATTTTGCACAAAAAATAACATATTTACTCAGAATAAACATTATATCTAAAATTTGTATGTCTAATGCAAAATCTATGATGTTTATATTCAAAATGATCATCATATTGTAAGAATTCCAGCAATGTAAATTATATTCTGGCTGGGTAATTTGTATGAATTTTATGAGCTAAAACAGGCAGTCAGGCAGGGTGGCGGGTGGGGCAAATCTAAAAATAGCATCTCCAGCCGGACACTCACCGCGTATACGTGGAAAAAATCCGAGTTAAGTGAAAGTTCAGCTCTGGCGAGGCACCGCGTATACGGTAAAACGCGCTAAGTGAAACCGCGTTAGGCGGGGTAATATATATATATATATATATATATATATATATATATATATATATATATATATATATATATATATATATATATATATATATATATATATATATATATATATATATATATATATATATATATATATATATATATATATATATATATATATATATATATATATATATATATATATATATATATATATATATATATATATATATATACTGTACTTCATTTTTAGTCCATATAACACGCGGACTTTACCTGTCTGGCCTAAGTAAAACATATTACATTCCTTGCAAGGAACTTTATAAATGCAACCAATTGTGTTGATGGGGGGAATTCTTGATTAACATTTGTTTAGCAGTGCACGAGTTTTTAAATGCCACATTGATGGTCCAGGTTTCTAGTTGTAAAGGAATGTGTGAGAAATTTTTGTGAAATGGTAAAGATCTTGTAACTAGACTTAAACAACATAAATATAGTGTTAGGACAGGCCAGGAATCCAATGCTCTGTTTGTTCATTTGAGGGATAACAAGCATTGCATTGACTGGGATAATGCCTCCTCAATATTACCTTGTAATTCAATTGATAGTAGGAACATCATAGAATCTAGTCTCATTAAACATACCGAAGCATTCAACATGAATTTGAGTAATGGCATGTACAAACTGGACAATTTTGTAATTAAGAAGATTTGTAACCAGGTGAGAAGGTTGGGTCACCTTACCCTCTGACCTGACTACCGACCGTTGCCGTGCTATTTAAAGATTAGTAGGGTCATTACCTAATACCTGACCATTGTGGACCTGGTCTCACCCTCCTCTGTATATATACACCTTGTTTTGTACTTCTCTTTAGTCTGTACTCACCCCTGAAGATGTGAATTACACGAAAGCGCTTGGGAACTTCGTGTTTTCTTCTTTCCTTGTGGTTATCAGCATATATATATATATATATATATATATATATATATATATATATATATATATATATATATATATTATATATATGTATATATATTATTTCATGTAGATCCACAATGAAAATGTGGATAAGATAAATCTTGATAAAATCACACGGGAAAAGGGAAACGTGTGATTTTATCAATATATATATATATATACTGTATATATATATATATATAATAAAACTAGTATTAAGAATTAATACAACACTCATTTACGTTTGCTACAACACACACCATCTTTGGAGATAAAAGAGAACTACAGAACACTGTACAGTATTTGTCTGACCCAACATTGGCTAGGCTTATGAAGTTATGACCTGTGGGAATACTGCCCCGGATTAACGAGCCTTATAACGTGGGAATATCACCTGGGCTCTTGGAAAATACATGTACTATAATTACATAAATTATATGACATTGTTTTTTCACTGTGTTTATAATAATAATGTAATAATAGTAGGTTACAGGAGCTAGCTTAATGCCTATAATATGCCTGATTTTTTTATATACAGTATTACCTTAAAATAAAGCTTAACTTAAAATTGTTTCATCGACATTTTCTTCACAGAGTTATTGTAATATGAGTAATTGGTTATTTGCATGAACGAGCCAAAAGATGAAACTATACAGTACATGCTATGAGTGGTGTTTCCAGAGTTACAGTAATAGAGTACTGTAGTTATATCAAAACTTAGTAGGGGGGGCACACTTCAGAGAGCTTACCTAGGGCGTCGAATACCCCCGAGACAGCCCTGAGATTCTGTACGAGCTTCACCTAAGTAAATGTGGATTATTGGTTATTTTCCTTGTCTTGAATGTAACCATTCTACCAATTAATTCTCTAATTTTTCTCGGTCCTAGATACAGTGTTATGGAAGGGGTAAGCACTGACCACCTCTAACAGTATGAAACCCTTGTCTCTGCTCACACTGCCCAGTTGGCTGAAACTGAAGAGTTGTGCTTTATATCATATGAAGGTGAAGCAGTTCACAAGTAGCATGAGTGAAGAATCATAGCCTTCAGCCATAGATGATAACTTTCTTCACCATCCCCCTTTTTATAAAAGGACTCGAGCTGTAATGGGAAGCTCAACATGACTTCAAATTAGCCCCAATCAATAATGTTAGGAATGCTGAGCATTCAACCCACACACTTGACCTACTCGAGTTGCACAAGTAAAGCATAAGACAACAAAATGGTGACAGGACTTTGAAATCAAGATGAGATGGATGGATAATCTTAGATTAACCACAGTCTACATCACTCATCCTGATGCCCCTGAGCCTATCAAACTGTCTCTCAGAGTTTCTGACGGGGCATCCTCAACTCAGGCTAATTTAATAGCCCTCCTTGCTGCCCTTCTCACTGAGGAAGAAGCAGATGGTTTCTGCCCCTTGCTTGGCTGCTGCGATTCCAGGTCTGCTCTCGACGGGATCGCATTTGGATCAGGGGAAAATAAAGACCTCATCCTCCGAATACGAGGGTTAACATCCACACTTCAGGATGCAGGCCGTCCTGTGACATTCCTATGGATACCCAGTCATGTCGGTATCTTGGGGAATGAGGCAGCAGATGGCCTTGCCAAGACTGGCTGCAACAAGGCCACACCTGACTTCGTTGTTCCTCGAACACTTTTACAGATTAGGACCCAAATTCGCCGCAAACAGAGAGAAGCTCGGGAAGCAGCCATCCTCCTGGACTCCCCGCCCACCTGGTACGATGTCCTCCGTAAACTTCCTGACCTCTCGTACGTCTACGGGAACCGGGTCGCGGAAAGGGGACGTGATTGCTGGCCGTATCATCATTGGGTATGACTTTGCTTGGGAGATTGGTATCCCCGCATCCCCTGAGCAACGCTCTTGTGCGTTATGCAGAAGACCCGACAGCAGCACCCTTATCCACTACCTCCTAAGATGTCCCCACACACAATGCTTCCGTGATGCCTGCTGGACCACCACTCCACGACCCCCTGACGGAGACACGATGATCCTCCCCATACTGGCCAGATATTTTGTAAATAATATTGAGTATGTGTTAAAGGAATATCATTCCTTCCTTAGGCTTTAGTAAGCCCCTTTATAATATTTATACTGTATATACTTGTCACACTTGCCAGATGCTTCTGGTGTCATTGTACAGGGGTACCTAGTGACAGCACTAGGATCCCGCTTCCTCTAACAAGGAATAAACAATTGAAATTGAAAAATTTGATTAACCACATCTGCCATTCAGAAATTAATACATTCTCCCGAACTCTCTAAAATGACTTGCACATTAAGAGGACTCATCTAACAAAGAGCATCATGCTAGAAAATGACAAAAGAAAATAATGCAGACAACTGACCTGTTGGTGGGAAGAAACAAAACTAGTGTTTAGAATACTTGACTTTATAAAACAAACGCACTCTTATTACAAATTATCTTTACAAATATGCATATTCATGTTAAGTGTCTTCACAAAGATAAATTTTGTACTTAGCTGAGAGGCTGTGAAGACCATGAACAGCCATATACAACTTGGCAACGTAGTCTAAACATGTACATGTGTTTAGCGTGTCATCTTCAATGTGCACAAACTTATGCCCTTTGAAACCAGTAAGCCACACATCAATATGTGCTGAATAAGTGTTATGAATAAAAGCACTATGGAAATCTGTAAAAATACATACAATTATCACCTTGCAGTACTCAAAAATAGTAGGTTAATAATTACCAGGTGATAACATTGGCATTTACAGATAAAAAGTACATGGTTGACTTGACCCTGAAGTATTAATATTTGAGGGTGGGCACCTCATTAAAACACAACAAATCATATAGTAGGTAACATCAGCTCTGGCAACGTAAACGTCACCCGCTAATGACTAAAGTGTTGGGAGCCCATGAAGACTAATATATACCTGTATCTACAGTCACACCCCCCATACAAGGCCAGCAAGGTTTGTTTCACACATCAATCTTTGACAGGTAATCTCTCTCTTTTGTACATATAAGTGCCTATGTGCTCTCTCTCAAGCATTAGGGTCCAACATACTGTCTTTTACTTCAGGCTGTCACTCCAACAACTCAAGTATATGTTAATTCTATACGGTCTTCTTCATCAAGGACATTACTGTTATTGATTTGTGCGGCGACCAACTCTCCGAAGTCATTATCTACAAAAGGAATGTGACGAGGGTCATATCTGAGATTAATCGACTGACTGAAGGATTTGACGTGATACTCGTGGGGATAACGGGTATATGACAATGGATGACTAAATACATGAGTGTCTACAATACTATATCACTCCATTATGTGTGGAGTTTTATTGATATGATATCAGTAAAAATAATATGCCTCTTGATAATGCAAAGAGTACCTGGTATTTATATTCTAAAGAAATATAATGTACACTCAAGTGTATACAAATTCTATATGTACAATGTAATGTTGAAGAAGTCTATTGCATAATATAAATGTGCATACACCAGGATAATTTCCTGCAAGTGTGCACTTAACAACTCTTAATAGAATTCTACACTTTTCATAGCAAAGATTTACTCTCATAATTCAATAAAATATTATTACCAGTAATAATGAACATATCTCTTTATTTAAAAGGTACAAAAATTACTTGTTGACAGAAATGGGGTTGGGATTACTTGGCCAAGGACATTTTAAACTGTGTTTACGGTAATCACACCGGACCCAACACTATGCTGCCAATCACAGTTGTTTCCTTGTCATGTAGGTTTGACTCATACCAATTACTGCATTAAAATGCTTAAAACTTTTTCTTAACCCTTAACATTTTCTTAATAATAGTGGACTGATAATAGAGACTGCACAACACAGTACTGTAATGTGAACAGTACCACAACACCTTTTTCTAAATTAAAAATATCCTGCAGCTAGCATTTAACTTTTCCACCATATCTTTTCTGAGGGTCAAGGATTTTCTCAACTCTTTCTCTCCCATAAAAAGACTTCACCCAGTATATAATGTGTTATACCACAAATTGGTATATGGTAAAGATGGGACTAACTAAGGAGAACTGAGTTTCCAGACCTAGTCTAACAGGGCCCCTTTGTATTTCTACTAAAAACTATAATATTAACAACAGTCAATAAATCAATTGTCCACACTGTAACATCTCATTTCAACAAAATATAATAAATAATGGGAAGAACTATCTAAAATTTTCTTTATGGTCATTTCTGCAACGGGATATACCGTATCAGCATTATTTATGTAAAGCTTCAAATCCTCTGTACCAAGAACAAATACAGCATGATAATTTTACAAGACAATTTAAGTATTTGTCAGCTTGGACTTGTACCATACAGTACTAACACCACATGGAGATGACTTCCCCTGATATCTTGCTCAGGACAATCACTAAAGCTGTTAATCTGTTTCTTCTTCTGTTCTCAACACATGAGAGGTCCTGTACTCACAACCGATCATCATGACATGTTTATAACTTTGCTCATTATAACATTATATCTATAATTCTGTTCACATAATTAAAAAAGTTAGAAGTTTACATTAAGCTTCAAGGCTTTTTGTGAAGAATTACATTAGGAAAACATTATGATTTTTGACCTAACCGAAGCTTTAGGCTGCGCAGTTTCTGGCAAAAGAAAGATTCTAATGTTGCTGCACAAGAGCAAAAAGAGGAGTTTGGTGGATTATAGAGGCGGCAGTTATCAAACACCAGCATCACGTCACCAATGAACTGAGCTAGTCGTTGATATGCTTTTTCTTCCACTCTGCTTTCCACAGTTTTTAGGTCCATCGGTTCTTTAACCACTTTGTAATAATCGGGAACTTCTGAAGGATCCACCGGCTCCAGGAATGGCCACGCATTCTTGTGTTGCTGTAAATAAAAAAAATAAAAAAAATTATTAGCATGTAAGGGGTGCCATAGCTGAGCTGATAACTCTGTAAGCGATCCAAGTTTGATATTGTGCTCAGACTGGATTTGTAATGAATCACTTGCTATGGTGAAAACCGAGCCAATTACTCACCATATTAAGGCTATTACACTAATCAATACAGTTTTCATCCAGTAGCTGTTATGTAACAAAACTGTAGTTCCTGTACAAGATGTACAGAACGTTAGCTTGAACTTAACAATAGGTGTGTGTGTGTGCACAGTTTATGTACAAACAATTCATACAGTTTCCTTATTTGTACAATAATATCCCATTACACAAAAAGAGAGCCAGACTGAGCCCTTTTCACAATAGCCAGAGGGACAGAAAAGATCAGCCATAATATCGGTTTGGTCGCGGTAAAGCTCGGAACAGGAGGAAACTCACAGGTGAGGTGGCATGACGTGGAGGAGGGTGGAAGATGTTGGCAGTGCAGGAGAAGGGAGGTAGTGTGTGGGCAATGTTTCTATCTAGTATATTAGGAGTCAGAACATCTTCATATAACCATCAGTCCACACAAAGGATGCAGGCATTGCTGTTCTTCCTCCTCCCTGTCACTTGATAGACTAAGGAAACTTCCATCACTATCTATTATCCTCATATAGCGTGTTGACAGAGGTGACAGCTCTGGATAAATTTCCATGGCCGTGGGAACAAATTTGGAAGGGGCAAGAGGCTTTTTTTCCCCCTTGAGTGGGGCGTGTGTGGTCACCAGAGAAGGAACAGCTAACTGCATAGGTGTCTTCTTCTTCCCACGCACACCCATGTCCTGTTTGCCTCTAACACTTTGCACTTGTGTTTCACTTTCTTCATTACTGCTACTAGATATCAGCTCAAGTTCATGTTTTTCAGGCATTTATTTTTGTACAAACTTTCCTCTATTAGTAACACTGGAGGTGACGGGTTACTCCTCCCCACTCGTATCCAGCCTCCACACACAGATATCAACCCATATGACATCACGTAATCCACAGATACATAAAACTAAATGCCGCTGTTGGTGAAATGGTACTGAGCGAAACCTGTGGATACAAGGAATCCACGGATGGGAATCCCGCTGTTGCCAAAGGTCTACTGCACAGTATCTATATACTACCGAGCTTCTGTAGTCACTCCATTCCTCATGTACAGTATATGAACAAGTTATTTTGTACAGTGTACACACGGTAAAAAAAGTAGAGTACAGGTATCTATACACAGTGTGTGGAACAATATGACCCGACGGACGAAGGATTTTGACAACACTATCAAGACAACACGTGTCATATTGATCATTTCAAAATTCCTCAGACACATTTGGACATAAACTTTGTTTTACTGAGTGTACATGTGTTGAGACAGTGAATCTTCCTCTACACTTACAGGCACACACAAGTAAGAAACACTACACTACTGTACTTACTATAAGGCTTTTTGTGACTTTTTTCAATTCTGAATAATCCTTGGCAGAGAGATTCTTCTGGCAGGGGTAATTCCATACATTATTTGAATCACATTTTGGACAGATGTAATCATCTATATCATCTGCTTCTGTCTGCATTATGCCCACACACTTGCCATGGTACCAGTCTTCACACTGCTCACAGCAGATATAGAACTGAGTTTCATCATAAGGCTGAAAAACAAAAGAATGGAATACATGTACACAACAACCCACTACAGTACTGGTGCTAAATTAGGGTTACAAATGACACCAAAGACAACAGCAGGTTTTATTTAACTGGTGTCTGTTATAAAATGAATATGCTGTCATGAACAGAAGACGATTATACAGTTAAACCTCAATAAATTGAACTTCAATATATCAGAATTCACTTTTTTGTTACTCTGAGATGCTCTGGTCACCAGAAAAATTTTATATTTATATTTTTTTAAGAAATGGGGAGATGAAATAAAAAAAATCTTATGAAATGAACAACACTTACTGAATACTGTACAGTGGTATAATAAGATTTGCTATAGGCCAACTGAGAACTAAAACGTTTGAGTATGTAAGCTGGCTGAAGCTGATCAGGTGTTGCCACATTCATCAGGTTTATTTATTTATTGATTCAGTATTATATTCTCATATGATTGTCCTCTTATGGTTCATCAAGATCAATATAACATCTTCAGCAATAGAGAAAAAATACAATAATATATGTTATTTGTAATATGAGTTAAAATAAAAGGATAAGGTGTATCAGAAGGTTATTTACTCAGAATATATTCTTGTGAGAACTTTCAGCAGACGAGCTTACAAAAGGGGTCACTATAATGCACTGTATAGTATTTGATATGAAGATACCTTCTTAAAAACATTATTTACTACCTTCCAGTATTATAGGATGACTTAGTTTGGCTACGTGTACTTAGACAACTGATTAAAGAATAAACCAAGGTATATGCAGATGCCTTATACTTTCCACTACAATATTACTTATTAGGTGATGATAAATACACGAATGTACTGTACTATTTTACTAAGAGTTGAAGACAGACATTGTGGTAATCCAATCAGCTGTTTGCTCTTTGTAAACAATGACTCATGGTGTTCAGTGTGGGATTCGTTTTTAAGGAAAGTTGATTCTTTTAGGATAATATTTTATCAACCTGGCACCAAATAATCCTAAATTATATGAGAATTGTGGTGAAAATGCATAAAGCAGTGTTAAAGGAATCTTGTGGCAGAGAGGGGGAGGGAGCCACCCCTCTGCTCCCAGATAAACACTTGTCTTCCACGTACAATATACAGTAATCCCACATTTATTTGTTTTTATTTTTATCTTTATAGTACTGTACAGTATACATTTTCTCTTTATTTACAAGACAAATTCTGTGGTTGCTCGCATGTAACACCTTACAGTAAATAACAATCACCTCGGTGACAACCAGACTTGTATGTCTAATTTTCAACCCAGAGAGTGCTGTTTCATGTTTTTTATTGTTGATGTAACAGTGCTTTAATAACCTTGTTATACACTTAAAGACCTTAGTTGTTGAAGTAGTGTAGTAATAACCTATGTGATTTTCTTAAACAGTTCAGATGAGCAGTGTTATCTGCACCCCCCCCCCATATTTTGTTTTTCGTACTTTTGCTTTCTTTGGGCAGGGAGGGGGGGGGAGCTGCTGCCCCAATTAGTTTGATTTATCGGGGTTCTGCTGTAACAGCAACAATTCGTAGTTGTGATTATATAATAAACTCAAAGCCATTATATACACAAAGCTATATGGGGCACAACAATTATTTGATTATCCTATAGACTTCAGCAGAAACATTGATCACCATAAAACAATTCCCACTGTTTTATAACAAACAGATAAAGTTTAAATGTAAAGTAAATTATTTGAGGCATTAATTATGATATAACCAGAAATGAACTGTGTTAAAGGACACACTTGAATAGTGAGAACAAAAGCCTTTCTACACTAATGTCCTAATAATCACATTCAATAGTTAAAATCAAGTTCTTTAACATGAACCCAGAGACATTGTTAATCTTGGTGATGAGTGAATCTCCAAAAATCTTACAACACGTACCTGTCGACAAAAGCAGAATAAATCTTTGTTTAGCTTAGCGTTTGCACAGTCATCACACACAAACTCCGTCAAACTGCGACTCATGGCCTCAGTTATGCCCACACAGTCTCCATGGAACCAATTTCCACATAGATCACATCCAACATAAAATCTGTTGAAAGAAATTTAAAGGTCATAACATTATGGAACAATACAAATCTCTCAAAGACAATTTTACTCTAGAAAACAAAGAAACTTCAGTAAAATAGCTGGCAAACTGTGTGTGTAGCACCTGATATTGTGCACTATAGTCAACATTACAGAAAACCCTCGATAACTCGGCATGGATATGGCCTCAGAATGTATAACTCTGGAAATGCCGAGATATATAAAACTATTTGAGAAAATTTTAGCATATCTAGCCACCTGCATCACCTACCATACCTCTGTGTCAGCTATGCCTGTGTCAGCTACCATACTTCTGTCACCTACCATGCCTATGTGTCAGCTACCATATATCTGTGTCAGCTATGCCTGTGTGTCAGCTACCATACTTCTGTCACCTACCATACCTCTGTGTCAGCTACCATATATCTGTGTCAGCTATGCCTGTGTGTCAGCTACCATACTTCTGTCACCTACCATACCTCTGTGTCAGCTACCATATATCTGTGTCAGCTATGCCTGTGTGTCAGCTACCATACTTCTGTCACCTACCATGCCTATGTGTCAGCTATGCCACTGTGTCAGCTACCGTACTTCTGTGTCAGCTACCGTACTTCTGTGTCACCTACCATGCCTAGTGTCAGCTACCATACCTGTGTCAGCTACCATATTTCTGTGTCACCTACCATGCCTAGTGTCAGCTACCATACCTCTGTGTCAGCTACTATGCTTCATTGTTCACCCACAGTGTTGGTAAATGTTAAATTTTTTTACATCAGTAATTACATGTACCTGTACACATATATGGGTCGATAATCCTTTATTGTTGTATTTTTGTAGGAGGGGGGGAGAGAGAGTGTCTCGATTAGTTGTAATTTGGGATAATTCGGCAATGCCAGAGCCCCATACATGCCAAGTTATCAAAGGTTTACTACAGCTGTAAAGTAAAACACATAAATTACTATTGGCTCATAAAAGAAGAAGTAGAGACAAGGAAAACCTGGATCCAAAACTCAAATGTTTCTAAAGAACGTACACCTTTTAATATCACTTTGATATTTACTTTAAAACATATATCACCTCCAGAAGCTATTTTAGCAGTAGCACATTACAATATAACAGTTAACTACTGCTTTAACACAATGTACTTTATGTATGAACATAGTGATATTATAAGAAATAAAAGGGAGATCTTGAGGTACAGTATTATGCAATGATCAACAGAACTGCTTTGTAATTCCAGTCTTCCTTCACATTACTGGATACTTCTTACACCGATTATTGCTCTCCCTGTGAACACACGAACACCAGCAACAAAAAGAACACAACTTACTTAGTATCATCAAACAGTGTTCGACAAATGCACACAATTTTCTTGTTCTTGTTCTTTGTAGATTTTTTCGTTGTCGACGTTTTTGACGACGTTTTGGCCGAGGTGGGAGACTTTGTGGAAACTGGACTTTTATTGGAGACCGTCGTGGTTTCGGGCAGAGTGGAAGATTGAACCACGTGCGGAGATTCGGACTGCAGTTGGATACCCCCGGTTGATGACATCTGGGACACTGATAACTCTGAGGCTGAAGAGGAAAATGTGTGTTAATTGGTTAGGGAAAATTATTAACCACATTTCAACATTCTGCTTACATATACAATATATCTGTGTGTGTGTGTTGATGGAGGAAGCTATGGGGATGGCCCAACACTGTACCTAATCCTCGATTCTGATTCCCTCACAACATAATTATAATGAGGTACCTTACTTGTACGAGAGTAGATACAGTAGAACGTCGATATAACATGAAATACGTTCCAAGAGAGGTCGTCGCTTTAAACCGAAAACCCACTAAATCAAAGTGTTGTTTTAATGGAATAATTTAGTTTGGTACTTGAGAGAAACACAAAATACTAAAGAGACCGAGAGTCAACCCAGATGCACCTGAGCCTGTCTCCTAGAATAAACAAAACATTGATTTTTATAGTACTGTATTATGTTAAAACAAACACCCATAAAGAAACACAGCTAAAATTATGGGACGTGAAATGGTCTGTTTACTGGCTGGGAAGATGGGTGGGGGGAGGAGGTGAGGTGATATGTTTGACAGTTGATGCCAAGGTCTAGTGCTTATTTATTTATCTGTCCTTAAGAATGACTAAGTTTTTCTCTTATAAAATGTCACTGAACTGACATGTTCTAATTAATTTTATCTCTTGTGCAAAATATATGACGTTTATATTCAAATTATTCGCTGTCTTGCAAGGATTCTAGCAATGCAAATTATATTCTCCTAACTTTATTCTGTGATACTATATAAGATAAAAACTTAAAGCCTACTGTATAACCACCAAACCCTGGCTGGGAAGATGGGAGGGAGGGAGGGGAGGTGACAGTGACATGTTTGACAGTTGGTGCCAAAGGTCTAGTGAAGTATTTATTTGTTTATTTATGTCCTTTAGATTGAGTTTATGTTTTTTGTTTATAAAATGTCACAGAAGTGACAGGGGAGAATATAATTTACATTGCTGGAATTCTTATAAGATAGTGATTAATTTGAATATAAACATGCTATAGTTTGCACTAGACAAAAACTTTAGTAATCATTTAGTACATTATTTTGAGTACATGTACAGTACAGTTTTGCCCTAAGGACAGTGTAGCGTGCCCAGAGAAACATTAGGCGGAAAAAATTTAAAATATGATGCCCCAGATTGACTCGCGCAAAATAGGAAACATTAGCTTTAAATTAAACATTGTCTTTAATTGTGGGTGTCGCTTTAAATAAATAATCTTAAATTAAATCACTTTAAATCGACGTTCCACTGTACTACAGTATATTTGTATGGTGGCTCAAGATTTAAATATGCGAACCAATTGTATTCTAATAACATTAATGCATAATGACAACTGACAGATGTTAAGAACTAATATACTAACCAGTCTTCTTCTTGCGAGGTGAGGTAAGAGGTGAAGGTAACGATGCCTCAGGTTTACTCTTCTCCAGCAGCTGTAGTTGGTGCCTTGCCACAGTTATCTCCTTCTGTTGACAATTATTCTACATTATATAATAAAACAATGATCCACTTGGGATTTGGGGTAAATTTGCAGCACCTTAATTCGTGGTAGTGCAGGAATCGGGTCGATAAATTAATTCATAAAGGACTGTGACAAACACTGTTATTCTTGTTAACAGTACAGCACAGTCATACACATGGTAATGAAGAGGTTAACATTCTTTAATGCTTCAACACAACTGTTTAATAGTTCTGTACTGTACTGTATGATATAACCCCAAGTTTACATAATGTCCTTTTTACTGTTCATTATGAATGCCAAGTTTACAAAACATCACCAGCTTTCATAATACTCTTCAAGTACTGTATACAAACACACCGCGAGTTGACGGAGTGAAATAGCTTCTGTATGACACCGATGACTTCATTATCACAACAGACAGTAGTAATAATAATGGACCACATCATTAATGAATTCCCGCCCTCTTTTCTAACCCTTTCTTCTTATTCTACAACTGAACACAAGCTTCACTAAACAAATACCCATATTTACTCTGCCTTATAATCATTGGTTCATTCTTACTCCTGTACTATAATAGATGTGCGGCACTCTTCTTCCACAACAAATACTTTTAATGTAAACTTACGTGTATTTCTACCTGAAGTTCTTTTTCTAGCTGAGCTCTCTTCTTGAGGATGTCTTTCTTTAACAGGTCTTTGTGGCGCGTCATGAGGGACTCCAGCTTATGCTGAAGGGCTTGCTTTTTTCTTGCATCTAGAGCCTCAGTCTTGGCTGATGTTTTCTTTGGTTTGGTGGAGTCTAGCGGACGTTGCTCTGAGCGCTGCTTCTTGGGGCGAGGCTTGGGTGCTGCCACTGTGACTAGTGCCGGTCCTTTGTCTTCAACTGGGTCCCAGTCTATGTCATCCTGAGAGAAAAATGATGCAAAACTTCTAATAGAAAATCAACCAAGATTTTCATAAGAATATTAATGCAAGATTTTCTTATAGTAAAAGCAGCAGCACCAAGAAAACAAGAGAAACAACTACAGTAGTTTGCCTACAAAACAGTACAGCATGTCTTAAACCAAACCCCAACATCCCAAACTTTGATAAATATATTACTGCACATTTTTGTGATGGAAAGTAGCATTTTGTAAGAGGGTCACTATGGCATTAAGGTGGGACCCCGGTATAATGGCCATAATCTTTAGAAGCATCATCTCTCCAACTCATTAAAGGGGGTCCACATACAGTTAAGATTATTATACAGAAAAATCCAAAGAGAAACTGTACCATATTAAGAATGTCACTGTTAGTTGATAACCACGAAAATATTCTTGATAACTAGGAGCACGGCCATGAAGGAAGATACTGACCTGTTCACGAATCCTCTTTATAGGAGAAGTTCTGGATGGTACAGTGTTGACAGTGGCAGAGGCTGTGCTTGTTACTGTACTCAGAGGAACTTGGTCTTCTTCCTTCTTGGTCTGTTCAGTAGTATACTTCTGCAGCTGCATCAACTTTTCTTCTATGTCAGGTGCCAAATCTTCACGGCTCAAAGCTGATTTTATGGCTGTGGCAAAAAATATAAAAACTACTTTAAATATATGTAAATATTAGTTTTATAGAAAGTGAGAGAGAATGGGAAGTAACTCACGTAAAGTGTGTGTACACATACTGTATATAATAGTACAGCATTACATAAACTTGTAGACACCTGTAAGTCCAGGACATTGTAAGACTCACTTACAATTTTTTTCAATAATTATGTAAAAAAAAAAAAAAAGAGTAGACTAGTGACAGTCCCCAGCACAGTGTACACAAACAAACATTATATAGTTGTCTTCAACAAATGTCCAATACAAATACTGTATGATAAAGTGTATATTAACACTTCTTACCACACAGTATAGTATAGTACAGTATAGTACAATATAGTACAGTACAGTATAGTATAGGACAATACAGTATAGTATAGTATAGTACAATACAATACAGTACAGTATAGTACAATACAGTACAGTATAGTACAATACAGTACAGTACAGTATAGTATAGGACAATACAGTACAGTATAGGGCAATACAGTATAGTATAGTATAGGACAATACAGTACAGTATAGTATAGTACAATACAGTACATTACAGTATAGTATAGGACAATACAGTATAGTATAGTATAGGACAATACAGTACAGTATAGTATAGGACAATACAGTACAGTACAGGAATGGTGGTGTCATATACATACAGTACAGTATAGAATGGTATATTCATATACATACAGTACAGTATAGGAATGGTGGTGTCATATACATACAGTACAGTATAGGAATGTATAGTCATATACAGTACAGTACAGGAATGGTATTGTCATATACATACAGTACAATTTTGGGAATGGTGGTGTCATATATACAATACAGTACAGTATAGGAATGGGTGGTGTCATATACATACAGTACAGTATAGGAATGGTGGTGTCATATACATACAGTACAGTACAGGAATGGTGGTGTCATATACATACAGTACAGTATAGGAATATGGTGTATACATATAGTACAGTATAGGAATGGTGAGGTGTCAATACATACAGTACAATTATATAGGAATGGTGGTGTCATATACATACAGTACAGTATAGGAATGGTGGTGTCATATAATACAGTACAGTACAGTATAGGTGTCATATACAACAGTACAGTATGAATAATTGGTGTCATATACATACAGTACAGTACAGTATAGGAATAATTGGTATAGTCATATACATACAGTACAGTATAGGAATGGTGGTACAGTCCTTATACATACATACAGTACAGTATAGGAATGGTGGTGTCATATACATACAGTACAGTGTAGGAATGGTGGTGTCATATACAGTATAGCATAGAATGGGTGATTGTCATATACAGTACAGTATAGGAATGGTGGTGTCATATATATACATACAGTACACAGTATAGGAATGGTGGTGTCATATACATACAGTACAGTATAGGAATGGTGGTGTCATATACATACAGTACAGTATAGGAATGGTGGTGTCATATACAGTACAGTATAGGAATGGTGGTGTCATATGCATACAGTACAGTACACACAGCACAGCATAGCACACAGCACAGCACAGCACAGCATATGATCAACATTACATAGCATAAGAGCAGCCAACACATACAGCATAGCATAGATCAATCACAGCACAGTATAGTACACAGTACAGTACAGTATAGTATAGGACACACAGTACAGTATAGTACACACAGTACACACAGTACAGCATAGTATAGTGACTAACACACAGGCACAGTATATAGACACTATACAGCATAGTAATACAGCACAGCACAGCATAGCATAGACACAGCACAGCATAGTATAGCACACACAGCACATACAGCATAGTATAGGGATACAGCACAGCATAGCAGGACAACACAGCACAGTATAGGGCAACACAGCACAGCATAGCATAGACACAGCACAGCATAGCATAGGACACACAGCACAGCATAGCACACACAGCACAGCACAGCATAGCAGGACAACACAGCACAGCACAGCACAACACAGCACAGCACAGCATAGCAGACACAGCATAGCATAGCATAGCACAACACAGCACAGCAACAGCATAGCAGGACAACACAGCACAGTATAGTACACACACAGTACAGTACAGTATAGTAGGGACACAGTATAGTATAGTATAGACAATAGCATACAGCACACATATATAGTATAGATTAACACAGTATAGCATAGTATAGAGCCAATACAGCATAGTATACAGCACAGCATATACACAATACAGCACAGTATAGCACACAGCACAGCATAGCACACACACAGCACAGTATAGTATAGCACACACAGTACAGACGCAGACACATAATACAGGCAAGAAAGTATAGCAATAAATACAGCACAGTATAGTACAACACAGCACAGCATAGCATAGGACTAACACAGTACAGAGGGCACACAGCATAGATATATACACAGCATAGCACAATACAGCACAGTACAGCATAGCAGGACACCACAGCACAGTATAGTATATATTAACACAGCACATAGTAGCACACGTCAACACAGCACCAGTATAGGCATTAACACAGTAAGCAGTATCGCATATTAACACATAGTACATAGTACACACATAAAGATAAAGTACAATACAGCACAGTATAGCAGGATTAACACAGCTAGTATAGTAAATACAGTATATATAGCATAATACAGTACAGCATAGTACAATACAGCACAGCACAGTATAGTATAGGACACACAGCACAGCATAGTATAGCACACACAGCACATACAGTATATAGACACACAGCATAAAGAGTAGGGCAACACAGCATAGTGAGAGACAATACAGCATAGCATAGGCACACAAGCACAGCATATGAGCAGAACACACAGCACAGTATAGCACAACACAGCATTGCGCACAGCATAGCATAGGACAACATAACACAGCACAGCATAGTATAGGTGATTAACACAGTGCCAGCATAGGCAACACAGCATTGAAAGAGAAGAGAGGAATAACAATAGCATTATATAGGGCAATACAGTGCCAGTATATATAGGACACACAGTACAGTATATAGTACACACACAGTACAGTATAGTACACACAGTACAGTATATAGACAGTACAGTATAAGTACACACAGGCACAGTACAGCATAGTATAGACAACAGCACAGTATAGCACACAGTACAGTATAGTATAGACACACAATACAGTACAGTATAGTATAGGGACACACAGTACAGTATAGGCACACAGTACAGTATATAGCATAGCATAACACAGCATAAAGAGTAGTACAATACAGTACAGTGCTAGTATAGTGATTACACACAGTACAGTATAGTATATATAATACAGAGTAACACAGTACAGCACACACAGTACAGTATAGCATATCACAGTACAGCACAAGAGAAGTACACAGCACAGGCATAGTATAGGATCACCAGTACAGTATAGCACAATACAGTACAGTACAGCAAGTATAGATTAATGGCTGGTACAGTGAGCAGCACAATACAGCACAGTACAGTATAGTATAGGACAACATAACACAGTACAGTATAGTATATAGGACAACATAGCATAGTATAGGGCAATACAGTACAGTATAGTATAGACAATATAGTACAGTATACAGTATAGCACACACAGTACAGTATAGTATAGACAATACAGCAGTATAGTGCCAATACAGCACAGCACAGTATAGTATAGGACAACATAAATTGGCTTATATATAGGACACACAGCACAGCATAGCATAGGACACACAGCACAGCATATAGCACAACACAGCACAGCACAGTATATAGTACAGGACACACAGTATAGTGTATAGCAGGACAACACAGCACAGCATAGTACACACAGCACAGCACAGCATAGCATAGGACAACACAGCAACAGCATAGGGCAACACAGCACAGGTGTATAAAGATAGACAACACAATTACAGCACAGTATATAGATAGGACACACACAGTATAGTATATAGACAATATAGCACAGTATAGTACTAACACAGTACAGCACAGCATAGTATAGACAACACAGTATAGCATAGCACACAGTATAGACACAGTACAGCATAGCACACACAGTACAGCACAGTATAGCAGGACAATACAGGCAGTATAGTAGCACACAGCACAGTACAGCATAGTATAGGACAATACAGCACAGCATAGCACACAGTACAGTACAGTATAGGACACACAGGCATAGTATAGTATAGACAATACAGCACAATACAGTACACACAGTATAGCATAGGACAATACAGTATATATAGTATAGATTAACACAGTACAGCACTGCATGGGTCACACATAGCACACAGCATATAGCACACAGCACAGCATAATACAATTAACACAGCACAGCACAGCATAGTAGAGGACAATATATAGTATAGTATATAGGACAATACAGTACACACAGTACATTACAGTATAGTAGGACAATACAGTATAGTATAGAGTAATAACACAGCAATAGTATCGTACACACATAGCACAGTATAGTACACAGTACAGCATATAACACACATAGCATAGTATAGTATAAAGTAATAATGGCACAGTATCGTACACACAGTACAGTATAGTACACACAGTACAGTATAGTATAGTACAATACAGTACAGTATCGTACAATACAATACAGTACAGTATAGTACAATACAGTACAGTATAGTACAATACAATACAGTATACAATACAATACAGTAGTCAACAGTGTTAGCACACAATACAATACAGTACAGCATAGCACACATATACAGTATAGTACAATAAATACAATACAGCATAGCACACACAATATGTACAGCACAGCAAACACAATACAGTCCAGATATAGCACAAACACAATATGGTACAGTATAGTTGCAATACAATACAGTACAGTATAGTACAATACAACAGATAGCATAACAATACAATACAGTGTAGCACAATACAATATATGGTACAGTATAATTACAATACAATACAGCACAGTATAGGGCACAAATACAATATTAAGTAGCAATACAATACAGTTCAGTACAGTATACAATTTTCATTACAGTATAGTACAATACAATACAGTAGTATAATTACAGCACAGTGTAGGTAGCACATATCACAGCACAGCATAGTATAACACACACAGCATAGTATAGTATATAGTACAGTACAGTATATAATACAACACAATACAGTACAGTCTAGTACAATACAATACGATACGTGTATTTTGCAACAATTATTACAGATACAATACAGTATAATTACTGATACAGTACCAGTCCTAGTATGATACAATACAGTACAGTCTAGTACAATATGATACAGTACAATACAATACAGTACGGTATAGTATAATACAATACAATGCAAGTATAGTATAATACAATACAATACAGTATAGTACAGTACAGTATAATTGCAACACTTCTGATGCAGTATATTACAATGTCTGATACAGTATAATTACAAGAACAAGTATAATTACAGTACAATACAGTATAGTATAGTATAATAATAGCTTAGTACAGTACAATACACTACAGTATAGTACAATACAATACAGTACAAAATAGTGCAGTATAGTACAGAACAGTGGTACAGTGGGGTATGCTATAACGAATCTAATTGGTTCTAGAACCTTGTTCGTTATAGCATTCGTTCGTTATAGGATTAATCCGTTCCAGGCCCCCCAAATACAACCACTTAACACTGAAAAATATAATATAAAATTGTAAAAATTGTAAAAAAGTGCATAAATATGCATCTAAACCCCTGAAATAAAGAATATCATTAATATTTGTGAATAATAAACATGCAATAAGAAAAAAAAAAAAAAAAAATTAAATTATGTTCGTTGTAGGAGTTTCGTTCGTTATAGCATTCTCAATTTTATAGGTAAAACCGTTCGTTGTAGGAATATTCGTAGTATGATCCGTTCGTTATAGCATACCCCACTGTACAGTATAGTACAGTACAGTACTTGTTAATGTATTGTCTAGAATATCTGTTGAAGTAAATTTTTGTTTTATTTTGTAATAATCGAAGCCTTTTAATGTTTAAAGCAGCCACCATCAACTGATGTTAGCTGTAGGGACAATAGCTAATATTAAGATTAAAAATTTTTCTTTTAATTTTGATACTGCGTTCACCCAGCCAGCAGTTATGACTGGACGGTGTGAGCACCGTCTTCAAAGGGTTAATCATAAACTTTTTCTAAAACTATCAGTGTCACAAGTAAATTCTTCCCTTTTCCAACACTTTTTACTCACATTCTTTGAAGCAAAAACTTAATCTAAAAATCTTCTTCCAATTTGAACCCAGCCTGTTCTTCCCCAAACACACCCTCTCTTCATCAATAACTTCCCTTCTTTTTCTCATCATATACAGTATACAGTATATTCTGCACTGTCAACATGTCTTGGTACATATTTATTCATCCTTGCCACTCCAGGCTTCCAAATAAGCTCTGCCACTTCCAAATTACTATCCTCTGTATCTAACTCCCCATCACACTAAAGCTTTCAGTACTGTACGTACACTTATTTACATCTCCCGAGAACCTCTTACCTCCTCAGTCAGTGGTGCTCTTGTACCCACTTTATTCCGTCTTCACCTCCCTACATTTAATCTACTCCACAATATTCTGGAACTGACCAAATTATATTTCATCACTTGCAACCGGCAAGGAAACACAAACCAGGTGACATTTTAAAATGTCCCTCAATTTTATCAGTACAAACTGGTTGTGAGTTTTTGACTTACAAAACACAAAGTGAGACAGTCACAATTTTCTGTTTTACCCTCTACAGTATATAAAGAGAGGAGAGAGAATATTTACTTTGTTGAATATATTCTTGTGTGAGTACAAACTTCTTTGGTGAGGAGACTGCAGGTGGATTATCTTTGTCTGCACTGGGTTGTCCATCAGTAGTATCTGTTTCAGGTGTTTCTGTCAAATTTGAGGCTACATTGCTGCCTCCAACACCTGCCTCCAATGGTGAGTTCTGTAGAAAGAATTCATTTGCCTAGTGTACTAATACCGAGATAAGTAAAAACAAGGTACAGTCTCATTCAAGATTCTTTGAACACTGCTGGAGACAGCTGGCAACTCAAGACCGTTTGCTTACTATAGTAAGTAATATAATATAATACAAAACAACAAAGTCCAACCATTAATTAAGCAACGGGGAACCAAGTAACCAATCACTGCTTTTACATTCATTCATTCATAATTTTTACTGCTGTCTCCAGCAGTGTTCGAAGAATCTTGAAAGAGACTGTACATAAGTTAGGCACAATGAAGTTAATAACAACATATATTTTCTGTAAAAAAAATTTAAATGAAAGGCTAGAAAATGGTTCTTGCATATAACTAGTACTGTACGGGGTAGTTAAGAATTCAGTTCAATTACTGAGGAAGCATTACAAAATTCCTTCACAATAAATTGTGAAGCATCAGAAAAGATTTCTGCTGTTAACAAATTGTACATTATGGTACAGTATTATGACACAAGAATGTGTGTACTATATACACCATTAAGAATTAACACATAATAAAACATTACTTGAGAGAGGCAGATAATAGTCAGCGTCTAAACAGATAAATATAGCCTGGGCTTAATACAGACACTAAAACAACCAAAGACATATGCTGTAAGGCTTCTTGGGTATAGAAGAAAACCATAATCATCACCAATTATTGTGTCATCTTAAGAAACACCAACCTTAACTGTGATGACTGCTGGAGACTGTTGTGGAGATGCTAAAAGACTTCTAAAGACAGCTGAACCAGAGCCACCTTGACTCTGTAAGACACACAAACACACTTGTAAACACACTTGTATTATGAGGACAACAGGGATAGACAGAATCACAAGTAAGTACAACTATTAAACATGGTTGTAACCCATTGGGACCCCTAAGGATTACCACTTTGTCAATAATAACTCAATCTCAATCCTAATGCGAAGGTTAAATTAAGTTAGGGGCCCAGTAAGACAAGACTTAGGTGATATTTTCCCTAAATCATTTTCACCACTTAACAGCTTACTACCCATTTGGGCAGTTGGTCTATCCAGTGTTAGTACAAAAGGAAACCGGAGTCAGGAAAACCTGTGATGTTTGGTAGTGTCACACTGGATAACACCGGGCTGAGGCTCGAACCCTTTGACATATTTGTGAGATAAAAGTTACTAATTATCATTACACATAATGAAAAGAACCTAACATGGGGTAAGTTAAGGTACCACTACCCTTTCTTCCACTATTGGTTCTTCAGCAACATTCACAAGTCACCTGTGAAGTCACACTTCCACAAATGAGTAAATTTCATATATCTTCTCTATAATGTCTTGTCCTCTCTACTTTCATCCTGTTCTCTCTTACTGCACAGTCGTTCCACCTTCCCCTGCCATAGCGGTCTTCCTTCTCACTATGCACTTACAATACCAGATTGTCTCTTTACTCTTTTCTCCTTCTGCATCCTCCACACACGTTCATACCATCCCTATTGGCTATCTGTTTACTCATTCCACAACTCTTAAATTTTAATCTCCCATTGTCTATGCCAATCTAAACACCTTGTGCACTTCGCTATTACTTAATCAATCATTATTACTTCTTTCATCATGGTGACCCCACTGTAGCCCTCAGGTTAATTCACCTCTGTAGCTTGAATCTTAAAACATTTTGCTCCATTCTAATTCCATATTTCATTACCATTAGATGATGTGGGAAGCATAATACTATATCCTGAGTTCCTTCTTTACTTACTCAACATTACTCCTAAATACTTTAAATCTTTAGCCTCTGTCAGTATCTCATTCATTACCATAATTTTACTCTTCTATTCACTTCAATTTTCAGTTCAATACAATCTTACAGAATTCCACACCTCAAAGTCCTTCAGGACTCAAAACCATTACCTTACTTTTACAAGCATTTACCTTCAATTTCCTTCTATCACACACCTTCTTCATCACTTTTGTACTCCCTGATCATTGTGCATAAAGTGTGGCATCAACCGTGAAGACACATTCCCAGCGGACACATGGCTTCAACTTTGTTCCTGCCCTGCCCTAGTCACATTTGTTGTCATTTCTCTTACCACTGCACCAATTTCTTCAAAACCATATTTCGTTAGCTGCTCATAATAGTGCAATTTGTTGTATAAAGTTTTTGTGACTGGATATTCTTAAATTTACTTACCCCCTTCTTCAAGTATATTCAACTTCCCAGTTATACCCATATACAAATGGTAATAATAACCTATAGTGACCTCCCTCTCCTGCACTTTTCACAGCAGGACAACCCCAGAGCATCAAGGGTTAGGTATTATGGGTGTGTGAAGTGCTTGATGACCTCTGAGTAGCTATGCCAAACACTACCTACTCCCCTCCTAGCAGGCTGCACATTATCATCCAACTCACATCTCCTGGGTTGTGAGACTACAACTAACAACACAAATAACAACAAATGACAGCACAATATTTACCTGCTGAGGTTGTGACACAGAAGCTTGTTTCTGTGGTGTAGGTGACTCCTCCTGTTGTGATGTTGTTGTTGTTGTAGTTGTTGTTGTTGTTATTGTTGTTGTTGATGACTGAGGTTGTGCTGACTGTTGCTTGTTTGGCACATGAAGTGTTAGAGCCATGACAGGTGACAGTTGGTTCACTTGTAACTTGTCTGAAAATGTTTAAAAGTCTGGGTTTTTTAAAAGCTTTCAGATGCATAAAACTTTTTAAAATAAAATAATTCATACTTGTATCCACCTACAGAGTGTTCTCTCTTTGCCTCACACTGCCATAATCCCTTGTGTATTGATACAAACTTTTGTTTTCTCTTAATCATTTTCCCAATTAATGCCAAGTACAGGTAGGTGAACAAAAACACACACACAATCCCCTTCACTACATATCATTCATTCACTTTTATTGATGTAAAAGATGTTTTCGACTATGATCCTCCCTTACCATCGCAAAAACCCTAATCTGGTTTACTACTTCACTCATCTCAGCACCACAATCTACACTGCTGCTACCTGGATGTCTATTCCCCACAATGTGCACTAAACATGCGATGCACAATCTGCTGTATATCCATTCATTTTGAGGTCAAGAAACTGCATAGGTCATTCCTAAACAAACTTTGCAGAGTTGTTGATTTTTTTTTCTTTTAAAAAATATGATTGATTTGATTTAAATCGGATTTCTATTTTATTCAAGTTTGTATTAAACAGAATCCCCCCAAAATATTATTGCACCAAGATCGTCACCATCCAGTCCAAAATGAGTACTGTACATTACATCATCAAAGATGAGTATTGCATCATCCACTGCCAACCTGTTACATTATGCTAAGACCCGTGCCAGTGTGAAGTAACCCTTAGTCACAGACTCATAGCTAAGCAGTCACACAGAAAAGATGTTGTTGAGTACAAGATTGACCCCTTCTGGTCGAAAAAGTATGTAGAGTTCTGTTTAATTTTTCTATGTGGAAATTACAAGAAAACCTGAAAACAATTGATCAATGCCTTTAATACTTGCCTACAACTCCTACTTGTTTGAAGCACAAGTACAATACAAGAGAACATGTAAGCTCAGAAATGTGATGCTACTCATCTGAAATTTGTGTTTATTTCAGCTACAAAGCAAATTATGTAATTTTTGTTGCGAGAACACTGAATAGCGAACACTGAAAAAGTGGAAGTTCTTTGTATTTAATTATATACCTAAGCTTGTGTAATAAGCGCATATTTTGTTTGTGTCTGATTAACAATACAGTCGGCTATGTAAGCAGGTTTGTTTAGTTTTTCTTCCTTCGCTTTACATTTACGTGTAAAAATCAAATTGTGATTAGTGATTTAAAAAAATATATATTGTATTTGAATCAACTTGATTTAAATCAAACAACTCTGCTTTGCAGTGACTGTTTAGTCTCCATAATTCAAACAAGTCATACTCTTATAATCTACACAGTACTGTACTAAGTAACCAAGAAGTTACTACTACTACTGTACCCATGTTTTGTATATTTGCAGCAACACTTCTCACTGTAAAATTATCTCTACCAACACACTGCTGTCACAGATCAAAGCCACTAAAATCTACATCATCTTATATTCAAAGTTTATGTGAAAGAAAGTAATAAAGAATGGTGATGTATTACTGTAGTATCAACCTTTCATTAGTCAGTTACAACACAAAATAAACTCTCACTCTAAACACTTATTATAACTTAGGTTAGTAAATCTTGTCACCCTTATACATAAAACAGTAAATATTGAAGCACAGTAAAGTGTCGGTACTTACACTGGGCGAGCATGTTCCGTACTTGCTGCTGGATGGCCATGATGTGGTCCTTTGTAAGTCCCACACCTGGCTGAAGGCCTTGAATGATCGTCTTGGGTCCCTGCTCAGTCATACGCACCTGTACCTTCAATGTAAGACTGCTGCCTGAACCCGTCGAATTGTTTTGTGAATTGGTATTTGCTTGAGCATCAGTTGGTGTAGAGTTTGTTGTACTTGTTGGTGTGGAAGTTGCTGTTGTGGTGACTGAAGAATTAACAGACACGGTAGCATTGTTAGACATAACAGTCTTCACCATGGTACCGTCGGGTGCAAGCATAGTCTTTATTCTTGGAGAAGTCTGACCACTCTGAGTGGATGCTGTCTGACGCCCGCAATTAAGCGACGGAGAGACGGCTGCAGCTTCACTGGCTCCTACAGTGACCACCTGTTTTCCATCATTACCTTGCTTCAAGGGCACCTGTTGACCATTCACTTTCACCACATGGCTAGAGGGAACACTGGCAACACCTCCTACAGAACTAATCTTTTGTGGGTTGTCAGTAGTTGTACTAGCACTGACAGAAGTGGCAACAGATAATGGTTGTACAGTCTTAGTCTGTTGTGTCACCTGGATAGCTGGGGTTACACCTTGATTAGCTGTAGGAGCTGGAGTATTGGCAGGTTGCTGTGTCACTGCTGTAGTTTTGGTGTTAATAAGCTGAAATTTACCATCAGGACGCTGAATGAGCTGCTGACCATCTAGTAAACCTCGCACTTGTAGTTGACCATCTGGTAATCTTATTATGTGTATCTGTTGCCCTGGTGCACGAGGAGTAGGTGTCGTTGTTGGCGCTTGTGATGCTACGGTAGGCGAGGCATTTGTGGTGACCGTAGTAGGCGTAGTTGCAGGTGCAACTGGTCGAGGAATACGCGGCTGTAACGCTGCAGAGTTTGTTGAACGTGGTAGAATCATCCGCTGGCTTCCTCCAGTACCGACTGCTTGTAGTCTTATCACTTTGTTTCCTTGTGATGTAACCTGAACTTTAGGTCCACCACCAACTGGAAAAATAGTGCTACTTCCAAGACTAATGCTACTGGTCTCACTTGTTCCTGAAGTTTGCTGTTGTGTAGAGGTGCTACTGGTTGCTGGGGAGGTCGTCTGTACTGTTATGATACGGCCATCCCTAGTTGCCATTATTTTCTTGCCAGAAACAATGGTTGGAAGCTGTCCACTTACAGCCATGATTGTTGAAGCTCCAGCTTGTACAACCTTAGTTGTTGCACCAGGATTGGCTGGCAAGGTTAGTTTAGTGCCAGAGGCAGTTGTTAGAGTAGCAGCTGAACAGAGAGACAATTTGACCACTCCACCTTTGGCAAGAGGTGTACTCTCTAGAGCTCTCTTCTGGTTAAAATTAGCTCTTTGTATCTTTAACTGTTCCTCCATTCGTGCCCGGATCTCAGCTGGAGAGGCCCCTTGGGTTGTTACAGTCTGGACGGACTCCCCACGTTCCCCAATCGACCTCTTGGTCACCACTGCCGCTCGTTCCAATCGTTCACCAAAGAATCGTATTTCCCATAAATCCAACTTATCTTCTTCTACCCACTCTTCTACACTCTGAGGCTGGGTGTTGACAGGTGACTGAGCACGTCGTCTTTTTCTTAATCCACTGCGTTGAGATGGAGTGAATTCTGAAATATACATTTTCATTTAATGTGAGTCAGATCTATCTTATATTTAATTCAAAGGATGACACAGTTAGCTAATAAGAATGATAAAACTATAATGTCCTCCTGTGTGGCTCATATTATTGATGAGTTTCACTTTTCTTATATTTTTGTTACAAAATACTGTACACAGAATTATTCAGTTTGGGGTCATCTTTTATTTATTTATTTTATGACTGAAATACTGTGATGAAATGGTGGAGGTGGGAGGTACACTGTCCCTCTGAAAGGTAATGCTTATGACAGTTCATAACATTTACTAAGATACTGGTAGCTTTAGACAGTACCTGGCCAGGCAGTAATAACTAAACTAAAAAGAAGGACTCTCAAGGATCACTCCGCTAATAACTAAGTTTGCTGGAATTACTCACATTGTTTCACTTACCACCTATTAATATCTGGGTCAACACAATGTTGTCAACAACAATGATTAAATAATAATAATACTAATAATAATACTAATACTAATACTAATAATAATAAGAGTGAGTGTGTGTGTGTGTGTGTGTGTGTGTGTGTGTGTGTGTGTGTGTGTAACTAGTGCAGAAACATCTGGTATAACTGTCCTTGTGTTAAATGTTATACAGTAAACTTAGTATGGAGGAAGGTTGACATAAGTGGGGGCTGTGGCAAGTGGATGCTGAAGTGCACAAGATATATAAGTAGTACATAAAGTAAAGCAGTGAAAACATAACCTCCGCCCCACCTTTGGTAGCGTACATTGAGAGTTATGTACAGTCGCCTCATGATGAGTTATTAAGTAATAAGTTCACAACTTTATTATTAACATGTACTATGTGCTTCTATTATTTATAAAGACATATTATAGTGCAGCAGTAATAACATATGAAACACTCTTCTACTTTATATGATTCTCTTATCACCCCCATTATATACTATACTATATATATATATATATATATATATATATATATATATATATATATATATATATATATATATATATATATATATATATATATATATATATATATATATATATATATATATATATATATATATATATATATATATATATATATATATATATATATATATATATATATATATATATATATATATATCACACACACCTGAAAATGTAACTTGAATGGAGGTACTGTACTGTATTTGAAAATTGTCTTCCACTTGTGGTGACTTCGGACAGCTCAAAAATGACTTGGGAGGCACAATCCAAATATTATTCATGAATATTTTCAAGATTGCACTTGTACAGTAATGACATTGTACATGGCACTGCTAACAACATACTGAGAGAGACGTGTGTGTGTGTGTGGTGAGCTCCGTGTTTTTGGTCGAAAAAACAGGTTCATATCAGGAGTACCCAGGAGTACTCAGCCTGATTTCTAGAAAATTTGATTCGTGAGTGAAGAGACCAGTACAATATATATCTGTGATCACCCTCAGTAGATATATTTGTCAATTGACTGGTTAATCTGTGACCGATTCCCCTTAGAGCCACGGATTGTAATCCGAGCCCTAGTCCACCCCACTGGCCTGGCACCCCAGCTGACCACACAGTTTGACTGACTCCCCACTGCCAGCCAACACTCCTCTCACTAGCTCTAATATGTCTAAGTTGGCTGCTAGTGGTCAAAAATTCAAATTTCATGAAACAACAGCTGGCTGATGTGATAATGGAAGCCCAACGGATTCTCATACGGGACATCGTACAACAAATGAATAAGGAGACCATCAGGAAACTAGAGGAAGCTGACTTGGCATCTCACTACCAAGCTGAATGAAGTTGTAACAAGTTTGGAATTCTCATAAGGAGAAATATGTGACTTACAAGCAAAATTGAAAGATGAAGCTAAAGAGAACCGAACACTCAAGACCCAAGTTCAACAGCTGAGCGAGGAGAATTCCAAGCTTAAAACAGAACTAAGCAACAACAGCAGACCGGGTGGATTATGTGGACGACATAGGGCGGCGAAACAACTTCAGGTTTGCCGGAGCCCCCGAAGATGTCCACGAGAACTGGGAATCATCCCAGTGCAAAATTTCACGCCTGCAGAATGAACATTTACAACTTCCTGAAGTCAAGTTTGACCGTGTTCAATGCATCGGGAAACCCAACTCCTCCCACCCCCGTGACATCATAAGAAAATTCTCATCCCCCTCTGACCGTTACAAAGTGTTTTATCAACGCAGTAAGCTGAAACGCACCACTATATTCGTCAACGAGGACCTCTGCCTAGGTAAGACTAAAGCCCGCCTGCAGCAAATGGACAAGTTTAAAAAAGCCAGGAAACAAGCAAACACGTGACATTCAGTCATAAAACCCTTGATGAGAAGGATCAAGCAAGTGGACACCTGCCCACCCACTAGAGTAACTGCCACCTCTGCCACTGTGATAGATCCTATCTGGACTAACAACACTCCTAACAATCTAGCAAGTGGAATTACTTATAACAATATTTCAGACCACTTCCCAGTTTTTGCCATGTATAAAACAGCAACAAGACCTGAAAGGTCTAGTAGAGTCTCAATCCAATACAGAGACTAGTGCACCGACAACATGCTCCTTTTTGAAAACAACCTAATGAATGCTAACTGGTATCTTGTCTATGCCTCCAACAACCCTAACGTGAACAGCTGCAACTTTTGCATCTTCAATACTTACTTTGATAAATGCTTCCCCCTCAAGACTAAGTCAGTGAAAACTGTATCCATCTCCAAACCTTATATCGCAAGTGAAATCAAGATAATGATAAAAGAAAAACACAGACTCCAAAGGAAATTTTAAAAAATACCCATAACTTTTGGTGATGCTTACCAAAGTATCAGAAATAGAGTAACTCAAGCAGTTAGAAATGCCAGACCTAGCTATTATACAAATAAGCTCCAGTCACCATCAGGCAACAGTAGGAAGCCTGGAATATCATCAATACTATTCAAAACAGGAACACTCACCCCCCTGCCCCCGACTCCTTTTATGATAAATGATTCAGTTGTAACGGAACCCTCCCTCATAGCCAACCACTTCAATGAATATTTTATTTATGTCGGCAAAAATTTTGCAGACATCACCCCTGCTCACCCCAGTTCTTATCCCCTGTCACAGCAGATGAATTACTGGCCATCATAAAAATGTCCAAGGATGCAGCAGCAGGCGAAGACAATACCAACATCATTAAGAAAGTGGCCACTTATTACTACCTGTTCTCCTACACATTTGTAACTCCTCCTTCACTAGTGGTGTCTTTCAGAAAACTGAAAATTGCTAAAGTTCACCCTGCATATAAAATATCTGGGGACAAGGTCTCTTCAAATTACCCCCATACCAGTCCTCTCAGCCTTGAGTAAGATACTGGGGGAAGCTAATGTGTAGACTAAATTCCTTCTGCAATGCCAATAACATCTTCACAGACTCCCAGTTTGGATTTAGAGCCAGAAGGTTGACTGAGTGTGCTCTGCTATACTTTACAAACGACATTTTAAACTCCTTTGATGACAGTCAGTTCACAGTCGGTATATTCTTGGACCTCTCTAAAGCCTTAGATACTGTCGACCATACCATCCTCCTTTCAAAGCTTGAACATTACTGCTTTAGGGGCCTCTTCCACAATTGGTTTCCTCATATCTGCCCAACAGGATGCAGTATGTCTGCTATAATAATCACCAATCTGACTCCTCGCCAATCTTGTATAGCGTCCCCCAAGGTTCCATTCTCGGTCCAGTACTGTTTTTGTTATACATAAACAATATACAGTGATCCCTCGGTTAACGAGCACCTCAGTTAACGAGATTTCGGTTAACGATTTACCTTCCATAAGATTCTTAACTTCGGTTAACGGGCACTCCCTTGATTAACGAGTTTCTTACGAGCCGACCTCCACATGTTTTCGCTTGTATTTGGCGGTCCACCAGCTGTAGTATTAGTCTGCCAATACAGTAATCGGTTTTAGGGCTTAAATTCCTTACTATTTTAGTAAATATAGTTTATACTATTCAATAATTGTAAAAGTTTAATATTAACTTTTTTAGTCATTTTAACAATTATTGAACATAATTGAAGGTAAAGAAACTAGTTTCTGGCGTGCCATCCAGCCTGTTAACACACCAGACAGGCGTTAGTCTCTCTCTGTTTTCAGTGGAGGTAACATCTTGCTTGAGACTCTCTTCAACTAAATGCTTTTTTTCTGTGTTTCCAAGCAAATTGTTGGTCATTTTGAAATTTATTTTACATATTGGCAATATATAATGCAGTGCAGTGTTGATTTAAAGAAAATAATCTTGAATTACACCAAGAGAACTAAAATTTTATGGGTGAAATGGTGCCATGGGGTGACTTCTCTTCCACCCCAATTCCTTCTCTTCTCCCTTCTCCTCCACCACCATTCTAATTCCCATTATCATCATCCAGGAGCCTTCTACATACACACCTCAAAGTAAGTATACTTTACTACCTTTTTTGTTGAATTTAGGCAATTTTCGGTGAGCTGGAACCAATTACCCAAAAACCCATTGAAACAATGGTTTCGGTTAACGAGCAACCTTATACAACGAATTGTGCTAATTAACCGAGGGACCACTGTAGTCCACGCCAGCACACTCATAAAATACAACTTATTTGCAGACGATAGTAATTTTGTATGCTAACAACTGAGACCTCCATTCCTTAAAGAGAACTATGAATACTGAATTGACTAAATCAGGACCTGGATAATATTCAATAAACTGACCTTAAACCTCGAAAAAACCCACTACACGATCTTTCACAGAAGGAAAAACTTGCCCCCAGACTTGGACACCCTGTACCTTGGTAATACACTCCTCAAACGCGAACAAAATACTAAATTCCTTTGAGTTATTGTTGACGAGATACTTAACTGGAGAAACCACATACAAGCCATTCACAGTAAAGTCAATAAACAGTGTGGTATCATGTATCACACTCAACAGACAGTCACTCACTCTCACAGCAATGAAAGAAATCT